ATATTTTTATTTAAAATAAAACTAACTTTATAAAGAGTTAATTTATTTAAAATTTTAATTTAAACTAATAAATAAATTTATAGTTTAATTCTTTTTAAAATATTTTTAAATATAATATTTTTTATATAAATTAATTAAAATTATAAATAATTAAAATATTAAAGGTTTATAAAAATATTATAAATTTATTAAATTTAAAAATAAATAAATTAAATAAAAGTTAAAAAATTTAAGATTATTAAAATTAAAAATATTTTTATTATTTAATAAAATAAAAAATAATTAAATAAATATAACTCTTAAATATTAAAGAATAAAATATTTATAAATAAAATTATTTAAAATATTATAAAAGATTTTAATATTTTAAAAAATTTAAAAGTAAATAAATAAATATTAAAAAAGTATTTAAATTATAATAAATAAAAGATAAGTAAATAATAATTAAATAATAAAAAATAAATATCAAAAATAATTAATAAAATAAATAATAATAAAATAAATAATTAATAAATAATTTATAAAAGTTTTATAATAAATTAATAAAATAAAATATAATTAAAATATAAATTTAATAAAAAATTAATAAAATAAATAATAATTAAATAAATAAATTATAAAAATTTAATAAATTATTTAAAAATAAATATTAAAAATAAATATTATTAATTAATTATTAAAAAACTAATTAATTATAATATTAAAATTAAAAGTTATAATAAAAAATAATATAAAATATATTAAAAATAAATAATTCTTAAATTATTTAAATTTATAATAAATTAAAATTTATTTTAAAAGGTAATATAAAGGAATATTATTATTTTATTTTAAGAAATTTTAAAATCTTACTTTTATAATTTTATTTATTAACTTATAATATTTTAATTAACTTTTAAAAAGATTATTTATATTTTATAAATTATTTTTTTTTAAAAATAATCTTAAAACTATAAATAAAAACTTTATTTATTATATTTATTATTTTTTAAAAAAATTTTAAATTAAAATATATTAAATAAAAAACTATTATTTATTAAAATTAAATATAATATATTATAATAATCCTTAATTAAATTATAAAAATCTTTTTAAATATTATTTAAATCTTTATTTAAATTAAACTTTATTAATTAAAAATATATAAATTAATTATAACTTATAATTAAAAATACTAACTATTATAATTTCTTTTTTAAAAAGTTAATATTAAACTTTTAATAATAATTAATTATTTATATTTAATATAAAAATTTATTATTTCTTTTGTTACTTAATAAATTACTTTAAAACTTAAAGTTTTTAATTTTTTTAAAAACTAAATAATTATTAAAACTATTTATAAATATATTTATTAAAATATTAATAAATTAAACTTAAAACTATATTAATTTATCTTTTATATAAATAAAAATAAAAGTTTTATATTATTTATAATTTTTTAAAAAAATTTTATTAAATAAAAATTAATAATTAATTTAATAATAAAAATTCCTTTAATTTAAAAGTTAATAATAATAATAATAAAAGTAAAAAAGATTTATTATAATATAAAAAATAATACTTTATAATATATTAATTATAATAAAACTATTTAATTAAAAACTATATAAAAATATTTTTATATAAAAAAGAATACTTTTATTTATTTAAAAAGACTTATATATATATTATAAAAAATTTATAACTTAATTATTTTACTTTATTTTTTATAATTTTAATATAACTTAATATAATATAATTAAAAATTTGAATTTATAAAAATACTTTTATATACTTTTAAAAGAAAGTATAATATACTTTTAACTTTATAAAGTTAATTAAATATTAAATATATAAAAATTAAAATTAAAAATTTTTTAAAAATTTAAAAACTTTTAAAGAATCTTTTATTTAAATTTTAAAATAAAAATAACTTTTATAGCTATTTTTAATAAATTTAAAAATATATAAAATAATTTTAAACTATTTATTTATTATTTTAAAAATAATTATTAAAAGTTTTAATAATATTAATATTTTTAATTAAATTATAAATAAATTTAATATAAAAAAAGTTAAAATTAATAAAAATAAAGTTAATATAATTATTATTAAAACCTTTAAAAATTAAATTTAATAAATTAAAGTAATTTTAAATAAATTATTTTATTATTTAAAGTAATATATATAAAATAATATATAAAGTTTTTTTAAAAACTATTTATAAGTTTTATAATTATTATTTATAAATAATATAATAATAAATAAAAATAATTATAAAATAAAGATATTTTAAATTATTTTAAATAATAAAATATAATAATAATATTTAAAAATTAATAAAATAATTAAAAAATAATTAAAACTAAAAAAGCTTATTAAAAACTTAATAAAATTAATTATTAAAGGAAAGAAAAAAAATAAAAATAAAAAAAAGATAGCTATTTAAAAAAGTTAGTTAATTTATATTTTATAAAAATATAATAAAAACTATTAAAAGATTTAATAAATTATTAAAATTAATTAATAATAATAAATAAAGAAGATTTTAAAAAATATAAATAAAAATAATTAATATTAATTAATAATAATAATTAAAAATAATCTTTTAAAAAGATATAATTATAATAATTAGATAAAAGCTATAAAAAAGTACCTTAAAGGTACCTTAATATCTAATTATATTTCTTTTAAACTTTTAAAAATAAATAATATTTACTTACTTTTAAAAAAATAAGAATTAATTTTATATTAAACCTAAACCTAATAAACCTTTAAACCTCTTTCTATTTATACTATTATACTTAATATTATAACCTACTATATTTAATATTAATAAATATTAAATATAAGTGTTAAAATTTACTATATAATTTAGGTAAGTTAGTTAAAATAGGTGAAGATAAAGCTACTATTCCTTTAAAGGTTTTAACTCTACTTAAGTAAATATCTATTTATTAGCTTTATAAGTAAAACTACTTAAAAGTAGTTACTTAGCCTATTATATTATTAAACTAAGAGATAATTAGATAAGGTAACTATATTTTATTATTTAGGTTTATAATTCTAATAGCTTATAAATAAAAAAATAGTTATTAATAATTAAATTTATAATTATATAAAGGTAAATCTTTATTTTAAAAAAGTTATTAATATTTAAAATAATTAATATATTTTTAAAAAGTTAAAAGATTATAAACTTAATTTAAAGAAAATTAAAATTTATAAAAATTTTAAATTTAAGTTTGAAGGTTTTAATTTAATATTTATATTTATAGAAATAAAAGTGTTTATATAATTTAAAAGAAGGTTTAAATTAAATTAAAGATTAAATTAAATTATAATAAAAGAAACTAATTAAATAAAAATTAATTAAAAAATTATAATTATAAGTTTTTAACTTTATATTAAAGAGGGTTTAATTAATTTATATATTAATTATTAATTAATTAAAAAAATAATTAAACTTTAATAATTTATTTTTAATATATAATAATATTAAATTAATAATTTAAATTTTTTTTATTATAAATAAAAAATTTAATTTTTAATATTATTAAATTTATTTATATAGTATTTCTATAGAATTAAATAAAGTATAGTGAAAATTAACCTTTTTAATAAGAAATATATGTGTGTTGGTAGGGATATGTGCAGACCGGTCCACTAACTTAGCGTCTAGATATATATACTAAGAAGCTTAAAACTAGAGAACGGATATTCGCACAGGAAAAAACGGCTGGTATATAAATATAAATGCCCCTTTAGGCTGTAGCTAATTAGAGGGCTTTATTCTACCTCCTCCAACTATATATACTACCTATATAAAGTACTTTTTACACCACCTATATAGACCTACCCTCCCTATATGAGGGCTTGTGGGACTATTAACTAGCTATAGTAGGTTGACCTTATTGTGGAGGACCTTGTTGGTGATGAGAAGGATTTGGAGACTTAGAAAGAGATTTGTTAAAGTGCCTTAGGTGATGATATGGAAAGTAAATTATTAGATTAGAAGTGATAATAGGAGGATTAGAAATTGAGGGTCGATGAGGATATGTGTAGTCAATGGGTGTAAATTTCGGTTTTGTATGGCGAGTGGGCGGTGTAAATTAAGGTTGGTGTATGGGGGGGTATTTGTACCTGTGTATCTAGGTACTGGCCGTTTTTTCCTGTGTGAATATCCTTTTTCTAAAACTATACCTCTAAGTAGGTAGCTAAAGAAGCTGACCAGCTGGGAAACACCCTTGTGGAAGCTTCCACGCGGTATTTAATATTATGCAGACTCAGGCTGTTTCTCCATGCCAACAGGATTCCAAGCTCGACAGCTTTGGCAGCTGTAAGGGATTAGATATCTTTCAGCGTAGCTGTCTGTTATAAATGCTTGGCTGAGGGGATCACTTCCAAGGTTACCCACCGTTCTATGCCCCCATCCTCTACGAAGCCTTGTGTGAATGGCCGTTTCGAGATGCGTTCAACATCAATTTACTCTCTCGAAGTCCCGTTTCCTCCCTGGAATTAGTCAAACCAAGAGGGTCCCCTGGCACCCACAGCTGGCCATCTGGGCACACCACTTTCTGCGCTCTTCTTCCGTGTAACCTTGGAAAGATTTGGCATCTGTAACGACCTTCCTGACTTCCCACACACTACTTGCAAGAATCAAGTTATTCTACAGAAAGGGGCCCGAACACAAATTTAAATCCAGATCATCCGCGCCTCTCTCCCAGCCTCGCCATATACTCATGTCAAGCCTCCCGAGGTCCTCGGCTCAGGCGTCGGCAGACATCGAGAGGAACGACAATTTCAAGTGAACACTGTTCCAAGACCATTTCGATGTTCATAAGAGCTCGCTACGAGCATCTGCAGCGATCACTTGAGCAAACAACGAATCTTCCAGAATGACAGTGTATGATTAAATAGGTATGCTGGTGCGATATCTGATGCCATGCAAGACAGATAACCCAGCCAGCCCGGCCGGCCAGCCAGCCAGCCAGCCATCCATACATAAATACAATCGCGCCTGATCCGATTCATTTTCCGAGCCCTATTTTGATCCTCCACACTTCAATTTCCCCGTCTCCAAAATCTGCACATAATCAATACAGCGGCCAAAGGAGTTAATTGCCCAAGAACCTGGCGTTCCAAAATGACAGTGAGAAGTGCAACAAAGCCGGACGCATTATAAAAGCCTCACCCGACCGGATACCAAAAGAAGAAAGACGAGCAGGCAAGGAAAGAGAATAGTACGATAGAGAAAAATGTGGTCAGACCATGTGGCCTGGAAGACACCGAGATGATATTTTCAGCGTTTTCTCAAAGAGGCTCACGGGTCTTATTACCAACCCCCGCCGCCATCCCTCATGCTCTTGTCTCAACCGTCACTCTTGCCCCCACAAGGTATCATAGAATATTCGTTCCGTTTCCTCGCACTAGAAATAAGTATGGCTGTGCGATACCAAACTTATCATCCCACAACGGTCACATCCCCCAAATCGAGGCCATGTCCCGCTCTTGCCCTTACATCGCCCACTGTCTTTCACCCCCCCCCCCTCATTGCAAGCAACAAGAACTGAGAAATCAAGAACGGGCGCTCGCTAGTTCAGCAGCTAACAGGGTATAAGATCACAGACAATCGCCCACGGTACATCCGCGTCCGCCGGCGGCCGTGGACGCCCTTCACGTCTGCAGCACATCCATCTCCTCCTCGGACGGGGGCAACGCGGTCGACTGACTCAGACCCTCCATATCTTTCTCCCACGCCGGTCCGGGGCCGTGGAAAGACGGTTCTGGGATGGCGCTTCCGGACTCTGCTGGCTTGGCTGTCTCGGTGGCGCTGGCGCTGGCGCTGGTGCTGCGCGGCGTAGCCTCACTCTCACCCTGGGCCTGGCCCAGAATCCCCTGTGACCCCGCACCAGGCGGCTTGACAGGCTGGGGACTCAGGACGTTGGACGAGCGTGCAATATACCTTGGCGAAACGATATCTTCGGAGCCGAAGGGCAACGGCCGGTTAGGTATACTGTGGCTCTCTCCGCCAGTCGCGCCACCAGCTTCGCCACCCCCAGACACCTCGCCAGCGCCGAGCTTCTGCAGCAGCAACTCGGATTGTTGCTTCGCCAGCAGTTGAAGCCGCGCCGCGGGGTCCTTGTAAAATCGGAATAAGTTAGTCAAATCACAAGGGCAATCTCCGATACTAAATCGACGCCCATGCGCACATACCCACTCCGACTGCTCAGGCACTCCGTCCGCTGCCGGCAGTCTGCCATCACCCTCACCCTCGTCGTCGACGCCTGGGTCACCAGCGCCCCAGAACTTCGGCCGACGAATAGGCGCGGGCGTGACAGGGAGACTTGGTCGCTCGACGGCAGTAGGGAAGTCGGTCAACTTGGAACCGCGTCTTCGCCATTCTGCGCCGGCTGACGTCTCTTGTTGGGATCCGACGCCACTACCACCCGCAGCCCGGGGCGAGGTCTGGCCCACGATGCTGCCTGAGCTCCTGTGTCGACGGTACAGTGGCATGGAACCCACGTACTTATCAATGGCGGGATCATCATCCCACGCATTGACCCGTGTGAAAGAGGCCCAGGGATCAGAATGAGTGACCCGGATGGTAGGGGTGGAAGGGGAGCTAGGCTCGCTCTTGTGCTCCGCGGTGGATGACTCTGTCATAGAAGGCTCAGTCATCGTCGCTTGAGATTCCGGGGAGAATACCCCCCTACCGGAAGGCGCAACGGTCGAACCCTCGGTCAAGGATGGTTCGGGTTGGTATACACCGTCAGCGAAAACGCGGGAAGGCCTCGGCTGCTCTATTTCCCAAGGGAAGATCGGCCGGGGCTTCTCAGCGGGTGGAGCAGGCTTTTCTTTGGGTACCTCATACCACATATTCTTCGGCGGGCTTGGGTATCGCGGAGGAGGGACGAATGGAGCTGGATCGGAAGACATTTCGTAGTGCATCTGCGGGAAATTCATAGCCTCGGGCTTGGAATCTGCAGGCGGTGCTTGTCTGTGAACTGTCAGCGGCCGGGTCTGAGAACGGGCAGATGCGGCGGTAACTCCTCACCTTTGAGCATCCCAGCTGTACTCGACTGGGGGTCGCTCAGGCTTATGCTCCCTCTCCTCATGGCGAACTACAGGAGCCCCGCCCTGGGGCCCTGAAACCTGCTCTTCTCGAGCCTCAGCGTTTGACCCCTCAACATTACTGAACGACTCGCTGGGGAGAGGAGGGGGTATATAAGCATGCGGGAAGGAGTCTCCGGCCTGAGACTTCTCATGGTGGTGTGGGGACGGATGCTCATGATGGTGATGCTCATGAGGCTGCTGGTGATGGTGATGGTGCTGGTGTTGGTGGTGATATTCAGGTTGCGAGGGTGGTGGCGGCGCATGATGATACGCATCATGTGTGGATCTACCTTGGTGGAGCGGTGGCTGGCCGGTCGGGATAACGTAGGTGGTTGTCTTTGGACGGAATTCGCCTTTGACAAAATACTGAATGATCTCGGGAACCTTGTGCTGGTCTTGACTCGGGGATGCGTCGGTCGGCGTGAGTGGGGGGGACTGCCTCGGAGGTTAGTCTCTGTGCTTGGGCTGGTGAGGACGGCACAATACTGACCGGCTGTCTGTAGTGGCGGTCGTAGACGGCCCACCACCTACCAAGCATCTCATCGTAGGGAGAGCCCCCTGAGGATGCCTGTCTGCCCAGTGCCCAGGGCTTGTCGCTCCCAATGAAGTGGACCATGTTGATGCTCGACTGGAAGTGGCGGTAGGCGGGAACGTATTGGTAGTGGCCGGAGGGCGTGACGTTGTAAGTGAAGCTTAGGCGGTTGTAGTTGTTCTTGAAGTGCATGTTCAGCAGGCCCTGGTCTGCGCCGTCAAAAGAGATGCCCCTCTCGGCCATGGCGACCAGTGCGTAGTAGTCGCCCAGGTTGGGGCGCAGAGCCATGACACCGGTGTTGAACAGATCGGGCCATCCAATATCCGGGGCGGCGGAAAAAGGGTGGTCCAGGTCAAACAGCTCGTCGGGTGCCCTGTAGGCGACGACGTCGGCGTCGATGTACACAATCCTCCTGAACTGTGTTTGTTTCCACAGGTTGATCTTTGTGAATGCAGAGTGCAGATCGGCGCGGTTCATCAGGTAGAGGTTCGCCGGCTTCGCGTTTCGCACACGGGGCACTGGTATTACGTAGTCGAAGACAGCCTTGCGACGGTACCTTAGCGGGTGTTCGCTGCACCACCACCACCACCACCACCGGTCCTCTTGCGGGAGAGCCGAGACACACCTTGAGTTGTGTTATTACTTCGGCCGACACCGAATCGAGCGTGACCATGACGGCCAGCTTCTTGGGGGTGCCGGCATCGCGCAGGGAGTGGGCGAGCACCAGGGCTCCTGCGAGACGGTCAGAGCCAGAGTCCTATTCCTGGGGGCAAGCAGTTGGGGTCGCGCCGGGCGTACCTGGGAGGTATGTGTCGCTGAGCAGCAGCTATTCAGACCCAATTGTCAGCTGTGTTTGTTCGTGTGCGCTGGCCCGTTGCTGTCTCGTTGCTGGGCTGACTCGCCAACCCCACGGGGAAGTGTCGAGTGCCTCCAGAATGCAGCGGCGGCTTGAGTCGCAGCGGGCAGGCGCGGGCAGGCGCGGGCAGGACCACCAATCCACATACCGTGACGTAGGCGTCCTCGCCGTTCTGCGCAGCCATTGTGTGTGGTTGCGAGGGTGTTTGGGGGCAAAACCGGAGGGAAAGAATGCAGGAAGAGCAATGCTATGCCGCTATGCCACGGATTATAGTACAAAGACGTCGCGGGGTGGCGACTGGTGAGGAGGAGAAAAAGGTCATGAGAGCAAAACGCGGGCGCCAGGGAAACCGACGATCCTCTGTTGACCCCATGGGAGTTGGGGAAGCTGGGAGCTCTGGGAGCTGGCTGCAGGTGCAGGGTGCAGGGTGCAGGGTGCAGGAGCGGAGCTCCATGGCATGCAGCAGCGACAAGGGCAGAGGGGAAGGGGAACATGCAGCAGCACCGCTCCGTGATAGCACACGCATGCGGCGGGCCCGGGGACGGCTAACAGGCAATGTGCAAGTCGCGGGTACCGTGTCGAGAGGTTTGTTCCACTCTGGCAGGCCGGCCCGTCTCATATGTCTCGTGTCGCTCGTGTCCCCGGCGCATCAGTGGTCTTTGGCCCTTGTTGTTGAGAGAGAGTGGTGTGCTCTGCCAGCCTGCCAGCCTGCAAGCGAGACAGCCGTGGCAGTCAGTCCCTGCCCTGCACTGCACCGCACTGCACCGCACTGCAATACGACGCCACACACCCACAGCACCAACTGGCGGAAATGAGCCGGCTTGTAATTGAATTTGGCTGCCGCGGCGAGCCCCCTCGGACAAGCTCGAGCTCATCCACCAGGACCACCACAGGTCGGAACTCAGCAAAACAGAGCGGCACGCTTTTGAGTTCTGCAGGTGAGATGGGCCCAAATGCCCCGGCTGCCCGGCAGGGGTCTGACCATGCACACTGTTGCACGAATCTGCACCCGAGAGATTGAATCTGAGGTCTTTTGCGAGCTGGTCTTGTGTGTGATGCCGCGTCTTGAGGGTTCTTGCAGCCACCACCCCCGTCTCGTGTCGAGAGAAACACGCCGTATTATTGTATTATTGTATTATTGTAATGTACGTACGTACGTACCTCACTCAGTCAACACCATCATCAGCACCCACGTGAGTCAACGTCACTCACCCGCCCGGCGCCCAAGGGTACCGGGATGCCAGGGTCACCAGCCCTGCCGGCGGCAGCGGGCAGGGTTCGAGGACCAAGGCAACAAAGCTCTTCCCTGCGACAATCAGGCTGGCAGGCTGGACGGGCGTTTCCCGATCGGGCAGCCAGGCGGCTTACACGGCTGCATCTCCTCGCTCTTTTATTCTCAACAACCTTCCTGCATGACATTGACAGCTCGCCCACCTCGCCTGCTCTTGTCTTTTTCCTTCAATTAAAACCAGCATCCTCCCACGTCCTGTTGGGGCCAAGAGAGCTACTGTACTCCCTACCATCAGTCGATGGATGGCGCTATTGGAACTCAATTCCCAGCCCGCCCCTCGCATGCAACGCCATCAGCCTTCAACGTTCGTTGCAGCCACCCGGAATACGGGGCAGTCATCCCACATTAGCTCAGCCCACGTCCGACCGTCTCTCAAGATCACGACACTTGGGCGTGTGCAGTCTTTACTTTCCAGCCCTCTGGGCACAACATCTGAGCGCGGCTCTCCTTGTCTCAACAACCGGTGGTCCCCATCGTGCAGCTCTCCCAATGCAACGTCGTAGTACTACCACAAAATACACTGCTTGGCCACGAGAGTTTATCAGAGTGCTCTGCGCCTAAGACCGAGAATCACCAAGCCGTAGCAATTTTTAACAGCACTGAAGTCCGGTAGCGAGAGGATTTTTACTGGAAAGATAGATGCAGTACTTGGATTATATCGATATACAGAGACCGACAGATATGCTATTCGTCCAACACTAAGAATATCTCATTGAATCTCACATTTATGCAGAGCCTATTAAACAACCCTGGAGGACGGCATCTTCTCCTCGCTCCTGACTAGCATCTTCCAGGAGTTCAGAAAGCACATGAGCATGACACTTTATCTAGGACCATATAAGAGGCTTTTCGAAACATTTGACCTAAGAATTGCAGTCACAATAGATACTAAAGATATTGCGCTTGTACAAAGTTACCCTAGGGTACAAGCTGTCAGAAAACACATTGTACTGTACGTATGTGAGAAACCCAACAAAGTTCTCCATACTGACGGACACGATCTACCCCAGGGTACCTTGGTAGACTGAGCACAAACTTCAAGGGCTTCCACGCTGTATTGTTTTGAACACCTAGGTACAACAGCAGCAGCAGAACAAGAAGAAGAACGCCTGGGCAATAACAGCACGATGCCGCCTGCATGGGCCAACGGCCACCTCCCCGGTCTCTTGCCTCACACCACTGCCACCCCCTATCCCCGTCAGGCAGAACTATTGCGCTCCTTTACATGGCCACAGACCCCATTGGGTCCAAGGTAGGGCCTGCAGAAACCACATATCCTTATGGAACGCTGCTCTGTCTTTCGCGGCGGGCGCGGTGTTGCCGAGTTGGCGATCTTGGTCGGCGTGGCCTTGGTCCTGGCCGTCTCGTCCTCGCTTGCCTGGGGCTTGGGCGGCCATGCCACGGCAATCTAGGGACCATGGTATTAGTTCCGGGGTCATATTGTAGAAATCCCGGGCGTACCGTGTCCTCGATCTCCTCTCCCGTCATCTTGGGTCACTCTGTACTAGTAGCTGTCGTTATGGCTTCTCTCCAAATTCCACGCCTCGTGGCTTTTTTTGGCCTTGCTATTCGGGCAGCTTCAGCTGCGTTAGCCAAATACTTGTTGTATGGTGCGAGATTTTGAACAACGGTAGAATCAGCAACCTCACAGGATGATAAAGATAGGTTCCAAGTCGTTGCTCAACTCTCCGGGCCCCGTTGGTCAAGTCCCTAGATCGAAGTACGCTCAAGTGCTATTGTCCACTGTTTTTGCTGTCCAAGACTTCGTGAAAGGCGGTTCCAGACCGTCATTCGCTAGTGAGCCCGGTTTCCAGCCCATTGTGAGCATTGGAGGACCCATGTTGACTTGGTTTCCCGTGGCGCACGCCGTAAGGCAGTCCGTTCCATTTTCAAGACAATGCGGAGACACGCCATTGCCAAATCCCACGGCTTGTTTCTGCACCATGAAATCCCACTGTAAATTTGAGAATGGCATTGTGTGGGCTTACAAGGAACTATCACTATTGAATCAATAACTACGCGAGACCGTACAATCAGACCAGTGTTCAGTGTTGACCTCGGAGCCAACGGCGGCTGCTCCGTCAGACATCTTTGGCTTGCTTCTGCGACAGCCATTGTGCAGCGTACAAAGCATACTTGGGTCAGTTTGATTGACGGCAGATCAAGCTGGGATATTTATCGAGAACTGATACGTCGAGTCCCCACTCAAGGGAACGACCTGCTCCCCATACACAAAGCTGCCACTCGTGTTGGCCGGCGCGTGGATCGTGGCCGACACGCTCTGACCCTCAACTTGCCACTCGACAACGAGGTCCCCATAAGCCGTGGAGACCGTCGCGCTCACCTTCTTCAGCCCGATCTTGGTGCCAGTCTCAGGCGCCACGACCCACGACTTGTACCCGAAGCCGTCGAGCCCTGCCGCGGGCCGCACCCCCGCCGCCCACTCGGTCAGAACGTACGTCGGGGCGCCGCCCCAGGGGTGGCTGAGGCTGGTGAACATGCCCAGCCCGGGCTTGAGCGTCGCGGCGTTGACGTACTCCCAGCTCGTGCCGACGCTGGTCTCCGGCCTCGTGAGCATGGGCTCCCACAGGCCCCTGAGAAGCTCGTGCGCCTCGGCGGTCGCGTTGCCCTGGAACAAGGCCGAGAGGAGGAAGCCGTTGGTGTTGGGCGAGATGTTGATTGCCGGGTCGGAAGTTGACACGGCGGACGTGTCCTTGTAGCCCGGACCGAGGCGAAGGGCTGACAGGGCCGAGATGGACCGGGCCGTCCGGTCTGCCGGGGCCACGCCTGACGTGATGCAGAAGGCGGTCCCTGTAACTGAGATGGCCGTGGTGTTGTAGATGTCGATGGAGTATGCCCCGATATCGTCGTTCCACAGCCTCTCGTTAATGGCGTCGGCTAGCAATGATGCGGTTGCGTTGTAGCGCTCCGCCGACTCAGCATCTGCCACTGCAGCCGCTACGTCTGCGAGCGATCGCAGCGCCTGGACCGCAGCGCACGAGACCGGTGACCCGTTGACTGCACCGCTGATGAAAGCAAAAGAGCTGGGCAGCGTTACGAGCCCTGTGGTGGTGTTGACCGTCGCAAGGAGCCAGTCGATGCTCTTCTGCCATCCAGACCACGTCTCTCGTGCCCACTCGATGTCGTTATGCAGGCGCACATGGTCTGCGAACGAGATAAGCCCCAGGATCTGATAGTCCGGCAGTGCGAAGCTGGCCGCCGGCGCCGCCATGGCTTGGGCGTATACCTTGGCGTCGTAGCCCAGGTTTGGGGAGATGTTGAGCTGGCCGTTGGCGATCTGCGAGTCGAGCAGGAATTGCAGCGTGCCCCTGGAGTGGTCAATCCGAGAGGTGCTCGCCGCCACGATGCGCGAGGTGTGGTAGAAGTCGCCCAGCCATACGAGGCGATCTCGTTTTGGTCCATCGAGGCAAACGCTCCCGGCGAGATCCGCGGTGCCGTACTCGGTCAGCACATCCTCGCTCGTGAGGGCGTTGGTGTAGAGGGATGTACCATTGGCGGTGTTGTGGACTTGGACGTTCCTGAAGTAAGCTGCCTGGTCCTGGTACGCGCCGAAGCCAAAGGTGCCTGAAAAGGCTCCCGTTGCGAAGGGGTATGCGTTCCGGGAGACATTGAATATTTGTGTATCGTCTATAGAGACCGCCAAATACCCGCTCGTTGACAATGAGGCTGTGATGTGATACCATATGTCCTCCTTGACTGCAAATGGGACTTGGAAGACATCCAGGACCCATGTAGGCAGCGTCGTTTGGTTGACGAAGTCAACACCAAATGCTAGCGAGATAGTGCTCGGTGGCGTCAGGGAGGTATTTGTGTTCTCGAACCGTGTGGCCTCTGGAAGCTCCCCGGTGAGAAGCATTGTGTAGCCGTTCCCCTTAATGGGTGCCGCCTAAAAGCAGTCAGCTTCACGCTGGTATCATCCAGTGCTCTGTCAACCCGACTGATCCAAATGCTTACCACTGTCCACCAGCTGCCTCCCCTCTGAATCAGTGTATCAAATTCTAGTGTGTAATTACCCCAAGACGTAGCCTTTGCTGTCAAGGACGGGCGCGTGTTCCTCGCCAAAACGCCCCTCTCTGGGTCGATCTCCCAGATGGCCTTCTGTGATCCCTTGTCGAAACAAGCCACCGTGGCTGCTCTGGCACCGAGTTTCCAGATTTCATTCAGGACTTCGTCGTCACTGCTAAACTGGCCTGGCAGGTCCTCCGGCAGGACTGTGTCGACCGTGGCCTCGAAGCCGACGTCTGAGAAAGAGACGGAGCCCGATGTCAGCAGACGGAGAGACTGCCACTTCTGTCCGCCCTGAAGAAGCGGAGCTACGAGCCTCCCCTCGGTTGTAATGTTGAAAGTCTCCACGCGGAATGTGTTCCCCAGCTGGTTGCTGTATGCAAAGGGCCCGTCGCTAAAGGGACGGTTGAGACCGTCGAATTCCTCGGTATATTTTACCTCAAGCTGGACCACCCCGGTGAGTGAGGACACCTCGAAATAGGGGTAACCAGCACTCTCGCCACCGTAGTCGAGCGTGGCTACAGGGCTCGTCTGGTCAAGAGTGAACGGCGCGAACTGTTGGGTCGCGACCTGGGGCGAGGACCCAACCGCGACACCGACTGGGACGAAGACGTTCCCGCTTCTGTGCCTCCCTGTCAGCCAAACACTTCAGAACAGGTTAAATGGCATTTGAAAATGAAGGGATTACCTGTGCTCCGGGTTCACGGTGACTCGCGCGGCCACGAACCGCTGCGCGGCGAAGCTAGCAACACGAACGAGATACTTGATGATCGCCATGACTTGAAGACCCTGCCCACGAGCTCTCGGGGCGGATCCAAATCCATTGTAACAAGACGTCGAATACGGATTGTTATGAAATTATATACAGTGTGGCCAGTGGTCCATAGATGGCCAATGGTCGATGTCCTTTGGGCTCGGGTCATTTTTACCACGAGCATTCTGTTCATAAACCTTTGTAATAACAACTGAGGAGACCAGCTAATGACTTGGCACAGGCAAGTAGAGCGGCCCATTTGACACTGAGAATGGCACCGTGCGCAAGCTAATACCAGTTGACCACACATAAACACTTGCATTGCCCACGGCACCCTGTTCTTAAGACGGAGATGGACCTCTACATCCAGCCCTGGTGGGGATTTTGCAACTCAGACATGAGGCAGACCACGGAGGCTAACTATAATCCAAGGTGACTCGGACAGTGTTGAAGCGAGGCCGTCTCGTCTGGTGGGGAGGTGAGTGGACGCATACCGTATTGCAATGGTCGTGATTGGAAGAGAGCCCCTGGCTGAAGTGTGATTGCACTACCCCGGAGCAGGAATCTGGGGAAGGTCGCCCGTTGGCACCCCACAAAAGCACGCATCAATAGGCACCATCATGTCTCTTTCTGTGCTAGAGCCACAGCGGGGATTCGCCTACATCGGTAGGGACTTGCACAAGGGACTTGCACAAGGCAGTTGTCCGGCTCGGCTCGGCTGGGCTGGGACTACTCTTCGGTTCATTTGTGGGCACCTGGAAGGGCTTGCAATAATTTCTGTGGGAGTCTGCTTGTACGTCTGTACAGTAGATTCCGTCACCCCAAGGCTCAGGCAGGGAACGGGAGGGGTCATTCGGTCCTATTGGCACTTTCGGATAACCCGAAGTATGTTTGGGTCACACCACAAGGCTTATCAACTCCTACAAACCCACCCCCAACCTTTTCATTCCAAAAGCCTCCCCTCCAGGCTACGACTCAACTGCGACCTCCCAGAAACACTTCACCACGACAAGGAAAAATCGCACAACACGCCACCGTCAAGGGCACAGCAACTGTTCACGACCCCGCACCGAGCAGAAAAGATGGCCCCTCCTCGCAACACTAGGGACAACAGGAAGCGCGTCGCTCGCGAGCTCCCCCGTGGACAAATACCTCAGTCTACAAAATGTACTTCTAGTTTTTCTTTTTCACCATTAGAATTAAGTTTCAATAAACTTTTAAACATACCGTATCTTTAGTAATATACTAATGTTCTAGCTGGGCGGGATGGTGAGGTAATTGAAATCATGGCTGGATACATTAGTATTGTTTTTTTTTTAAAAAAAACGCTAGGTCTTTAAAGAAAGTTTACCACTATGTGAAGAGGCTATATATGGTCTTGGTCTTGAGTGCTTACCACCGTATGAAGGCGCCATGTATGTCCTCGGACGTATACGGAATAGAAGCGAAACCACATATATGGTCCCGGACGTACGGTTACCTAGGTATGAAATAAGATCGAGACAAGTTACTTTCGCAGATGAAAGTTCTACGTGATTCTAGCAATACATCTGAGTGATTTGAAAGCCCTTGAGTTTGTTCTTGTGCCTATGATGATGGGCTCCATGTTTTCTACTCCTCATTCCATCAATTTCTCCTACTATGGGCATGTAAGTCGAGTTCGACATCACCGTCTCTTTAATGAGACTGTATCGGAATAAACTAACTTCCTAGAACTGGCCTTTAACAGCAAAACCCCATTGACCTTGACAGTATACTGCAACGGCTTGTCCAAACTGTACACAACCAGCAACTGTAGCTGGATGACCGAGTACATCGACCAAGAACTGACCCACAAGCCCAATGCAGAGCTGAAGGACCCCACGCACTATCACGCTCAAGCAACACCAGACGATGCCGCGGCAGCCTTGAGCCGGACCTCCCGCTTATGCAGAAAACGGATGATGAACGCGATAGCAATCAGCCCGATCGAGAGGCCGACCATACTGGGGTACCCCTTCGGATACGCGGGCGCCTCGACCTGCTGCCATATGACAAGCGGCAGCCACGCCTGGAAGACATAGGCCATCTGGTTCATGGCGCCGGTGACGAGCGCCCGCTCCTCGTTGTCGTCGCTGCAGATCTCGTGCGCCCACGCAAAGGTCAGCCCGGAGATGCCGCCGCCGAAGCCGCACAGGATGAAGGCGGCCCACTTGAGGCTGTCTGGGATGCCGGCCCAGATCGTCAGCGGCACGTAGGCGATGATCTTGACGAGGCCCGAGAAGACGATGGCGGGCCAGCGGGCCCCGCGGAACAGGCTGTCGGACGTCCAGGCGTAGATGAGGGTCGTCACTATGCTCACCACCTCCGTGATGGTGGGGTAGATGTTGACCTCGCGCAGGCTGTAGCCCTGTTCCTTGAGCCACAGGGGGAAGGCGGGCTGGGACGAGCCGCCGTTGCCGTTGTTGAAGAGGATGTACAGCATCACCAGCGCCCATATGTGCCAGCTCGAGAAGATCTTCTTGAACTTGGCCTTGGTGTACGGGGCACGCTGGGCTCGGCCCTCGAGACGCATGCGCTCTTTCGCGAGGGCGATCTCCTCGGGCGTGAAGTACCACGCCTTTGTGATCTCGGGCAGGTCTGGGAGGAAGAAGAACCCTGAGATGGCGATTGGGAGTGATAATATCGTGTTCGTTATGAAGAGCCACTGCCACCCATGATAGCCATGGACGCCGTCGAGATTGTGAGCCCCCGCCATGAGGTAGCCCGAGACCATCGATCCGACGTTGCCCATGGCGTGAAAGAGACACGAGCGCTTCGCCAGCTCGTCCTTGCGGTACCAGGACCCGATGATGTACTGCATTCCTGGGTAGAAGGTGCTCTCTGCCAGGCCGATGAAGAAGCGCAAGACGTAGATGTGCGTGGCTGTTTTACATTTTGCCAGCAAGATGGTGAGGACCGACCATGTGACCTGTTTTCACGATTGTTAGTAAGTGGCTCTCAAGTCAATGGGTAGAGACTGATCTCTTGAGCATACCTCGCAGATAGGGATCCATATTCCGGGACGTATACGAGTAAGCAGTAAGTTACTGGGAAGGAGATTAGTTCAGCTCCGACTCAATCACCATCGGTTATAGGAAATCATACCTGGGTATCTCCCCTAAGACGTATCCCACAGTCCAGCAAACCTGCATGTAGTTCAACTCATTCCCGAATAGCTTGAGGTCTTCTTTCATACCCGACACAAAGGCGTTATTAATATTGACCTGCCAACTATTAATTTGCTGCACATTGCACGAACCTTCAATGCCTGAGAGGCCCAGGTGTTGGAAACATACCTGGTCGAGATACTTTATGAAGTATCCCAGAGAGGCAAGGGTCATGAGAACAGCATCGAGCTTGAAAAGGAAGCGACGCTCCTCGGGCGACTTGTCGAAAGTATCCCACAGATACGATTTCCAAGTCCTCTTGGGCTTCTCCTCGAGCACCTCCGTGACAGACGGCGCATCACCAACCCCATCGTCCTGTAGCACAACCGCCGCCTTCTCGTCGGTGGCCTGCGGCCGGACCGCCGCGACAGGCCCTGTCATGGGGACAAAGATCGGGAGGGAATTCGCCAATGAGTCCGCGTCCGATGAAGCACACGATCAGTCAACTCAACGGGCCGGAATATCAACCAGGAATCCCTGTAGTAACCGATCGACAGCAGCAAACAAACAATATAGACCAGTACCGCAAGGGGAAGGTATGAAACTCTCCTTCATCCTCTCCTTTCTCTCTTTCGGGGACCCATGGTACGCGCTGGGGGGAAGACGTTATATTCTCAGCCGTCTATTCGCCAAGGCACACTCCCCCCACGCGGGGAGCGCAGAACATGTATGCGAGCCATCTGTCGCAATAGAGGGGAAATAAGTCGTCAAGGAGATATCGCCTCGTCCAGGGCGATCAGGACTCCTTATAACTGGCCCATCGCCACCAGAAGGGGGAGATACCCTGTAGTGGGTGGTCAGTCAGCGGCTTGGCAGATCACGGAATCTCCAAATCTGTACCCACGGGTCGGGCGCTTATACGTTTACACGCCTGGCCGTCCCCATTGCGGCGAGACAGAAGCTATCGTGGTTGATATATTGAATGTGTGCGAATCGCAATCACAGCCATGATTGATCAGGGAGCCTGGGACGGGTGGGCCAGCCAAGGTTGCCAAGGTGCGCTCGCGGGCGGCGTTCTAAGTTGGACGTGCGTGGGCGGCAGTGGTTGGTGTCCAGGGACAGACGTGCTGAATATCGCGGTCGGTCATTGCTCGAATCCTGGGTGCATCGTGGCTGAACAGTACGAGAAGAGACATGATGTCCTCGCCACAAAGACCTCACCTGTTCTTCTCAAGCTTCCACGAGGTCTCCGCCAGGCACAATAACAGGTCCTAAGCTAAGGTATCCCGGAGGCCGATAGATAAAGGCCGGCATTCGAGGCGGAAGACGGGCGCTTACTCCTGAAGCCGGCCCCGGTGTCGGGTCTACGCCATGATGCCGGTAAATGTCGTCAGGGCGGGGGTCCTTGTCCTCGGCGTGTCCCGGTCCCAAGCGTGGCCATTTCCCCGGCCTCGTGGTTCCGGTCGGATGTTTGAAAAGAGTCCAGCCCCGTTACGTTTGTTTGATCGCGGATGTTTTATGAGCGGCGGTACAAATGACCGACTCAGCTGGGAGACACCGCTCCTACGGGACTCGCAGACCGACCCTCATTGACCTTAGTATCTTCTCGTGTATCTTCTCGTTAGGCGATGTTCTTGCCAATGCACTTGCACACCATCCGACCTCGATCTGCGGGGCCGGACCAAAGTCTGGTCCACTGGCAGTCTGCTGGCTTCGAGTGGACGTAAAGACCAGCTCCATAGCGTTGGTCACAGATGCGAATAAAATAAGACGTGGCCAAGAACCTCGTGTGTATGCTCGTGCAGCAGCATGGTCATGTCTAATCTAGCAGTCCCCAAATGATCGGTTGCACCTAGGCAGGAGCATTTATAAGCCATAACAGAACGCCTCATATGATTCATAATTTTTTGTCCAGAAAAAAAACCCCCGAAGGATATTTCTTATCAAGGATCCAGCTTCATCCATCCAAGTAGGGGAAATCCTCCCTTTAAAGATCCTTCTTGAAGAAATGCTCAGGCTTGTGATCCGTCTCATAGTCAACATGCACATAAGCCCTCTCCACGTCGGGCAGGCTCTCGAGCTTGAACTGGAGGTCCTCGGCGACGTCGTGGGTCTCCTGCAGCGATTCGTTGGGGTCCATGACGACGTCGACCTCTGCGATGAGGCGCGGGCCGGAGTGGTAGACGCGGACGGTGTCGATCTGGCGGATGGCGGGGCTGTGGGTGCAGCAGACGTAGGTGATGAGCTGCTGGGTCTCGACGGAGGCGACGACGCCGACGAGCAGGAGGAACTCGGTGAAGGCGGTGCGCAGCCAGGCGAAGCTGATGATGACGGATATGACGATGGCGCCGGCCGGGTCGATCCACCAGATGAGCTTGGAGCCGCCGACCGAGGTGAGGATGCCGAAGCCGTTGATGAGCAGGTCGTTGCGGTGGTCCTGCCAGAGGATGAGGATCTGCGAGTAGCGGTCCTTGAGGGCCCAGGTGTAGAGGAACAGGGCGAGCTTTGTGGCGAAGGCGACGCTGACGGCGATGACGGAGGGGAGGTGGAAGCGGTTAACCCCGGCCTCGCCCTCGCGGTCGGCCAGCTCGCGGGCGGAGAAGGCGATGAGGATGAAGGAGACGGCGGTCATGAGGAAACAAAAGGTGATGTTCCCGACGGTCTCGAGACGGGCCTTGCCCGAGGGGAAGCGGGCGGGGTCGACGCGGCGGACGGCGCGGTTGGCGAAGATCAGGGTGACGTTGCTGAGGGGGTCGAAGATGGCGTCGGCCATGGTGGTGAACAGCGAGAGGGAGCTGGACGAGATGGCGCCGTAGACCTGCAGGGCGGCCAGGACGACGTTGGCGACGAAGGAGCCCCAGACGGCGATCTTGAACTTGAGCTGGTCCTCGCCCTGCTCCTGCCTGGCCTCTGCGACGTGCTGGTCGACGGACTTGAGCATGCGCTCGATGGTCTCGTTCTGGCGGTTGTAGAAGCCCTGGACGCGGCGGGACTGGACGGCCCTGCGGCCAAAGCCGGGCAGGAGGCTGGACGTGGCGCGCCTGACGCTGGGGGCGGGGGACGAGGTGCTGCTGGTGATGCTGGCGCCGGCGGCGTTGGAGGAGGAGGAGGGCCGGCCGTCACGCTTCCTAGAGATGTTGGCCTTGATCTTCTCCAGCTCATCGGCGGTCTTGTACCCTGCTGACAGGCCGTAAGGGTCGCTCTCGGCAGAGTAGCGGGGGAGGCGCCCGCCCGCCTTCTGGTTCTCAATGTCCTCGTGGTGTGGAGGGTGGCGGGCGTGTGCGCCCTCCTGCTCGCCGCCTACCTGCTCGGCCTCGAGGGCAGTGCTCGCGGCGACTTTGGCATTGTCGTTCGCATGGGTAGACCGGGCGCCAGACATCGGGGTGTGGTTGCTGGAGCGCGAGACATTGGAGACGTGGTGGTGGAGGTTGAAAGGGTGCGGGTGGTGGGTGATGGAGGCGGAGAGGTCGGGCTCCATCTTGGGTCGACTCGACTCGACTCGACTCGGACACGCAGGAGGTAGATGACTGGTGTACACACGCGGGAAGGTGTACACAGGACAAGGCGGCGGGCCAGTTGGCGTCGTGATGTAAGCGAGAGCGGGCGGCGGTCGAGCGCGATAGGCCAAAGCTGTTGTTTGTCGGGGGACTTTGGGTCTGAACTCTGTGCCACAAAAGACAAGAAGCAACAAACGTTGCCGTCACGCGGGCGCCACTTATACGCAAACCCTGAAGGAGAAGCTTCCCTACCTCGTACCCACCTCGATTTTGGTCATTGCAGTGTACACGGCAAATGAGGCCCTCCATCGCGCAAATCGCCATAGCTGTCGCGGGGGGCGGAGGGCAGCTTCATGCTTGGCAGCGGCGCTAAAGAGCGAGAGCGAGCTGTAAGATGGGGGTCCTTCTTTTCGAGGCGGGCTGACGGGCTGACGGGCTGGCGGGCAGGGGGACATCGTCCTCGCGTGGTCCAGTGGTTCAGGACTTTGTGCACTTGGACAGGTCAGACGCGCGTTGGTTGGCTGGCCGGTGGGGGGCCGGCGGTGAGCTCCACGGACCGACTCATGTGCAGAGTTGTGAAGATGCAGAATACCAATTGACAGCAACTGACAACATTTGCATTTGTGGACCATGCGGAGGGAGCTGAAAAGAAAGAAAGGAGGAGGAAAGGACTGGCGGGGCACATGCTGTTTGTTATAACATGCAGTAACATGTTCCCCCATGTTTCGGCGCAACTCGGGAAGGCCCAAGGCGTTTCAGCAGCCGGCCAGCCGGTGCCACGGTGCCATGCACTGCAGCTGCCCAGGCTGCCAGGCTGCCAGGCCGCTCCTTCCTGTGTGTAGTGCTTGGGCTTGATGGTCTGGTGTGGGGATTGCAGTGCCACTTATTAGTGGTAGCACCACCTTGATAGTCCTGTCGTGTACCACTGCTGAGGTGGTGTAGGCTGGATACAATATATATTCGCCATGTGCAATAAATGATAGGTCATGTTCAAGTCAGCAGACAAGAAGGCATAGATACTAAGTACTTAAGTACTTGAGTAGAGATATACATATATATATATATACCGGTATATATATATGTATACACCCTTCATACTACTATACAGCATAAACACACACACACACACACACACACACATCACAGCTTGGACTCGACCTTGGCAGCCTCCCCCGGCCCATCACCACACCTCGCCAGGATCCACCGCTCGACGTCCGCATAGAACTCGTCGCGCCCCGTGTCGGCGTGCAGCTGGTGGTAGGCGCCCTCGTACCTCTTGAACTCGCGGTCGGGGATCTGCTGCTGCCTGTCGAACCACGCCCTGGCGGCGTCGAAGCACGTGGCCTTGTCCATGTCGCCGTGCCCGAGCCACAGGCTCTGCACCCGCGGGCTGAGCCGGTACCTGCCCGCCGCCAGCTCCGCCGTGCGGTCCAGCAGCCCCGCGAGCCCCTCGAGCGTGCCCGTGTCGTGGCACAGCTCGTCGTCCCGCAGGCTCTGCACCACCGCCGGGTCCCGGCTCAGGTCCTCGGGCGGGATCGGGTTCGCCAGCTTCATGCGCGGCAGCACCCGCCCCGCCAGCCGCCCCGCGAACACCTTGAGCGCCCCGGGCCGCGACGCCGCCGGGAAGTCGATGAACGGCGCCTCCAGGATCCACCCCCGCACCCGCGCCACCACGCTCTCCTCGTACTCGCCCGTGCTGGCCAGCGCCAGCACCTCGCCCCCGCCCATCGAGTGGCCCATCACGAAGAGGGGAGCCCCCTCTGGCGACGCCGGCACCGCCACCTCCCCGATGAACGCCGCGATGTCCGACAGCACCTGCGCCGTCGGCCCCGTGAGCCCGCGGTCCGCCGGCCGCTCCACGCTCTGGCCCCACCCGCGCTGGTCAAACGCGTACACCGCGATCCCCGCCCGCGCCAGGTGCGGGAACAGCCCGTAGTACCGGCCCACGTGGTCGCTGAACCCGTGCACGAACACGAGCTTGGCCCGCGTGGTGGTGCCGGGCTCGTCGGGCTGCACGGCGTTGGCGGCGCTGTCAGCATCATGCACATGTACAGGCCTCGGCAGTTGCTGACGAGGGGGGCGGCACGGCAGCTGACGCCGCCCGGGACAGCGGCAGGAATGTGTGCTACATGTTACGGAGTACTTACGAGCCATGTCTTCGTGTAGAGGCTTGCGTCCCCGACCTTGAACCTGCCCTCTATCTCCTGCACCATCCTGACAGTCGGCTAGCTCGGCCCTGGATCAGATGTTGGTAGATATTTGCCAGAGACAGACAGCCTGCCAGTATGTCCTCGTCGGCAGCTTTCGATTGGCAACGAGACCTCGGGAGATGCAGATGTGCGGATGTGCGGACGGCAGGGCCGTGAGAAACGAGAGCTTGATGGCGGGTTGAACTGGTTGAAACCCGGCGGTCAGACTGACTTGGGCGCCTGAATCACGTCCCGCCTGTTTTGCTGCTGTGCCTGGGGTTGTCCCGTTTCGATCGTCGGGACGGACGGAAAGCCTGTTCCTCGGGGGACGGCCTGAGACACAGTGTCTGCTCGGAATTCGCGATATAATGTCAGAAACCTCGTTCGGATTATTAAAGCTGCAGGTTTGTCTGCCTTTGTCGCTGCAGGAAATAGATGGCACTGGACCCTTGGGGCGTGGAATGGACACTAGAAGATCAGAATCGATCCGGCTGTCCGTTCGGCCCCGCCATCGTGACTGTGACTGGCTTGGCCGAGGCCCGTCGTGTTTGACGAGACAGGGCTTGTTAAGAAACGGCCGAACCCCAATGTCACATGCTGCTGTTGCTGACCTCGAGTGCTGTATTGTAGCTAGCTAGCTCACTGCCCAGGTGCGCACTAAATAAGCTCAGGATTCCATGCATCATCTTAGATGCCCGGAATGGTTGTTTGCCCTGCTTTTGTCTACAACCATCAGGTCAAGATAAGCGCTCCGTTGCTGGCAATGGCGCGGGAGGCGACTTTTTGGCTGACCCGACTCCATTTGTCTTGGGACAAGTACATTTACCAAAGCACTCGTGGACTACAACATACGTCGTGGGGGGCAATAACATTGCGCGCGAGGCCAACTCGTCACAACAATATTGCACAATGACTCCTAAAAACCACCAACTTGATGATTCTGCTCGTGTCTGGTCAATGCTGGCCAACGGGTCAGTAATTGGCTCGAGCAAAAAGAACTATTAAGCTAAGCACGATCGCCACAACTTGAAAGCCACGAGGCTGCCGCGCGTACCGTACCCTACACGCCAAAGGATGGGGTCATCCGAGAGACCCGAGAGACCCGAGAGACCATTTTCCAGAAGACCGATATGCCAAACTCATACACGGGGAATCCAACACGCCGACCCGCTGACCCGCCGACCCGCCAACCCTGGAGAAGCCCCGACCCGTTCCCGTTGTGATATTTCATCGTGTAGTCGTACACGTCGTCAAGCCCCGGCTCCAGAAACGCCTGAAAACGACCACATGGATATCCTCTCCTTGGGAGAAACTCTTGCCACCTAAAGGCTCTCTATACGAGAGATCAGAGAAGAAGGAAGAAAGCAAAACTATACGCGACACATCGCATTAATCGCACCGTACATTGCCCATGTATCAACCCAGCCCGTTCGTGGTGTTCTGGCTGCCCTCATGCACCCTCTGGCTGTCCAAGTGCGAGGTGAACTTGCTCATGGGCGAGTCTTCCCCTGACATCCGAAGCGAGATGCCGCTATCATCGTAATTGGCCGTGCTCACGTCGAGCACAGCGTGCTGGTCCCCATTCTGGGGGCCGCTGCCCAACCCTGGCTGCGTGCTCTCGATGAGCGCCAGTATCGCGTCGTCGCTGCTGCCGCTGCCGCTGCTGTAACGCATGCTCTTCCGCTTCTCGTTCCCCATGGGATCGTCTTCCTGCTTCCTCTTCGTGGGCCCGACGGCTTTTGTGCTGTTCTGTTTCATGAACCCGCCCTTCTCGGCCAGGAACCAGACCATCTCGTCCAGGAAGCACTTGAGGCACCACCAAGCTCCGAAGCTGTCGGCGCTGCTGATCGTCAGGTCTCGCACCATCGTCGTGCCGATGGTCTGCACAAAAAGAACAATGTCTGCAGCCGAGGCATACGGGAACCGACTCGAGAGGGTGCGCAGGAAGTCTACCCAGCGGTCGAGAATGTTGGCCGAGCTCGACCAGTCTTGGCTCTCCGGCTCCTCTGGCTTCGGGTTTTGCATGTGGTAGTCTCCCTGTACGGTGCAACGCTCGAGGTCCCACGGCACTTCCCTCGGGTCGAGCAGCTGCCGGATGTCTGCGACGAGTAGCTGCACAACATCCTCCATGCCTTCCACAGGCACGCATTGTGCGATCTTCCTGGGCCGTACAAATGATATAAAGTCGAGATACATCTGTGTGCGGTTTGCGTGGTTGTGCAGGAAGTTGGCGGTGGCATGTGCCGTCGTGTTGACCCTCAGCGCCCGGTCCAGCAGATCAGCGAAAAGCGCGGCGGGGGCCTCCTTGGCTCTGAATATGTGGTAGGGCTGGCCTTCAAATGATTTTCGGATGTGAGACACCAGCTTCTCCGAAATGTTGCGCAGGCTCTGCAGGCCGTACGGGGGGATAACCTGCAAGGCAACGACAGAAACAATCTGCATCATGTTTTGATACATTCTGAGATCACACTGCTCAATCCATGTCTCCAGGGCGGGATTGGCAAGCAGCTTCTGTACTGGTACCGTCAGAGTCCCGTGGAACGCAGTGAAGAGATGGAAGAAATTCTTCTCCTTGCAAAACCGTATGCACTCAATCAAAGAAGTACAATGCGACAGATAGAGGGCCTCCAGGGACTTTGCAGCGTCAATGTCTGTACCCTGAGGAAGATATGGCTCGATGGCTGGCAGAGTAAGACGCGCTGGTGTTTGTGATGTGTCTTCCAACCGCAGCGAGAGGATCTTGGAGGTTCGGCTCCCGGTGACGCCGAGCTCTGCTGTTGTCTGAACCTGTGGGTTGTTGTATATAGCATGCTGGTGCTGATGTGATCCGCCGGCTCTTGGGGCTTCGTTCCTAACACTGTCGATAAGGCCATCCTGGACCGGGGAGAGAGAAGGCTTTTCGAGTCCTGCAGCTGTTGAGGGCCTCGTCGTATTGCTAAAACCATATTAGAAGTGTCAATCCCGATGCCGAGTGACAAGACTCACCCCATCTTGATGCTCTCTGCAAAACTTGGTCCTGACGTGACAGAAGCGGGGGCCTGGCTCGGTACTTCGTCGAGATCCATGTCTTCATCGATCAACTCGAAGTCAACATAATGATACTTGGATTCTCCGCGGACACCAAGACGCCGTGTCCTGAGTCCCGGATACAATACCCTGACAAGCTTTCCGAAACTGGCGGGGTTCAGGACAGCAATCTTCTCGTGCGCGCACCGCTTGACGTAACTAGCATATACGCGACTGCGAGGCACAGAAGTCTTGCCTTTTCGACAGGCCGATTTGATCCTGTGAGCTGCCTGTTAGCCTGGTGGTGTACAACAAGGGCATCCCCGGAGGCCTTACCAAAGCATGGCGAACAGTTGTCGGCTCCGCTCGCTGCTGGGGCCGCGCTCGTTGCCATGAAGCTCCGTTGCCACATCCTGCAACGATCGGTGACTATTCCTCGTGAACAACTCGCGCATCTCCTGGTCATTGTTCGTATTTGACCTTGACCTGTTGGGAGCGGGGCCCATCTCGAGTCCTGAGTCTGGGGCCGGGCTATCATTTCGATCCATCATCTGGCTCGCGAGGCCGGGGTGGCCGGGGTGACCGGGGTGACCGTTGGTGGGCATGAATGTGTCCACGGAGTGCGACTGTCGGACCATCTGGGGCTGGGGTTGGAAGTGGAACTGAGAGCCCATGCCATTGTGCATCGCAGGCTCTCCCGAGTAGTCGCGGGTGGACTGGACCGGGAGGGAGTTGGCGGCGAGGACATACTCGGGAGTGGGAGGTCGCGGCGCCGGGGCGATCTGTCTGAGCTGACCGTTGTGCTGTTGATGTTGATGTTGTTGTTGTTGCTGCTGCTGCTGCTGCGCAAGCCACTGGGCGGCGAATTGGATGTCGTCAGGGTCTTGGCGGCCCGTGTCGGCATTGTTTGGCTGGGTGGTGGTGCTGCGCGCCGATGTTGTTGATCCTTCGCTCGGGCGCCGTGAAGCTGAGAAGCGCGAGTACGCTTCTGCGTGTGATACAGTCAGCGACGCGCACAAAGACGAGGTGACGGGCAAGGTTCCGTGACAAGCATGTTCAAGGGCGAAGGGGAGGGACGGAGCAGATTGTTACCTGTTGTTGAGGCCATGGAGCCTGCGTGGGTTAGTATTTGTGTACTTTGATGGCGAGTCGAGTCGCTCGCTGGACCGTCTGGATCTCCGAGACTGGATCTCCAGAGAGGATCCTATGAGCAAACAAAACTGGCAGGGCAGGGCAGATAGAGATGATGAATGAGTGGAGACAGGATGGGCTGTATATGCAGACTGATTGACCGGGTGGCAGAAACGGTGATACAACCTGCGAGCAAGATGGGCGATTTGTCTTGTTGCTGCTCTGGACTGCGAGTGGGAATTGTTATTTTGGGGGTTGTTGGCTGGGAGACCTCGATGAACCAGAGTCGGATCTGCAGGTGGCTGGACAAGCTGGGGCCACCCGGGGTATGGCTTGATAACAAAGGCTGGCACTAGCGAATGAAAGAGGAAAGGCGGGTTTCACTGCGGGGCCTCGGGGCATGTTTGTGCCTGAGGCAATTCCCCTCGGGCCTGCACCAAGCTGGCAAGCAGGCAAGCTGGGCCAAACCTGTGACAACATTGAGGGACCCAACCCCCTGGTCAGCCCAGTCCTCCCTGCCAAGCTGGCCTGTCTGCCATCTGGCCAGTGCTCACACATGTCAGCACTGTCGTCAGAGGCAAGTCGTCATCAAGGGCACTAAAACCAAGCTCCCTCCAGGGCTGGACCACCAGGTCCGCCCGCTGCTGTCTTGCATTCCTGCTGCCGTCTAAAGAGAAGCTCGCATTCTTGGACACATACTTCTCTTCCTCCACCTCTCCATAGCAGTCACCCCTTTGGATTCATCAAACAGCAGCCTGTGCCTCCTCGCTCAAAAAGACATCTTCGCCACCCTTGACCAAGTCAGTCTGAACCTGTTATCCCAGCTGCAAACAGCAGCAGGCCTGTGGTAGGCCCATTTCTCCGGGGTTCCGAAGCTTGAGCCCCTTGGCCCCGCAATCAGCTTCCTCTTTGTTGCTCCAACTTTGTGCCAGCGCAACAATCTGACCAGCTGTACTCTCTCTGCACAGATTTCACTCCTCAAGGACAAACCAGACATCGTCAACAACCTCGTTCAGCTCCATAAACCCCATCACCACCAGCAGAAACAATGGCTTCTTCCCAAGACAAGGTCCAGCACTATCTTGGCCAGCTCGACAAGGAGGTACGTACAAAGATAGTGGCCACGGGGGCAGGCCGGCCGCCCTCCAGCTCTGAGCTGCAGCAGGGCCGAGGGCTCCATCGTGTCCAGCTGCTGTAACAAACTAACATGTTGCAGCTGTCCAAGTATCCTGCCCTGCAGAACCTCGAGAAGCAGACCAGCGTCCCCAAGACATATGCCGTCATTGGAGCCGTCACCCTGTACTTCTTCTTCATCGTCTTCAACCTCGGCGGTCAGCTCCTGACCAACCTGGCCGGCTTTGCCATCCCTGGCTACTACTCACTGAACGCCCTGTTCACCTCCAGCAAAACCGATGACACCCAGTGGTTGACCGTAAGTCGCGCCCGTGTCACCCGTCTAGGTCGACCGTTGTGCTAATCGTTAACTTTTTTTTCTATAGTACTGGGTCGTCTTTTCCTTCTTCACGTAAGTTCTCGTGCCTCCGCCGTCCAGGTGGAATGGGCTCTAACAATCTTTGCGCAGCGTGCTGGAGAGCCTGCTCAGTGTCGTGTACTGGTTCCCCTTCTACTACACCTTCAAGTTCGTCTTCCTGCTGTGGCTCGCTCTTCCCACCTTCAGGTATGTCTTGTGGCCCCCCCGGCTGTCAGTGGCCCTTGAAGACCCGTCTGACAGTGTGATAGGGGTGCCGAAATCATCTTCCGCTCTTTCCTGGCCCCCACACTCGGCCGTTACTTCGGCGGCTCTACCGCTCCTGGCCTGCGTGCTCAGGCCGACAAGACCGAGTAAGCAACTTGCACCACGGGATCTGCCGACCAATCGAGGGCGCGCGTGGCCCTTGAAAGCCTCGAAGGGACATTTACTCGGCAGCGAGAGTGCGAGGATGAAACCATTGTGCCCTTGAACATTGCCGGACAAGCTGGGCCGGGCGATTGGCGCATGGGAACATGTATAGATGGGACGGATGCGTTGTACTGCTAGCTGGTGAAATGTGGATGCCAATGGGGTAATTCCTCTCTTTGAACGAGTCTTATTAGAACAGGTGATGGTTACGTTTGACTCTTGTCGCGCGTCATGGGTTGGGTGATACATCAGTTCATGAATTTGCGGTCAGTTGTCTTTTATTCGCAGCAGCTTTTACTTCCGTCATTTGGGGTCAGAATATTGCTGCAGCTAGCCGGCCGAGGACTCCATTGTTACCTAGGTGGGTGAAGGTGACGAGGACTTTGGGCAGTAGGCCCACCGCACACATCTGAATTGGGACTACGTCAGCTTCAGGGTGGTGTCCAGTAACTGCACGTAGTAATAACGTCTTCCATAATTGGACTCCGAACTGTCCAATTTGTAGATCCTGAGCGGGAAGATCCACCATTTGTGGGCGAACTGTGGGTGAAGTACTCGGGACCTCCGAATCAGGTAAGACCGCTGTTACGGGCCAAGTACCGGGAACCTGCCAGGGTCGCTGTCCGTCCCAGCGGCTCAGTTCGCCTCTGGCTTGTCGGAGATCCCAAGCAGTGAAACCTGACAACCACGAAACCAATGCCCTCTGCCCCTGTTTTCCTGCACACAGCACAGCGTCTTTGTCTACCTTGTTCATTCGGGTAAAGATCGAGAAAATTGGGCTCTGACCACTCCCTCGAGTCTGGTAAAGTCTTACGACTCGAAGTCCACGCCGCCATCGTCAGACCGAACCCACCGTCGACCACCACGGCACGCCGTCACATGCAAATAGCCTCTCTCACGAACTCCCGACCCGGCGTTTGACATTTCCAGGACGGACGCATACGATCCGAGCAGTCGGCAGCTCCGTGAGGGCATGTCCCCACGATGCAGCTCTCTCCGCTGCAGTCGCGATTCGCAGCCTCAGCCATCGCCACGGTTGTCCTGATCATCGTATACTTCACCCTCTTTCCACCACAATTCGCCTTCGCCGAGGAAACAAGCCATGTCTCGCCCGTAGTTCTGGATGGCTCGGCCGGGTTAGAACTAGCGGACACGGATTCGGAGACAATAGAGCTCGTGTACGAGCCAGAGTTCGATGCCTTCGACCGGAGTATACTTGGGGAGGTCACAAAAAGGGATACATTGTCCTTGACGAACAACGTTCCCAACCAGATGAACCTCGTTTCCGGCCAGACTCTAGTCTACGTGTTCCAAGGCTCGCAGCTGTCCAGTGCACAGGATGCTGCGGCGTTAGAACTGCGAGCTGAGGCCGAGACGTCCGAAGGGGAAGAGGTGGATGTCTTCGCAGACCTGTACGAACAAGACCAGTTGCCCAAACGGGCCACCGCGACTATGGTCTATATTTCGGCGAATACGTGCCTGCAACCCACGGGTAACTCGACGTCGTCCGGGCCCCCACAATTGACGCTTTATGTGTCCAACTCGACGGACAACACATCCCCGGGGCCGTTGGCTGATGCAAGCAAACAGGAGGTCGTGCCGTTCACGGAGGGGGCGGTTATGTTCAATCTCACCGCCTCGGATGATCTTTACATGGGTGTCTCTGCGAGTAATTATTCGGACGACTTCTCGGGGATATACAACTTCCAGATCGCCGCGTCGGTCGACATGTGGTATCACAGCTACAATGAGTCCATGAGTGACGAGCTGTTTTGGGTGGACAGCGATACGACTTCGGTTCTTCTTATGACGCAGAACCTCACTACCACCCGAGACAAGGGCACAGAGGAACAGCTTATGGAGTCGAGACCATATGTCATGTTCGCACAGAACGACGCCGTCCCTTCCATTAACGGTATGAGGTACTCGTACTGTGGCTTAGACAACTATGCTCAGATTGCTGCTGTTAGAAACGGCAAGGAAACAACTCAGATAACCACAGGCATAACCAGGCGAGGCGCAGGAGGGCATCCCAAGCAACAATTCTACTTTAGCGGCCTGAATGCCAGCTCAAAGTACCAGGGCATTCTGGCAAGGAATGCAAACGCCACGACGGATGTCAACGTTCCAGGAGGTGGTGGTCACGTCTTGCGAGCCACTACCTTTGAAACAAAGTCGAGTAGGTCACATACTGCCTCATCAGTCGTATACCGTGCGCCCACCATATGCTAATGATTTTAACAGCCGGTGGCAACTGCGCACTCGTCTTCAATCTCACCTTCTGCGACCAGGTGGCCTACGCCGTGCCCAGCAACAACATCACCTTCCCCAACACCACGCTATTGGGGGAATTTTACGACCAGTATGCGCAGTCACTCTGGGATGGCTTCAACAAGTCGCTCCAGCAGATTCCGTGCGAGGCGCCCAACGAGCAGCAGTACTCTCTGGTGCGCAACTGCTCAACATGCGCGTCGGCGTACAAGAACTGGCTGTGCTCCGTGACCATACCGCGTTGCGAAGACTTCTCGGCGACAAGCCCCTGGCTGCAGCCGCGGGCGATCAACGAGACCTTCCCGGACGGCTCCCGCCCGGCGCCAGACCTACTGGCCCCCTTCGCCGAGTCCCAGAACCAGATCAGCTTTCAGCGCAGCCGCAACCCTATCATCGACGAGACGGTCAAGCCTGGCCCGTACAAGGAGGTACTCCCGTGCGAGGAGCTGTGCTACGAGCTGGTGCAGAGCTGCCCGGCCTCTCTCGGCTTCGCGTGTCCGCGCCCGTGGATGACCGGGTTTAGCGAAAGCTACGGCCGGAGGAGCGAACTCAACGACCAGGGTAACATCACTTGCAACTACCCCGGTTCATTCCACTTCTATGATGCGGCTCCGGGCCTGGCTGTGCCGTGGCTCTTGGCATCGGCACTCTTCTTGTCTGCCACCGCGGCTGTTTTGTAGTGGGTTAGCAGAGTTCCATGGTAGACTCCGGCCCGCAAGGCAGTCTGGGCTAGTGATGAGATAGGCAGACCACCATTTGAATTATACTGGCGCCGTCTGCCCTCTAGTGGCATCACATTTTGCGCAGCATGATCGTATACTACAGAAGTCCAACAGAGACGGGATGGCAGCATCTGAATGACTCTGCGGCAGAGCAAAAGGCATTCCAAAAGCTTCTTTTCTCAGCTTTGGTTTGCTGGTTGGTTTTTGCTTCGCATAATGATTGGGTATCTAATAAGGACCAGCAGGCGTTATCAAGCCACAGTGCGATATCTATGGCTACAAAGAAGACAAGAAAGAACAAGACAAATCGCTATGAACGTAGGTGCAAATAACACGCGTCTTACTCGTACGAATAACACAGGAGGCTGTTCTTGGTCGTCATAACGTCGTCGACAGTGACGTTGTCCCCCACGCCCAGGAACGTCAGCCTGTCAGTCAGCATGGCCTGCTCCGCCGTGTCCACTTGTGTCGGGTCTGTCACTAGGTCCCTGTTGCCCCCAAAGTCGACATCACGAGCGGACGGGTCCGCCTGCTGCCACAACCACCACAGCCTATCGACCTGGGCGTGGTGCATGAAGAACAGTGGGTCGTTGGGCGACGTCCCCGGGATCATGTCACCGCCGATAGCATTGTGGATGGCGCCGTGGGGTCCGTTCTCGAGGGCGCGCCAGAATGTGACAAATTCGGTGCTGGATCCCGTCATGTTGGCAACAAAAGTCGGCGTATAGTAGTACGCCGACATATTTGCACCGCGCTCAGGGTGGTCCGGGTCCCCGAAGCCGTCGGCGAAGTCCCGGTTCAGGCAGTGTGGCCTCATCGCGCCCGAGTAATACGCCACCGTGAGGTCGGCGAAGGCGCCGTCGGGTACACACGAGGTCAGCGGGTTCGGCCGGGAGGGCGAGACGAAGCCTCCCGGGCCTGTACCGCCAAACCCGGTTTCGGCGGACCCGGAGAGCAGGGGGGAATCGGGCAGGTGGCCCGCGTCGAGGGTCCAGTCCCAGTAGGGCATGGGAAAGGAGAGGCCGCAGTCACCCTGAAGGGTTTGTTCGTAGATGTGGATGAACCACCTATGCCAGGGGAGGAAGGAGGCTACGAAGTGGACTGTGGTTTGGGATTTTGTCAGTGAGGGTGTGACTTTGAGAGAGACTTGAGGACATCGTGGCTGACTTTTACGGTTCAACTCGTTGTGTACGTAAGGGAAGTCATCGTATAGTGTTGTGGTCAGGTTCAGCCTCGACGGCTTAGTGGCCAGACATCTGACGGCCGAGATATACTCTTCCTGCTCGGCCGTGTTCAGCGAACGCCATTCTCTTCGTTGGCCAGGCTTAGTGCAGCTCTTGGAAACTACTCTATCTCGAGCAATCAAATCTTTCGTGCTCAGGTCTCGAGGATGTTTGTGGGGTGTGTGTGGGATCTGGTGGTGGAAGTCGTTGAAGGGAATTGCTCGGCTTGTCTCTATCAGAGACGAGAAAGCCTGGGCTACGATAGACTTGGACACCCACTGGGTGAACAACATGGCGAGTAGGTGGTATCCAGAAAGGAGGGTCTAATGAGTGACTACCTAAGTAGACAACGAGGGGCGTGCGGAGTTCTCACCACGCAGTTGAGGGTACACATATATGTTGTATATATTTCCCCCCTTCTACTCATCACGAAGTCTACTAAACGTATGCTCAAAGGGTATGGCCGAAATTGCCAGGTCCCAAAAGGCAACCGTCCATCATCACCACATGGCCACCTGGGCAGCTAGGATTGATTGATGGCTCTTGACTCGCAACTGTTGAGTGCTCGGAAATAGAAACGCCAAGGATCTGGAACGAACTCCCCACAAAATACGAGGTTCCTCACAAACTGGGTCAAAAAGCTTAGCATCAACTTAATGACCCCTTTAAGTGCAAAAAGGGAAGACAGACCGTCAATCTTCGCCCTCCTGCTCACTCGCCTACCCACCTAGGATTGGTAGCTATGCCTATCTAGGTAGCCTCGTAACATTAAACATATGTATTATCCACCTGCTGACCATGGACGTCGGACGTTCTTCCAGGCTTATTTGCAGCTTTCCAACACCACAACAAAATTTAGTCGCTGAAGGACCTCGATATCCAGAGTCGAAGGTATTTGCGGCATAATAGTCATAATCTGGTGCTCATGGTTGTTCCCGCGTAAAAGTCTATGGCACTCGCTATACCGAATCGCTACAACTTGCGCTCGCCCTGCCATGTATCCCTATTTTCTATAGGGCCACGAATGTTTTCATTCCGAAGGCTCTGATGGGCCCGAATTTGCAAACACGGTCGATTGGAATTTTCCGCCGGGTCCCTCACCAGATCCAAGACATCAAACCTTTCGTTCTCCTTGGGACAGTCTTGAAGGAATCTTGCCTCGAATCCTGCGCTGAAGTTGGGTCAGGGCCAGGCTTAATTTTATGCCCTTTATGACTGCATCCGCTTAAACGTAGAGACGCTCGAACCAATGGGATCGCGGGTATCCATTCTCTGTCCCCAGGCCTCCACTGATCTTCTCTGTCCAAATTTCGGAGCAGTATCGTTCAACTCCTGAGCGTGCAACCGCAGGCTCAGGGCTGGGGCCATTTCCCCGGAAGGTGGACGATGACGGGACAAGCCACCAGGCCCTGGATCGTATTTACTTGCCCTAGCCACCGGTAACTATACGAATGCGAGCAATGGACCCGCAGGACGTTCGGGGTGCTCTCAAGTGCCGCTGAAGCTCTCCATGAGCCTCGACCGAGTCAGCTGCAGGTGTGAGCATTGAAAACATTGGATCTTTTTGGGATTCCCGGCGTCTCCCTTCTAGCTCCAGTGTTCGGGAAAGGGACGCCGGCGTGACTGTTCTGGAGAAACACGCCCCATGGATTCTGGCTCCGACAGGGAGCATTGGTGGTGTGCGACTCCTGGATAGTGTCGCACCAGAACTGGGCCTAGGGGTACTTTTGAGCCAGAGAGTCCTTTGGAGCATAGGCACCCGTCATATTGAATGACAGAGGTGACTGCTCACTTGGCAAAAAACCGTGCTGTGTACAATTCTATTCCTGGGGTGTCACTTTGCCTAAGCCTCACAAAGCGGCGGCAAACGTGGCTTGTCCGATTTTGCTCCTTCGGCCAGCCGTTCTCGTCTTGGAACGGGCAGGACGAAGCAGCAGCTCGGCTTCCTGGTAAGACCGTCGAGCGAGCCATAGCGGCTCAGCCTCGTGCTCAACCTCGCGAAGCTGAAATGCCACACTAGGACAACAAGGAAGATCCGCATCTCCAGCATGGCTATCTTCTTGCCGAAACAGGCCCGAAGGCCTCCTGAGAAGGCCATCGATGCCGCTGCCTTCGGATCGAACTCCCCAGCGGCACTAAGCCAGCGATCAGGATGAAACTCGTTCAGCGGTGGCTCTGTGATGTTTCGGCCTACTGGCTGGCCGTTGCTTGCTTCACGAGCTGCTGCCAATGTCGGCTTCCCTCCCAGGTATGCCACTGCTTGATGTGTAACATCCTGTGTCATGAGGACGACAGGCGTCCCGCTCGGGATCCGGTGGCCGAGGACGGTGCAGTCTTGTACGGCTTCACGAAAGGAGATGGGTCCGGTGCATGAATGTCGTAGTGTCTCTGCAATGAAGGCGTCGAGATAATGAAGGGGGGTCGCCATGACAAGTTCGCTGGTCGGGGCAGAACACGAATCCGGCAGAGACCGAACAAGTTCTTCATGGAGCGCCTCCTGGGCGCCTTCGTTATCAGCGAGATACTTTAATGCCCACCCAATCGACGAGGCCGTCGTCTCATGGCCCGTGATCAGTAACTCGATCAGCTCACTTCGCAGCGCAACGTCAGACGTGGCATCCTCGGCTGTTGGTCTCGAGGCAGCTCTCGCGAGGACGAGCTCCAAGGCGCTGTCAGGGTGGTAATCGTCCTTCGACCTGTCCGCCGAAGTGTGCCGCGCATCATCGATGATGTTCTGTAGACAGTCCTCGACTCGTTTCTGTGCTCTTTGAAAGGGCCAGAAGAGGTTCCTGAACCCCCACAAGTACACAGTTGGCGAGATGCCCAGTGTGACCCAATCTAAGCACACGAGACAGAGTTTGAAGTCTCGATAGAGACGCTTCGGCAGAGTCTCTTGTTTACCGCGTTCCCAGCGCCACGTCCTCTTCTCGCCCGCCTTGTTCTCGAGATCTGATATAGAGGCTCTTTGTAGGCCGAAGTCCTTTCCAAGCAGCATAGCCACCATAGCCTCAAGCGTCGCCAACCTCAGGTCCGCGCATGCTTCAAAGGCCATGGCTTGTTCCTGGCTGCCCTTCAAGGACCATAGTTCGACCAGTTCCAACGCTGCATCGCGTGCCCTTGGTCCAGCCATGGTCCCCAGAAACGTAGGGCTCAGCATCGAGTTCCACGTCCACCTCAACGCTCTGAATCCGGACCCCGATGACATTCCGATGCTTGCACCAGGGGCCAGGAGCCCGAACCATTGGCCCATAAGTTTCGACCGGTCGATGCTACTGAGCCGGCGAGTCACAATTTCTCGAACCTCTGTAGGGTCCGTCACCACCACCACAGGGAAGGACATGCTGAAGGAAGGAATAAAGGCCTGGTAGATGGGGCTGCGGTGATTTCGGGACTGCGCATTGAACCATGCAAAAACCTCACCACGGGTGAAGAAGGAGATTCCCAAGTTTAGGAGGTCGCCCCATGGCATGATGTATGAGACCCGGCTGTATGGAACCCCCGGGAGTCGCTTGGGGATGAAGATGAGTCTCGAGGTATAAAAGAGAGCCGTCGAAAAAAACAGCCACAGTAGAAAGGACGTCATCATCTTTAGCAAATATGGAGTAACGAAGTGTGGGTTACAAAGAGATACAGAAAGAGGTCGGATCACCTAAAATGTAGGCTGTTGGTTCTCAACGGAGTGATCTACCAGTACCGTGATCCCCTCAAGATACGAGAACCAGCTGGGGCATCCCGATATGAACAGGCAACAATCTGAGAGCAGGCTCAAGTCGTCCGGCGCGCCTTTGGCTGATCCATGGCCATTGATCGTCGATAATCCATCGAACTAATGCAAGAGGGCGCGATTGCTCCGGCCCGATGGATGAGCTCTGTGCCCGGGGCTGAACTTGGCTAAGGGGGCTAGCGCTCACGGGCATCGGATCACCGATCAAACTGGTCTTCTGTCCGGATCGGAATGCACGGCGGTAAAGCGATGAAATGCCAGCCGCTTGAGGGTTAAGATCGAGTTGCATAGTCTCACAAATACTGACTTGAAAGGACGATTGATAATACAGGGGTGTGTGTTGGCCAATCTCCACCACCACCTCCACGGGTTTGCGAATTGAAGAGTCATGTCACTTCGATCAACATGTTTTGAAGACATGAACCTCTAGTTCATCTTGGTGGATTGAAACGGCACCCTCGGGATGTCAGTATTCTCGTTCTGCAATACAGAACCATCTTGGGCGTGGCTTTGCAGCAGATCAAGTAGGCAAAAGCATGGAGTTTCTTCTGCCTTGGTGCCTGGCTTTGATTCCAGGGGACAGCCCACACAGTTGGGAGGTCACTGAGCAGATAACAGGTTCTCGCGAGCATCTCGGCGCCGGAGAAGGGTTTTGCGCCATATGTGCCGTCTACTGTAGACGCCTACAGACCAAGCCTGGTGCTGAGTGGCCAGTCCGCAGGGGCTGCAGAGAGGGTCAAGAGAGCCAAGCTGGCCGGCTGCCATCAAGGACGGGATTTGGCGGCAAGAGACCGTTCAGAAGGCCTTCACGCAGCGGCTCAGGCCAAAGGCTTCCCTGTCAACTTGGCGACCTGGGCTTCGAGCCTCGCGACCTCTCCTACTCTGATCGGTCAGAAACCACATGCACCACAAGGGACAGGCCGAGGCAGACATACCTTCACGTTCGGCCCTGGTCTCGTCCTGCTCCAGCTTGACCCAGCCCCAGTAGGCCAGCTGGTAGGTGAACATAGCCATGAGTAGAACCTTGGCGACGGGCCTGGTGAAGTCCTTGTAGAATTGGGACTGCAAGTGGAAACGTGTCAGTGGACAACAGGCAGGCAGCAAGGTGAATTGGTGACTCAGAGACTCAGAGACCCAGAGGGAGGGAATGCCAGGATCTTACGAGGGGCGACGGCTGGTGCGGCTCTGATGAGGCAAATCGCCGCTGGATGGGGGCTTTGGATGTGATGGCCTTCGATGAGAGCCGAGCCTGACGGCTGGCCATTGACAGCATTGCTCTCGGGCTCATCGTGCTGGACTGGAGACCAAGTCCTGTCGTGAACAGTCGAGTGATGATGATATAAGTGACTGACTGAGTAGGTACTTGAGCAGACTTGAACCCTGGACTCGAAACCCTCACTGCCTGCCATGTGGGCAGGAAAAGCGTCGTGCTCCAACTCCCAGGCCCAGGTCCAAAGCAGGGTCCCCACTGATTAGCGGCCCCGCAGCGCGGTCAACTGCAAGGGCGGGCTTTGCGGACAGGGGTAGCTCTTGGACGACACGTCTACCGGAAATTCAATATGGGGATGCGGTTGTCCTAAAAGGGACCTTGAAATCTGTCCCCATTCATTACTTCAGCATCCGTTGCATTACATATAGAACCGCGTCCGAGCCCCTTGACCCGAATCGACCTGCCACCCCATCCTGCCAGCCTTACAGACCACACTCCTTGAATATTTCCAAACTATACGGTTGGCCCACTTCTTCCACACACCTCAACCTCACTCCCTCACTCACCATGGTAAGCCCCCAGGCCCTCGCCCCTCCTCCCTCCCTCGGGCGCGCGCCTTGCGCCTTGCGCCTCCCGACCACCACCACCGAGACTGACCCGGCGCACAGGCGCAAACTCCCCAGCAGCGACGGGCGAACCTCAAGTTCGCCAAGGAGCAGGAGGCCAAGATGGGCAAGTCCAGCGAGGATATCAAGAAGATGACCAAGAAGGAGACGGCAAAGTCCCCCATCTCCCCCATCTGGCTCGGTATGCGACACGCGACCCCTGGCCCCTTCCTCATGACCCCTTCCTGGCTCCTCCCCCCTCCCTCACCGTTCCAAGTCTCCATTCACGGCCATCGGAGAGCACACGGCTAACCGGACGTATGTGTCTTGGAACAGTCCTCCTTGCCTTCGTCGTCTTTGGTGGCATAATATTCGAGGTTATCTCGCGCATCTTCTTCGGCAGCCGATAAACGCCACGGGACACTTTATCCGCAACGGATCCACCGGGCAAACAACAAGAACGATGACGACGACGACAACCACCACGATGCGCCGTATTTGCGAGGCGTCATTGGCGGTCGCGATTTTGAGAATGGCATGATTGCGTGCCGGGTGGAAGTATCCCCCTGGGAGACAGAGTGCAGGCATGGCGGGGCGTTGCGCTCCCTGCCAGAAACAAGCACACCGGGTTGCGCGCGTCTGCCAATAAACGCAGAGGGCGCATGATATTACGGGACGGAGTTCACAGTTCTTGTTTCTTTATTCCCTTTTCCCATTTTATTACAGCATGGTTGGCTTTTGAACATGCCCCCCCAGAGCAGGAGGGTCAGGCCGGGTTTTAGCAAGAATTACAAAAGTTGCAGCAAGCGGGTACCCTTCAAGAGCACTGCCTGAGATGTTTCTGCCCTGGCCTGGTCGCCCGACGTTGCGCCCGTCCTCTCTGCTGTGGCATCGCAACCACGGCTGCCATTGCGCAAGCTATAACCAGCAGGTTAGGCTCACGCACCCAGACCTTTGCGCTGCCCTCCCATGTCGAACTTCATCCTCCGCCCGGCCTCGAATTGCTGCTCCAGATCTCCCGTTACCTTGCTCACGTCGAAAGACGACCGGGCCGCCCCCGAGGCAGCAGGCCCCGCGGCCGCGGCGGCAGTGCCGGCGCCCTTGCCGCCTAGAAGCCGTAGGAACTTGGCTTGCCTGGAGGCGCCGCCCTCAAGCGCGGTAACGTTCCAGTTGGCGGCCTCAGCTGCTGCTGTTGGCTTCTCAGCCTGTGCCTTCGCCAGTGCCTTCTCGCTCGCCGTCGTGTCCTTGCCGGCCTCGTCCTTCCCGCTACATTCGGCGGCGGCCTTCTTGTTCTCCTTTCTGGCCTTCTTGTCCTTCTTGTCCTTCTTCAGCGCGACCTCGTCCGCCGGAACGGCTACCGGGGCCGGGACGTCCCGTTCCTGGTCGCGCTTCTTGGATTTCTTGGGCTTCTTCGTGGGAGGCTCCTCGTCGGCCGGTGCATGCGCTGGCTCGGGCTCGGTTTCTGGCTTGTGTTTCTTGTCCTTCTTATCCCTCTTTGACTTCTTGGCTGGCAGTTCATCTTCAGCTGGGACATCCGAGGGGTTTTCGTTGACATCGGCGTCTCGTTTGCGCTTCTTGTCTTTCTTGGAAGACTTTCCGGCCTCGATGGTGGTGATCGCAGCCTCGGGTTCTTGGTTGTGCTTCTTGGACTTTTTGGGCTTCTTCGCTGGTGTATTTTCGGCATCCTGTACGGGCTCTTCATCCTGCGTTTTCTTCGACTTCTTGCTCTTCTTGCTCATCTTTGTCTTGTCCCCCTCATCGAGGTCCTCCGCCGACGTGCTCTCCTGCTCCTGCAGCTTGGCCAGGTGCGCCTGCCGGGCCTTGGCTTTCTCAACCTCAGCCTTTAGCTTCTCATCCTGAGCCTGGATCTCTGCAGCGTTGGCCACCTCGCGCTGTTGTTTCTTCTCGCGCTTCGCGGCCTTGTTGGCGGCCTTCTTGAGCTTGTCCAGCTCCTTGCGCTCGCCAGTCCATTTTCCTGCGCGCTTGACGTTGGACTTGCGGGCAGCCTTGGCCTCGGCTTTCTCTTCCCGTTTCAACTTGCGCTCCAGCTTTCGCTGGGCGCGCGCTGCCTCCTTGTGTTGCAACGCACTGTCTGTATCATGATGGGTGGTGTCAATGTTTGGATTCCTGGCGTGTTCCAATGTGCATGTACGGGTGGGTGGGTGCCATCAGTTTTCATACCATGCTTGCGGGCCTCCTTTCGAGCCGTTCCATCCTCGGTCGACTCCATGCTGCAGTACTTGGGAGTCTGGCTGAAGTTGCCACATGCGATCATGGTCCCCGGGCGTCTCCAACTTTTTTTCCGAGCTGCCTAGGTTTCTGCCGCTACTGACAAGGGTAGGTGCCTAGGCACGTCCACGCCTCATCACCCCATGACCAGTTCTAGAAAGCGGTGAAAAGCCGTCCGCGCCTGGGCGTCAAAACTATATAAACCCGGCCACCCCCAGCTCATTTCCTCTTGTTTCCCCTTCTCTTCCCCAGCCTGCGGGCATTTGGTCATATGAAACAATACAGAGCAGATTAGCATGTTCCCTGCACCGGGTTGACATTGCGACTCAAAGCGAGCTTCACCTTTTTTTCACTGTGGTCGTCAGTTTACTGTCGACACGGAGAAGAGACATTCCGTACTTTAATGGCAATCATACCTTGAGCAGCACGTGTACTTGGACATTGATGCGTGTAGAAATCTCCATCCTATCCATTGACCACTTCCAGGCATTTACCAGGGTCGAAGGGCCTTGTGTCATAGTACAATAAAATGGACTGGGACTAATCAACTCGCTAAGTGTATAGGCGGTGGACTAGTGTTGAGTAATTCGCTTTAATGAAGACTTGTCGCGTTCTATATGAGTCAGGGCCCAGACCAAAGTGGTAGTAATCGATCACCACAGGGGATGAAGAAATGCAAAGAAGCAGATCACCTAAGTACCTATTAAGGGGCAAAACTGCATGCTAGGTAGTGCCATGCATCCTCTGCAGACTCCCCGGCTAGACTCCTCCAGCTTTGCCAGGGACCGAAGAATGCTCATTCACACCAGTAAAAACAAAGACAAATGACTTTCAAAATCCAAGGTCGGAAAAAAAGCTGTGGAAAAAGGTGTTATGAGATTCTGGAAGTCAAAAGCCCACCCCAGTAGGGATTGTGCATGTCTCCTTCATACAAGTTGACCCATTTTGCCCCTGTTTTTCGTTGCCGTATTTGCTATCTTGGCCCTTTGATAGTGTTCTTGTTTGAGAGAAATTTCCGGCACAAACCGCTGTGAGAACCAGTCTATAGTTAATTACAAGGTTAGACTTCCTCCCCGAGAGCCTTTGCTACATGTGCCCACAGCCCAGCAGGCCGGTATCCCTCGAGCCAATAGTTGCCATGAGAGTCTTGGCCGGTAATCAGGAACCCATCAGGATAAGGTATGCCGGTCTGAATCTGCGAGACAAATGACGGGAGGATAGGCGTATTGCTCTTGGTCACAGCTGCGGCAGAGAAATCCATCATGTAGGTCTTGACCTTGGTCCAGTTTGAGAAGCCGATGTGGTGCATGTTGGGTCTCCCGAAGAATACGGGCATCGGCCCCAGTGGCCACGCATTTTTCCGGACCATGCTTAGAAAGGCCTCGATCTGTTCGCGGGTGCCATGCTTATTTATACCCCGGCGTATATCCGCAGCCAAGAGACCTAGGGACTTATCGACTTCCTTCTTAGTCTTGAGGACGCTTGTGAAGGTAAGACAATTAGAGACATAGGGCCTGTCCGGTGGCAAAAGATCCTCCGCGAGAGCTGAACGAGCAGACATGGCTTGCATGATTGTCACTGGCTTCTCAGGCGGCAAGTGGGAAAAAGCAACGCGTGACCACCAGGCTGTGATGAGGTCGTTATCAGTCAAGAACTGATCCTTGCGGCCGGCGCCCTCCAAATCTTGTAGTGACCTTTCTCGAAGTTTTCCCAAGAAAGCCGCCGGAATGCACACCGTCTTGTTTTGTTTCTGTCCCAAGAAAATATCGTAGCCGTTCCTCAAGACGTACGATGCGGTCCCCAGCGTGGATAACTCGGAGCCTGCGAGTGAGTAGGGCTCAGTCGGGTGACAGCCCAGCTCGCGCAGAGGGTCTTCGTCGAAACCATGCAAAAGGGGGACGTCAGCTTCTCGACCTTGCAGGATTAACACCCAGCTGTCTAAGATTGCCTTAAGGGCCATAGCATCGGCTGCAGCGTGAAGCCAGTGTAGGGTGACAATCGTTGCGTCGTTGAACGAAACAATGTGGAGGCCAGTGACAGGCCGGTCTGAGCCCAGGTAATCTTGGAGCGTTTTGGGCCCGTCAGCGCCACAGCACAGCTCCGCCCACTCCTCTGGGTTTCCTACAATTGCAGGGCGTTCTATGGGGGCATTTTTGGAGCTGGGCATGCGGGATGCCACCGGATGTTCTGCTTTGTCCATGTCGTGAGAGACATGAGTGTATGCAATAGCTGGGCGGTCGGAGGAGAATTCTCGCGGGACGTGTAGATCAGGCCCATTTTTCTTCTCACTTATCAGTGGAAGCTCAGTTTGTACGAGACCGGGGACAACTTGGGATGCCTACGCCCTTCCTGACTCTTGCACCTAGCTTCTACCAGGTCTCACACTGAACGAGTTGGTCAAGACTCGCGCTGAGCTTTTCGGGGTCAAGGACCTCATCGAATACCATGATTGCGTACATAGTGATGTTTGTGAACATAGCAGTATTATCGAAATAGTGCAACGGAATGACTAAATCTGGCGTGGATTGTACGCGCCCATTCTCCCGAGGTTTCATCATGTTGGTTTCCCGAACAGGGCATGTGGAAGATGCAGGAGAAAACATTGTGGGCTCTTAGGTAGCCCATTGAACATGTTCTTGGACTCTAGCGCTTGTTATGAACTGTTCAGGACCATTCCAAGGTCCCGAAGATGAATACGCTGATACCCATTCTGTTTGTTGGTCACAGGCTGGGTTACAGGGACTAAAATCTGACAATTGTCCAGAATTGAGATAGCTTGGGAAGCAATGGCAGAGATTGTTTAGGCAACAGCGGAAACCGCTGTTTTTAGACAAGATATGTGGGTCACTTACATGGTTGTAAGGATTAAGCTCGACTTGGCCATGTATTTATCCACCAGCAGGTGTCGTGGACGATAAGCGACGCTGATCGCGGTACAACATTCTTTCACTCTAGATTGCAACGAGTCAAAATGACAACTTGTGGGCATGGACCGTTGGCCCGAGCTCGTCAAATGAAGGTAACATAAATCTGTTTTCAAAATGATAACTTGAGCGTTTACCACTGTATGAAGGCGCCATGCATGTCTTCGGATGTGTGTGGAATAGAAGTGAAACTAGTTAGATGATAAGGCACTAAATAAAGCAACTTAGAGTACTAGGTGGTTGAGAAATAACTTGGGTGTGGATTCTTATAGGGTGTTATAGTGTACTGTTGCTTGAATTAACTATTAAACAACCCACTGTATTTTTATAACTATTATTAACATTCTATATTTTTAATCACTAGGTATTTAAGTGTTTACTACTATATAAAGACGCTATGTATAGCTTTGGATATATATGAAATAGAAGGGGGTTAGATAGTTGAAATATATAGTAGAATAAGGGGTTGAATATAGGGGGGGGGGTGTTAGCGAAATCTAGGCAGCCTACATTACTATATAAAGGGACTGTCTACACCTTTTAATATGTGTCACAGGTTAAGAACAAAACCACCTACACAACCAGCTAAGAACGTATAATCACTGGTTTGTTAGTATTCGCACTTGTGCTAACAGTGTGGCGCCGAATGAGGACGCAGTGTAACAAGCAAAATGCCTTCTTGGCGAGGCTGAACTGGGCCAGGACATGCAAGCCTATTCTTTTGAGCAGGTGGAACCCATGGTATTCGGTGCGTTCTATAAAGGTCTCGCTGTGTGAACCAGAAGCCTGTTCCCGAATAAACTCCAACTCTCAAAATCGTCAATACTAGACAACAGTGACCATGGTCTACAACGCTCCCCGGTATCGTAACACATATTATTATACACATTAACCCGCCTGCTGCAAGGATACAATCTCCTGGTACCGCCTACTCAATCGGCGCATCTCTCGAGCCCCCAAGCTCCTTGGACGGCTTGTGAATGCGCACGAGCCTCAGGAAGTAGTCCTCCAATACGAGCAAATTCAGCATGATGCCCTGGGCGTGCCACGCCACGGCAACCACGCAGGCGCCTGCAACAGCGTCGAGCACAAAGTGGTTGGCGGTGGCAACGATTGCCGTGAGGATAAGACCAGGGTACGCCATGCCGCCGACGATCAGGGCCATCCGCTTCCAGCCGCGGAACTGAACAGGCATGGTGGCCACCGTGAGGCCGATGAGGAGCGAGTAGCCGAAGTGGAGGGATGGCATGGCCGCTGTGAGCAGGGAGTCAGTTTCGGAATGCACGATGGTGACGGAGCCCCTGGGCATAGCGTCTGTTTTCCGGTCACAACAAGTGATTCAAACTTACCATATTGGTTACAGAACCGGTTCGTGGTCCACACGCTGCTCTCACCGTCCGCACCGTGCACTGTGTCGACGAAGCCATAACCCTTGGCCTCCTTCGCGTCTGGGCCGTCGAAGGTCGGGTCGCTCAGCAGCCTCGGCGGCATGCAGGGCCAGCACGTGAAAATGATAAAGGCGAACAGGTTGCACATAGCCATGGTTCGCCGCCTCTGCTCGTAGAGGGCCGGGTTGAGGGCAGGTCGGCTGTTGGAGGTGGGCTTGCTCGGCAGGGCACTTTGTGCATTTCGCCTCGGCCGCGTCGTGGTGAGGTAGTAAAACATGACGAGGAAGAGGATGCTTCCGGGGATGTGAACGAAGGAGTACACCCGGTTGGTCCAGCGCATGAGCGTTGCGTGCTGGAGGAACCACTCCTGGACTGGGCGTTCGACGAAAATGTGCAGCCGTTGTTCCAAGTGGATGAGCTGCAGGGCATGTCGCCGAGCGACATCGACGGTCGACTCATCCATTGCCAAGGCGCCGATGGCTCGCCCAACTTGGTAAACCTTGGGAGGAGAATTTGTGTTAGTATGAATTGGAACAGGCGCCCGATCATGACCTCGTCATCCCCAGGTGAGGAGGTATGTCGTTTGTTCGAACTGTACTCACCCAATAAATCAGGGCCCAGTACCAAGCCTCGACAAGGAAAGGCAACCTCCGCAATACCCGGCTGAGAAGACGGTCCTCGAAGACCTCGGTGTTGGGCGTGATGACCTTCTTCTCCCACTTCCAAAGCCGAAGCGTCCGCTGTCGCCACCTGGGTCCTAGGTCGTCGTCGCCCTGGCTGAGAAGTGTTGTCGAGGAGCTGCCCAAAGAATCCGCGCTCCATGGGCTGAGCGGCATCGTATCATCGCCATCCCCCGACCACCGCCGTCCCGACTCGGCCTCGAGGGCATCCCCAGCAAACGAGCGCTTCGGCGAGGAAGAAGACGATCTGATACCCTTCTCATAGCCGCCCCGTCTACCGCTGCCTGGCCGATCGCGGTTGAGGATGGTTCCCCCAGCCAGAAGGCTCACCACGATCAGGGGCTCGAGAAATGCTCCCACGCCCATGGTTGGTGGGTGTCGGAGGTTATCGGATCGGAAACCTAGGTACTTTGTGCCTCGTCAGGGTTGTGCTGTTCCTGCTGACCCGGCTTCCAGTCGATGTCGGTCGTGCCAAACCGATGCCTGTGTACCTTGTACAGCTTCGTCCGACTTTATAAACAGAGATGTCGGTGGAAAACGGCTGACCAGGAGGCGGCTTAGAGGAGGGACCGCCAGGTTTATACGTACACGTCCAGAATGACGGGCACGCGACCACCTTCAATGCCCGGGGCGGCCATGGCAGCCTTACCGCAGACAGGTGTTACTGTGGCACTTCTTGGCCGACGTGGTGGACATGCATCCTTGTCAGAATCCTAGTGGATCATTGCCGTCAACCAGGGTGAAGCCGCCTGCCGCATTGCAAAGCGACGAATCCGAGGCTGCAACGGCATCACAGACTAGCTGGGAGAGGGCCAAGCGAGTCTTGGCAGGTCTTTTCACAGGTCGGCGACACACCGTCACCCATGCTGACGGATTGCAGCAGTTCCGCAGTACTCCGTACGAGGCCGAGGGCCCGGTGAGTGGTCACAAATTTTCCACTGTGCTGTTATCTGCCTTCGGTTCCCGGCACGCCTGGGCGGCAGGGCGGGCACATGATGACGGCCGGCGGACCCCACGGATAACAAGGGACTTCAGGAGGTTGTTGCTTCTCCCAAGGATCTCTTGGCGACACTAGGTTGGCCGAGCGATCCGAAACACTCGTTGGTGATTTGGGCAACTTACTGCCATGCCTGTGACGCTCAAACCTGAGATGCCAATATCGTCCCATGTGTTTGTGCTTTCTGGCATTTCAATGGCAGTCGTGGGGCTGGTGGGGCAGGCATGGAAACAGCCGTGCTGCGAGAGACCTGAATGCAATTGCCGTACTGCATACTGTGTGGCACTCCGTACCTTGATCCTCCAACAAGTCGATCCGTGGAGGCCAATGCATCCTTCGGGGCACGGTTGGGTCACTGGAAGGAAGCGGCACCCACAGTGCCCTCGGACGCTGTCCATTTGATGACTACCTCTGTAGTTATGCAGTGAAAATCTTAACTTTCGAATCCTTGAATAAAATTCGACGTGACCCTGGTTACTGACTGATCATCATCCGGTGGTCTTCTAGACTTTTGCATGAATTCGGAGTTGGTAATGTTGTCTCTCGGCCCTCCCGCTTCGACCCTACCCCCCGGGATTCTCCATCTTAATCAGGGCTCCTTTCTCCAAGACTAGGGTACGATGCAATGAAAGAACTGACATTTCATACATGCACAAATTACCCTCGTCGCCTGTCCGTTTCCCTGCTCAGGACAATACTACACCGCATGGTCCCATTACTCCCTACATATGAGAATGCCGAACAACCCACATCCATGATTTATCGACACATTTCCGACTGATACGTCTGTGGAAGAAGCTTCTTGGCAAGAATGGAAATAGACCCGTGCCCCCCTTCGAGATGTGTGCCCGTAATGGACCAATCTGGCCCGGAATCTTCGGGAGGGTCCAACGCGCGTCAGCTGTTGAATCCGTTGAACCCCTGGTCGAGGAGCCGCGCTTGAAAGCTATTTCCGTCACCAAGTACAGTAATACAGCACAGATAGCTAGACACCAAGAGACGTGGCAGTCAAACCCAGCTAACCAGAACATATAGTTACATTAAAATATAACTCATACTAGTAACAATATAGTGATAAGCTAGATTTATATATATTAAAGTTAAATATACTATTAATTATAAGTATATATTTAAGTGTCCTTAGATATATACGGAATAAAAGCGAAACTATATATATTTAAGTAATTAAAAGGTTTATTAATATTTATTTAATAAATTAATATTATTTATTTCTTATTATATTTTTTTATATATTAAATTTTTAAATATTCTTTTATATTTATTTTATATTTTAATTATTATTAACATTTTAAGAATAACTATTTTATTTCTATAATACTTAAATATAATAGTAAATAATAGTAGTTAAATATAATAGGTGTATATAGCCTCAGCTTTACGACACACATGTAAGGCTAAGGGGCACTATCTGGACGGCGGTGTTGACTAGAACGCCGCCAGTAGTATTCATATGGTTGTTCTCTTCTGAAGTATGAATGCTGGACAGGCCGATGGTGTAGGCTCCAAGAGAGGCTGCAAATGCTCTTTCGCATCCTCAAATGTAAGATCTGAATCTGAGTCTTGATCTGACATTTCTAGAGCCTCAAAGTGACCAATGAGTCCGGCTTCCATCTTGCTATCGATGCCCCTTGCAGAGTTGTCAACACTCTTTAAAACAGATATCAGGTCATTGAAAGCGCCGAGAAGTTTCTCCGACGCGTCAGTTCGGGCTTCCAGGACTTGAAAACAGTGCTCGATGATGTATGTATTATCTGTGCGGGCACGCAGATGTTCGGTGGCTGCCAGTATCTGCATTGTCTGAGCGTCGGCATACTGGGCGACTACCTCGAGCAAGTTTGGTCCCTTGAGTCGTGGGCATTCGTTATACTCGAACCATCGCTCCAAAAGCAGCCTCAGAACACCGTGATTGTTGTGCTCGATAGCTGCTGTCAAAGGAGTCTGCTCTGTTTTGGATGTGGCGTTGATGTTTGCGCCGTACTCCAAGAGTAGCATTGCTTGGGTCGCACTGCTGCCCCGTGCCACATGCAGAAGAGGTGTCATGCCGTCCACACCGCTTGCCTCAATGTTAGCATTGAAGTCCAGTAATGTCTTCATTAGCATTGGATCTGTTGCATTGCGAGCGGCACAGTTTAGAGGCGTGCCAAACTTCACCCCGTCCGGAAGCCTTAGGTCGGGCAGAGCACCAGCTTCTAAAAGGAGTCGCACACATATCGTATGATTCTGATTCGCAGCAAGAGTCAAAGGGGTGTTGAGCTTCTTGTCCATGTTGTTTGGATCCGCGCCGTAGCTGAGTAGCGTCACCACAGCAGTCTTGTCACCTCGAGCTGCGGCCCACTGCAATGGCGTCCTTCCCGTCGAGTCTCTGAGGTCCACATTGCTTGGGTCCTTGCAAATCTCTTGCTCCAGGCTGTGGTACGAAAGCCCCAGCACTATTTTGTGCAAGGCTGTGAAGTTTTGGTCGTCCATAAAGTCACTCCCTTCGGCGATGATCCTTAGGATCTCAACAACCTCGCGCGGAAGGCCGCCCCTGAGAATTATATCGCAAGCCTTGTCGCTTGGGCAATCATCACTTGCGGCTATCGGCCTGTGCATAACAGTTAATTGTCCGGTCGTGACTCATACTGTTGGGAACATTGAAGACGACGAGAAACTAACCGATAAGTAGGGTCAGCACCTGGGAACCAGCGTTCATGAGGAATTTGCACATCTCATATTGTTGACCGTACAATGCCCACTAGATGACAGTCAGTAACATGGGCTTTATGAGTGGTCGTAACTGAATTACCCGAAGTAGTGAGTAGCCTCTTGTTGAGCTGACGTCCCTGGGCGATGCTAGACCCTGACTAAGGAGTCTTTTCAGTCCATCGATATTGCCGCTCAGAGAAAAGCTCACACTCTGAGCCGAGTCCGGTACCCTCCTCAGAGTACTTATTTGGAAAGATGGGCCTATATTCGTCTGGTATGCGAATTGCAATCTGATGATTTGGGACCAACAGAAGCCCAGTGGAAACCAGTACTCGACATTGATGCTGGGAATCTGACTCCTCTCGCATGTCAAGGCATCACATTTGTTACCCAGAACAGGCAGCCCGGCATAACCAACGAAGAGCTGCCCAAGAGCCTGCTTCATAAATGAAGGACTAACAGACCTCTGCTGAGTGTGGCAAGCACATGGACATTTCGGTCTGCAGCTGTACTGAGTCTGTCTGAGACGGACTCCGACCGCCTCCGACCGCATTCGTAGGTGCTCCTCGGATATGGGGCTCATTGGAAGCGTTGCTCGTTTCCTATAAGCTGGCGGCGAAACATCGTAAAGTGACCCCATTTGGGACACCTGAGAGACCTGCATTTGTGTTGTCTGAGCCTTCAAAAGTGCCTCAACTCTGCTGAGCCGCTCTTCAACTCGGAGATCCTGTTCAAACAACGTTTTGGAGAAATTTTGTTCGTGTGTGTGCAAAACATCCTTGAATGTTTGGTCATTTCCAAGGGTGATGTTCCGTTCAGGTTCCTCCAACTGGACAGCTGGAGAGGCTATTCGTTCCAGCTCAAGTCTGATGCGCATCATATCCCATCTATTTAATGCGTGGATCAGTTATGCGTTCAATATTTTTCATAAGTAGAAGTAGCCCAGCTCATGCAGTGCCTGTGCACGCAGAACCACGCGGGCGTTTCCCATGGCTTACGAATTCGACGCCCCAAGCAGGACATTCAGACTAGACTTCAAACTCTTGATATCATGTTGTATAAGACCGATTGCTTCTTGCTGTTTGCGCCATAGTAGAGTTCTGAAAACCAGCTCCCGCTTTCTAGAGCCTGAAAGCTGGATACGAGTGAGCAGTTCCTTGAGATCAAGGAGCCGGTTCCTCAAGCGTGCTGCCTTGCACAAGCAAGTCCTGTACGTGGGGCTCGGCGTGAGTTTCGACACTACGCATTTGTCGTTCTTTGATGGTGTTTGTGACTTGAAATAGCACGACTCTCAAGTCCTCAACCTCGTTGTTCAAAGCGTGAATGCGGCCAGGGAGGGCCGCGCAGTCATGCCTGATATCCGTGATGATGGTACATATCTGCGTGGCAATAGTTGCCACAGCAGCGACGCTGGCAGTAAGCGATAAAGGATCAATTGGCAATAGTCGCTCGGATGCCCCGATGCCTCCCACGACGGGAAGGATGGTTGTTGAGAAAGGGGTTTTGCGATGATCTTAGGCACAGATGAATGCTGAGGGCTCCGGGATGAGCCCACGCTCCTGCTCAGCCCATCTCCTCTTCTACAATTACCACAGGGCAGGTTCGCAGTTACGCGCCGCACCGTCCCGAATGGGACAAGCGCCTGCCCACTCAGCTGTCCGTTGGTGTTCAACACCTGGGCAATTTCCAATGTCCAACTGGACAATCCGCGTACTCATATGCACGTCTTACCAGTTTGCCTCTCACATGCACAGCCGACTCTTCGCTACACACTGCTGTCGACTGCTGGTTTCCCTTGTTTGTCTGCGCTCACAGTGGTTCTGCTTCGGAAGCTAGAGACATTCCGCATTCTATTCGAACGGACTCGCCTGCCCCCGGGCATCGCAGTATTATGGACTCCCAGATAACATCCCGCACGGATCCCACTGAAAAGTTTGGGGTCGAGATTCGCAAAGATCATTTCTCTTTCGCTCAGGGTTACAGACCGCTCAACCATGGGTCTTTTGGGGCCTTCCCTCGGACTGTAGCAGAATATCAGCGGCAGCTTCAACTCGAAAGCGAGGCGCGGCCCGATACCTTCATTCGGTATACCTATCCAAAGCTCCTTCAAACAGCTCGATCTGCAATAGCTCCCTTACTGGGTGCTGATGTGAACGAAGTCGTCTTCATCCCGAATGCTACAACTGGTATCAACACCGTTTTGCGAAATGTTGATTTCAAGGACGGGGACGTTGTAATACACTTCAATACCATTTACGGTGCCTGCTTGAAGACATTGCAGTCCCTCGCAGAAGGTGCTGGCATACATCTGCGCAGTGTGGACCTCACGTATCCCGTGGGTGATGATGTAATTCTGGAAAAGTTTGAAGAAATGGTCCATTCGGTTCAATCACGGGGACAGCCGATCAAGATGGCCGTTTTCGATACTGTGCTGACGTTTCCCGGGGTGCGATTTCCTTGGGAGGCGTTGGTGATGTCGTGCAAGAAATTTGGCATTCTCAGCTTCGTTGATGGCGCCCACGGCATCGGACACATTGACCTATCCCACCTTGGCAGCTCAAGCTTGAAGCCCGACTTCATGATATCCAACTGTTACAAGTCTGTTAATCCTTCTCCCCATACAACTTTAATATCCTGCTGCTGACACCATATCTAGATGGCTTATGGTGCCTCGGGGGTGTGCTATTCTCTATGTGCCCACTGCAAATCATCGTCTCATCCGTACCACATTCCCCACTTCCTGGGGATACGAGAAGCCTGACACGCGGGAGTTAATGGACCCCTCGGACTACTTTGTTCGTCTGTTCGTCAAGGTATCCACCACTGACACCACCCCCTTCGTCTGCGTTCCTGTGGCCTTGAAGTGGCGACAAGAGGTTTGTGGCGGGGAAGCCAGGATCCGTGAGTACTGTGAAAGCATTGCGAGGGAAGGGGGCAGGCGGATGGCCAAGCTACTGGGCACTGAGGTCCTTGGCGAATGCTCAGATTCAATGCAGCGATGCTGCTTCACGAATGTGAGACTGCCGCTGAGCATAGCCCAGCTCGGTGTCCAAGAAGTGGATGGAGCACGCATAGCCAAGTGGATCCAAGAAGAAACGCCAGACAAGTATGAGACGTACATACCGACAAAGTTTTACGCGGGAGCATTCTGGTCGCGTATCAGCGGGCAGGTTTACTTGACTCTAGACGACTTCGACTTTGCAGCGCAAACGCTGCTTGAGTTATGTCGAAGAGCTGAGGCTGGCGAATGGAAGACGGAGTGAAGGGTGGTGGTGAGAGTAGCAGGCGCTGGCCTGCCATCCGAGGTCCATAGGGATCAATCGATATCATTCATCTAGCTGTCCATGTCAAATACCTTGCTTGGCAGAACACTAAGAGAGGTTGAGTTAATCCATGAAATGATTTTAGTCACAAATTCGAATTGGTCTCTTTCTGTCAGTTGAAGTCTTCTATAAAACGTAGTGTGCAGTTTGGCTAGACTTGTAGCAAATGAGAGGATTGGCTCTGGAGCTTGAAGCGCACATTCTTTGATGGGGAAAGGAGAAAAGATCCGTCCTGAAGTAATTCATGGGTTGTGGAAAGTTTTGAACGCCCGGGTGAAGCTTGTCGCTGCCGAGGCACTGGGTGTTGTGCTCAAATGCCCCTAGCACTTTTGAAGATTGTAATTCCGGGTCCAGCTTGCCGAGTATGTGGTGGTCCTGCGGTCAAGAACTTTTTAATTTATCAAAAGAGGTCGGTCATCACGTTCAGAAACCTCACCTGACCAGGTCAAGCCTGAGAGACAGAGATATAACTAGAGATGACTAGGTGAGCATGAGTCGTCACACAGGTATGACGGGGGCCGCTGTTTGTTTTCGACTTTGGAGAAGCAACTTGCATTCACAACGCTTGAAGCACGGTCTACCCTATGGTACTTAAAAGAGGCTAGTGGGCTGAGTTCCATACCCCCACATAGTCAACTTCCATTGCGACCTGTTCTCCTGACACAGTCTTGTTGTTTGGGGGTCCCGGCCAATTGCCTCCCATTGCGACATTGAGGAGGAGGAAGTGCCCGTCGTGGGCGATCTTTTCCCAGTTATCGAAGTCGCCAACATCAGCGCCCGTGATATTGTGGACTAAATTGCCATTCAGATACCACTCCAATCTCTCATTCTTCCATGTTTCGTTGGCTTTTATCGCCCGATCGACGAGGAAGCCAACATTGTTCCAAGCATCAAATTCCCAAGACACGCCTCCGTTCCCTAAGCCGCTGTACTCGTTGCATGGGCCCCCGGGCGCAAAACCACAATGGAGAGTGCCATAAATCTTCGGGTCCCCATTGATAACTTCGAGAAGGTCCCACTCACTGGCCATGGGCCAATTTGTGTAGTTGCCTCTGAACGACTCGCCCAGTGCCCAGAAGGCAGACCAGACGCCCTGCATCTTCGTCTTGTCAACGCTGTGGAGCTTGATGCGGCTGTTGATGTACATTTTGCCGCCCCTTTTCGCAGCAAAGTCCGTCCGCTGTGTTTCCAGGCGCGCCGAGGTATAATGGACTGTGTCATTGCGGAGCGAACGAGGTGCCTCTCGGGGAATGATTTTCATCGTTCCTTTCCCAGTAAGCACCGAATTCTCCGTTGAGTTGGTATAGTACTGGAACTCATTGTTGCCCCAACGCTCAGCGCCTCCCGGATACTGTGTTCCCAAGGAAAAGATCCAGTTGTCTGACGATGGCGACGTCCCAGCTTCGCCACCGAAAGTTTCGAGCCATGTCAGCTTGAACGGTCGCCATCCGGGGTCATGGCCCTCGGAATCATGACTCTGGCTGGAAAATAGTGACGCATCCAGAGGACCGAGCTCCAAGGAGGCTTCAATGGATGATGATCTGGGATGTACTGGCTTGGCTTGACCTACGCTGATAAGCGCAAAGAGGATATTGATAGCGAGCGACTTCATAATGACTGTTTGCAAACTGAGAAACAATGAGCGACTAGTATTGGCAACGAAGGACTTCAGTGGGTGCTGATTTATATGGAATGAACGCGACTTGAACTGTTGGTTTGCTGAAGCGGCCCCAAGGTCTTTAATAAATATGAAGAACCAGCTCGCTAATCAGATCTCAGGACAGACATGTTGCCAAGCACACATCAGAACGCCAATTACCGGGCAGAGCATATTAAAGGAGATTATGGTTGCGTACCTTGCATGGATATTCAGCCGTCTAGCCGATTCAGGGATGGGTTCCTGGTGTATCGGGCATCTCGGCACCCCTACCTACTAAGTAAGTTCTCATGCTGACGAAGCTTGATAAATGGGCAGATAAACTTTCACGGGGGTGAATTATCGGTTCCGTTAGGCCAATGTCCATTTTTTCCCCTTCTCGAAACACCAGTGTTTGCACAACTTAAATCGTGCTTTCCCACTGTGAAGGAGACTCTTGGAAAACCACTCGTCAGGTGTCCCATTCTCGTGCTGCATGTGAGGCATAACCTTGTGCGCCACAGGCGCGGGATCGACAGCTGTCCATCCCACACCGTCGGTGCTGAAAGAAAATTGCCAGTACTGTCCGTTTGAGGGACATCAATCTCTGCTGCAAGCATGAAAAAAAGTGTCGCATAAATTACAACGACGGGCCAGATTAGAGCTCACATCTGCAGAGAACCAAGGTTTCGATAGTCGAAAAGCATAAACTATTCAGGTAAATCTCATCATCTCCGTGGCTTTTAGCTTTTTTCATCGCAAAGTACCGCCCACTCTCCTGGTGTTTTATCACCGCCCAGCTCCACGGATACAGAGCCGGTATTACTCCAGAGTCCACGGCGCTGGCTCTGCTCCTATCAAGGGGCGCAAGCACACCCGGCGCTCGACTGGACAAGAAGATCCAAGGATTCACAAGACCGTGTCGAATCTCACGCCAGAAGTCGATATCGTGGTCATAGACAGCAACATTGAACAGCGTGATGGCGGGCGATGGAGTTACTACCCAGCTTGTCCCGAGGTCTGCACAAACGCCGCGACTTCACCAACTCCTCATAGTCCTTGGTCTTTTCTTCTCGTGCAACAATGGACTCGTATTTTTGAATTACCTTCCTGCTGTGACAGGCGGCGCCTCACTGTATGTGGAGAGGCTCGACCAGCAAACCCGTATTCTAAACTCATGAATGGAGGTATGAGCAGCCGTTTAAGCGTTATGGCATGCCAAGTGTCCCAGGGGACTTTCGGCATTCTCCCCGCGTCATGGGTGACAACATGATAACTGATAGTAAAACTGACCTGGCCGTGAATATGCGCTTCATCTGGAATTTCTTGACACATACACGCACACACACACACATGCACGCGTCCACGTACCGAAATACTAGGCCTGAGCAGTGGAAGGATTGCATAAGCGGTGCTGTTGTCAAGCCAATACTACCCTAGGTATCACGGCATTCCCAGACCATAAGAAGCGCTTGCTCTAATACCTTAGTGATATCGGCATTGCATATTTTGTATAATGCTGGGTCTTGGAGCGTTGACTGCTGTATGAAGGCTCCGTGTATGGCTTCAGACGTATGCGGGATAGAAACGAAACCAGATGGGTTCTTATTCCCAAAGCCCGAGTCCCTTGCTCACTTGCAGGTTCTGCGTGACGCTGTTTGCACCCAGAGACTTGACAAACCACGGTCAAGACTTTTTAGGTTGCCGCTATAAGTTTTTTAAAAATGGGTTTACCTTAAGGGAGTTCCAGCTCACACGACAGAGTACAAAGTTCATTCCACCATGCTAAAGCGTCACTCTGGTATTGCCAATTCGCTTCCAGAGGGCCTAAGCCCCGAGTCACTGAACTCTGTCAACCATCCCATATATTCTAATTTAGTGAACAATTCGGATTGCTTCATGTGGATTGTATACTATGATAACACAGCCAAGCAGAACCAGTTGGTCCTCTTAGGACTCTGTCGTTCTGGGGAAGGCATATAGGCAACTACAGGGACACGTTCCCAAGGCAGAAATGCCATTACATCTCCTTGTAACGTTGTAGCCAATGCCAAGCAGATGTTACCAAGCGCTCACCTGGGGTAAAGCAAAGTGTAATCAGCGAAGAGCACAAGATGGCGCCACAAATCCCACCGCTGGCGAAGGGGTGGGTACATGCAGGTCATAGTAGCGTGAAGAAAGCGGCATGAGGCTCCAGGCGAAGTCCTGCAGGTTTTACATGCCCGTACCACGCATACGCACATGTACACACGCCCGCTGACTCTTGTGTTGGGGGGGTGAAGTATCATTGGTGGGTTGGTTTGAGTTGGGAAGAAACGTGGACATGGAAGGGATCTAGAAGGATCCATCCCATCTCATATGGTCGAGAACAGAACTGTCCAAGGCGGTCTGATCCTCGCCCTGCCAGACGCGCAAGCCCCTCGAACTCCGATGTCATCAGCGTTCCCAGGTTGGGAGCAGATACGCGTGTTCCTCACATGCAGCCCACAGAATAAGGTCGTGCCTGGCCAGAGGGGGTGGGGAACATGGCGGGCTAATGCAAGCCTGTCCGGGCTAGCCTCGCTGGAATTGAGTTGGGTGGGCGCAGGGATGGGCACACTTCTGGGCGGACAGGGGTTGACACGACAGCAGACACTTTTGCCGGACCGTTTAGGCAGACACGACCTCTTCTGGGGATATCTGTCTGTTACTTACGTATGCGTGTACACAACGTGCACGCGCGTGCCTGATCCACTTTGGCATGTTTTGGTTTTCCCCCCTTTCCTTGTGCTCCCATGATGTGGCTGCCTTGCCGAAACGCCCTTTGCGAGAAATGCAATGCCTGCATGCGATATGTGGCGTGATGGGTGCCTGGCGCTCTGAGGTGGTGCAAGACGCCGTTTGTTTTCGCACGGCCGTTTGTGATGTTTCGGGTGTGAACCCGGGCAGTATGTGAACAACGAGTAGACGAAAGTTTTTTTTTTTGGCACATGTAAGATGTTGATGATTGGGAGATCTATCAAGCCTGCTCCAATGCCTGTCTTCTGTATGTCTCCAATGCCCACGAGTTCTTCCCCGCCGCGTTCTCCTTCTTCCTTGTGTAGACATTACAGGATGCTTGAAGCGGCCCATTGGTGGTAGTAAATAAATGGACGACCAAGACCGGAGGGGTATATTCAGCCGTTGAAAAGGTCGAAAAGGAAGAAGATTAGTGAAAGGAAATGAAGAGATTGACCACCAAAGACATGTACCGCTTTTCCAGACCATCCATATCCTCCTGTGAAATGAAGCAGGGGCCTGCTCGTAAGCCGCTTTGCTGTATTCCAAGGTTTATTTCGCCAAAACTCCGTAGCCGAACCAAAGGTGAGTTGGGTGTGTTTCTCACACCATCGATGACTTGTTGGAGATGGGTAAGCCCCTGACACGTAACCATCGACTCTCGCCCAGCAGCCCAGCCTCCAGGCCTGCTGCAAGTTTTCCCGCCGAGTAAGCAAGCACATGCTATTGACGCCTGGTCAACAAGGAACCAGCCTCTACGCTGCTGCCTCGATGATTGAAAAAAAAATACAGATCTATGCATGCTGCCTTGCACGTTAGTCCAGCTGCCTAATACATCCCCTGCCTTCCTGCCAGTCGAGGGAGAAGATAAGAACAGACTCACATATTCACGACCTCCCGTTCCCTGACCCTTCCCGGGGGCAGAATCCTCCTCCCCAGCCGGGTCTAGTACCTCGCCCCCGAGGTGCTGTTGCTGTCCCCTGAGAAGTTGTCATAACCGGAGCCCGAATCGAACGACAAGTACGAGGGTGATGAGCCCGAGGTAGACAGGGCGTCAAAATACCTGCTGTTGTCGTCCGCCCCGCCGGCGCCGGCGCCGTACCCGCCGGCCAGCTGCGCGTCATACAGCGCCGGGTCGTAGAAGGCGCTGTAGTCGCCGTACTGCTGCTGCTGGTCCGACAGGCCGCCCCTGCGGCTCCCCCGCCGGCTCTCACTCTCGTGGCCCATTGCCACCATGTGCTGTATGCTGACGCCGCCCCACGGCACCCCGGACAGGTAGTCGCCGTACTCGCCGCCCTCGGGGGACATGAAGTCCTCGGGCACCGGGACCTGGTAGGCGCTGCCTGCCAGTTGTTCATTGCGGGACTCGCGCTCCTCGCGTTCTTTTTGTTCGCGTGCCTTCTCGCCTGTGAAGTGGAAGGGGTCAGCGCGGGTCTTGTTGGCCGGGTGGGTGAGAGGTCTTCGAGCTGCTAGGAGGAAGTCTGGACTACTTACGGAATTTCCGCTGCGCGATCCTGTTCTGGATCCGCCTCCGCTCCTCGGGCTCGGTCACTTCCGACCAATCGTCGCCTTTTGAATGGTGCTTGGACGACGAGGAAGACCCGTGCCTCTTGGAGGAGCTGGATGACGAGTGGTGGTGATGGTGGTGTTTTGAAGATGAGCCGGACGGCATGTTTGTGCTTCTGAGGCCTTCTGTCTCTCGTATCTGAGCTGGAGCTTGTTGACTGCTTCCTTGCCTTTGTGCTGTGCCGTCTCTCGGGCGCTGTCCCCAGAGCCTGCTCTCCTGGGAGGTAGTGGGACTTGGGTGAGGTCAACGTCTCCCCTGAGCGCTGGTCGTCTTCCTCTTGGGGCGAGGACGCGTCCGTGACAAGTTCGCAATTGACTCGGTGAGGGCCGAGAACTCGGGCGAGGACATGCAATAATTAAGTCTTGGGTATGGGAATTTAATTTGATGGTAATGCCCTGACCTATCTGAGAAGAGTGACTTGTGGCTGGGACAGGCAGGCAGGCAGGCTGGTCACATGTGTGATAACTTATCAAAGTTGATGGTGTCTACTAGAACACCAACTCGGTAGGATATCGTAAAGGGCAACAGGCTTTGCATAAGCAAGTATGATTCGTAGACAGCAATGTGGTGAACAAGGAGGTGACTGAATATTCAGGTGGCAAGTTGGATTGTTTATATAGGACCTTGTAGAGGCTCGTAGCCGGCCGGGACGACAAGGGACTGCCTTGTACGTGTAAGTCCTCACGTACACACCAGGGTAGACGCGCAGCTTACAGCCCGGGGCTGGAGGGCTCCGGACCAAGCCGAAGTTGACGATTGTTGCCCCGGTGGAACATGGAACATGGTGACTACTGACTACTGACTAGCTGCCGCGACAGAGGGTGACGCACAATTCCGACTTGGAAGGGTGCGGTGCTAGCAAGGATTGCGGCAGGTGAGAAGATGCCGCCGACGCCATGCCCACCGCAGGAGGAAGGGCTCTTGGGAAAGTACCTGGGCATGGGGGACGGGCGGCGGGTACACTAGTACCGGCAGGGTGGGCCACGGGGCAAATGACGATTGCGGGAGGATGGGAGGATGAGAGGATGGGAGAGGGAGGCGTGGACTCCGTAAGAGCCGGGCAGTGAGGCCAGGTATCAGTGTTGATTGCAGATGGCCAAGGCGGGCAGGCAGCACTGGAAAATGAAACGGTGCCTCATAGCTCGGGCAGACCAGGGAGGACCAAGATGGGCCGAAGGGCGTGGAGCAAGATTGACAAGTGATGGGGCAGCCCAGGGTCCAGCCTTGCTTACTGGCATGGAGGGAGTGGTTAGCTTTGTCCACTTGACCAGGCCTGCTTTGGCCATGTTGCGCAGAAGCATCACTAGCCACGCCGTCGGTACCTCATTAGTCTGATCTGATATCGGTTGTCGGCCCTGGGCGTTGTCTTGAGAGGGTGGCTGAATGGGTGACCGCGGGTGACCGTGGGTGACCTCGCCTGTCGGCTTGTTTATCCTCATCGGTACCTTACATGGGTACTTTTGGGAACCGTCCTGAGGCTCAAAGTCACCGTAGGCAGGCGTAGTACTTGAGTAGACAGAAGCCTGTTTGACGAGGTGGATATGAGTGGAGAAAAGCTGCAGAGAGCTGGCATGCCGTCGATGGTTGCGCATTTGAGCAATATTCCATGCCCATGTTGAGGCACAGGACCGAGGAGGGGGTCAGTGTCTTCAGCCGTCGGATTGAACGAGTTGGTCACCTCTGTCTAGCCGCCTCGGCAGGGTCGAGGCAGCAAGGGCGTGAGGCTATCAATGGTGGTGAGTCGCTGCTGGAAGAGGATGCTCAGTGCTGGGCTTGGGGCTCCTCGAGCTCCTGCATCATCTATGGTCCATGGTCAATCGAACCCCCGGGTGACTCATCTGGTGACTCGAGCCAGCAGAACCCTTGCCCCTGAGTCACCCAGCCCGGCTAGTAATAAGCGAGAAAGGCTCTGGGCTCTCTGGTTGACCATGACGAACTGGTCTGGTGCGCCAGCTGACCAATCCTTCGGAGCTCGGGGTCGGAATGAGCTCTCTGGGCTCCCTGGAGAGGGCATGGTCGCATGGGCCGCCACAGCAAAAGCTTAAACGTCCCTGCTGGGCCCCTGCTGGGCACCTCCACGTGGGGATGCGAACCCCACTGTCCCCTGGGCTGGCAGGCTGGCAGGCTGGCACTGACACCTAGAAATTATCGCGCCAATATTATTATTCCCACTGCTACGGCCGGCCGGTGAGAGTCGGAACGCCCGCCCGTTAAAAAGGTCAGCGGACACGAGGACCAACGGCCACTGATTCGCCAATTGACAACTCCCAGCCGCAGCCTCTCTGCCCCGAGCACACTCGGCCGGATCTCTCCTATTCTCGTGTTCTTGTGACCTGCACAGACTGCACCCGAGTTTCATGTTCCCGCGAACTTCCTATATGCGCCCGAAAGGATTCAGGACTCATCGCCCGGCAGCCCTGAAGCCCAGGTGGCCAACTGCACTGCACTGCACCCCCACCGGCCGGAGCAACTCTGCTCCTGCTGAGGCAGAGGCTGACGTCTGACGTTTGACGCCTGACGTCCAGAGATGCAGGCGCCACGCCCGCTGATCCCCGCCTGGGGACAAGTGTAGAACAACTGCAGAACAAACTGCAGAATGCCGTCAAGACAAGACGCGTATTGTTTATTCATGATACGCAACAGGGTGGGTGGTTATGGCGTGCGGCGTGCTTCGGTTGCGGGGTTGCATCGGAGCAATTGAGCTTTGCTGGGTGCCTAGTTTTTTGTGGATGCGCATTCGACATCGGATGACGCGGACAGAGGTTGAGAGGTAAGCCTAAAGTAGCCAGCCGGCCCAGGCCAGATCACCCTTCCTGCCTTCCCAGCCCTGCCAAACCTAAAAGGAAGGTTATCGGTTATCGGTTATCGTGAGGAACACCGTCGATCGACGCCATACATAACACGCGTTCCCATTCCAGATGACGTTGTACCAGATTGGATGGCTTCTTGACTGCACACTGGTAATAAGTTCTGCCATCAACCATCGCCGCCCCAATCACCATGTCCTCTTTGTCACCGCCTTTTCCCGTCCCTTCTTCCTTCTAAAATGCTGCTTGGACCTTCCTTGGAACAAGAGACATCACATTTACCCACCCGAAATCCAATTCGCTGCAGTACTTCTTCTCGCCTCTTTGCTGAATCGACCCGACAGCATGGGAGTGCGAGCATGGGAGCCCCGGCCCGGCCCGCTAAACTCTAAATTGTGGGGCTCAGCTCATGGTCTGCACTGGTGTGCAAGCTGTGTAGTGTGTAATCGCAGCGCCTCGGCCAACTCAAGATGAAGCCAGGTCTTATTCCAAAGCATACATGCTTAAGCAACCTCCAAATTTGCATGTATACCGACTATGCAGATGGCAACCCACGCTATCTCTGTTAGAATGCTGGGCCTCCTGTGGGAGCGTCTATGCACGCCGGACCAGACACTACACGTTGACGTCAGGCACGCATGGCGCTGTCAGTGCTCTCCGAAAAAGGAGGTCGCGGGCCGTTGCATCCGTACCCCGGTGGTTGGTGCGTCAAACACTGTCATCATGATCAACAAAATGGAAAGCTGTGCCTCTCGTCTTCTGGCACAGTTGCAAGCACACCACCCGCCCGGCCGCAGTGGGGGCCCAACCCTGACTGCGTTACCTGTCCATCCTCAGGCATGCTAGACAGTGAAACAAAGTACTCGGCGCGGTGTGTCGACACATTTGTGCCAAATGTCTGACCTTCCTCACTCTAGGGTGCTGCACGTGCGTGAATTTTCGATAGGAGGGGGCCATGCTGTCCGGCATTCTAGACACGCACATACCGCGCCACTTTATGTTGGAGACTTCGGAAAGGTCCTATTTGCGGGGACCCAAGTTATTCAACTGGTCAGCAGCTGTAAATAAAGTGCTGTTTGGGTTGAATGTACACTCCAGCGCACGTGCGGCCCTCAATTGCCCCGAGCAGTGCCCACATGGCTTGATTTGGAAACGGTGTCGATGTTTGTACAACGGCCATATAGGCTACACAAGGTGACTTATCATATCAGTATGCAGGGCATCCTCGGGCGGCCCACAGCAGCCTAGGCCTCGCGCCTAAAGCCATCTCACGCAAAGCCCATCGATTCCCGTGCCGCCTTGCGCTCGGCGACACGCCTCTTGAACCTGACCTCGGCACGCCTCCTCTCACCACCGTCGATCTTGCGGCCCCTCTTCTCCTCCCACATGCCCTCCGTCACGGCGACCGTGGCGGCGCGGGCCCCCTTCATAGGCAGGGCATACGGGCCGACGACGGCGCTGTTCCCCTCGACGTGGTACCCATCGACGCTGACCCTCTCCTCGGGCGGGACGTCCTCGGGCTTCTTGTCCATTGGTACGTTGACGACGTGCCGCGAGAAGTCCAGCGGGCCCCGCTCGACCTCTATCACCGCCAGCTTGGCCCTGCCGTCCTCGACGTGCTTGATGTCACCCCCGGGGCCGAAGCGGCCCGCCTTGAACTTCTCGCGCCAGTGGATGAGGTAGCGCCGCGTGCGGGGCGGCTCGATGCCCAGCTCCCGGAGCTGCGGCGACGTCAGGGAGAAGAGCGCCTCCCACGTGGGGAACTTGGCCGTGTGCGAGCTCAGGCCGCGGCCGATGAGCGTGAGGAATGTCTTGACGTCCGGGACGAACGGGGTCGGCGACGGTATTGTTGGCGCCTTGCCGGCCTGTTGGTGTGCGTGTCTGGTCTGGAGGCACTGTTGGATGCTGGTGCTGGTGCTGGTGCTGGTGCTGGGCCGCGTCAGGAGGCGCAGGGCCGTCCGGAACTGCGACGTCTTCATGATCGATCTGTGGCACTCGCGGTCAGAGTGCGACAGGGGCCTTGCACATCCGTTGGACGAACACGTACCGGTCGATCACCATGCCACTACCCAGAGCTAGAGAGACGGTGCACCCTTTACTTGGCAACACGGGTTCCAGTGCAGGCGGCGCAGGCAGTGCAGGCAGTGCAGTGCAGATGGAGCGTCCCGAGGCGTCGAGGCTCTTGGGAAGCAAGCTGCAGTTGCTCAAAAATTCCTGGTTGGCCCGTGCGTGCTCCGGAGCGGTTGCGGATCGGCGTGGCAGGCAAGACGGGCGACGTCGTTGGGTGGCGCCGAGCTTTATCGATAATCCACATGGGATTACCAATGACGCGCGACCCACCCCCCTGTACCGAACCCCTGCCCCCACCAGCTCGTCACCCCATCTATCATTGATAGGACTCGCCCCAGGCTGCCACACGCTCTACGGTCTTCGTGGATATGAACCACTTACCTCCTTCCTTGCACTTACATTCTCTTTCCTTCCTTTCCCCCTCCCCCCCAACCAATCGTCCCCATCATCTCCCACCATCTGTCTCCTCAGGTCGGGCTGGGCACCTCCGTCTTCAAGACGGACGCACAGAAGACCTGCAGAGACCTCAATCACTCACTAACTCACTCGCCAACCAAACCAACATGAGCCGAAAGGCTGCCGTTGGCTCACAGCCAGACATCACCGTTCATGTGCACGCAGCAGGTCGGTCACCACTGGCCTCGGGCCTTCACGTCATCAACAAGTAGCCACTGACCATCCCCACAGATCCGATTCCATCATCTCTCATTGGCCTCATCCGTTCCTTTTATGCGAAGGAGACCAATCGTGATGGCCGGCCCGCCAAACGCCAGAAAACCGATGCTGCCGGCCCCGAGTCCGTCACCATCGTTCGGGAGCAGCTCGTGATAGAAAGGACAAATGCCCATCAGCCTCTGGATTTCACATCCTGTCATATTTCCGGTGTCCAGTCTCAGCTTCGGTTCTGCTTGGCTGCCTCGGATGCCAAGGCAAATCCCGCGTACTCTTACATCTTCACAGTCTCTGCGAGATCACCATCCAAGGGTGGCAACTTCTGCATTGCTTTCCCACTCAAGACAAAGGATGTGCCAGATCGTCTCGCAGCAATTCTCTCAGCACGCGACGTCTTGTGGTCTGACCCTGGCACCCAAGATGCCATCTGGCTAAATGCAGACGTTCGTCTCGGTGCAGATGATGGCACCACTGTACTCACATTTGACTTTCAAGTTCACTGGAATGTTAGCACCTCGGTCTTTGCGACAGTATTTTCCCCGTATCAACGGAAATTCAGGAGACAGGTCTTGGCTGAGGCGTTCCCGGAATTTTTCACCCCCCCTGAGCAGGACCACCCAGACTCGTGCTCGCCTCAGATGTTTTACGAGGCAGCACACGTCCCCAATCAAAATTCCACTCCACCAGAGGACTTTACCATTGAAGGAATGAATGCGACACTGTATCCTTTCCAACGTCGAGCTGTACAATGGATGCTTCGTCGAGAGGGTGTCCAGTGGCAAACAGACGGAAATGTTAAGGACGTCGGCTTCGAACCCTTCGCTGCCCCAAGTGCGTTCACAGAGGTGCAAGATGCTGATGGCAAGGTCTGCTATATCAGCAAGCTCCTCGGAAAGGTCACCAAAGACCTGGCAGCATTTGCCGGATTGGAACAGAACTTTAGAGGGGGCATTCTCTCCGAGGAAATGGGTCTGGGAAAGACTGTTGAGATCTTGGCACTTTGCCTTCTCCACCGCCAACATGGCGAGCCTGTGGAGGCGTACGACTACTATCTTGGAGAGAAGGTCAGGTCGACTCCCGCCACTCTCATTGTTTGCCCATCGTCCTTGAAGAAGCAGTGGCTCTCAGAACTCAAAACGCACGCACCTGATCTGGACGTCATGGCATACAATGGTCTTAATCAGCATGTGCGGGAAGAGCAAAGCAGGGAGCGTGCGCTCATTGAAGACTTGGCTAGCCACGATGTGGTTGTGACTACGTATAATGTGTTGACCTCCGAGTTGGACTACGCGCTCGGTGAACCAGACAGAGCGAGGCGGAACCCCAGGAAGTACCACCGACCCAGGTCTCCACTAACACAACTATCTTGGTGGCGTGTCTGCCTTGACGAAGCTCAGATGATAGAGAGTGGTGTTTCAAAGGCGGCCACTCTGGCGCGGCTGCTTCCCCGCGTTCACGCTTGGGGCGTCACTGGAACTCCTGTGAAAGACAGTGTGGAGGACCTTCGAGGCTTGTTGTTGTTCTTGCGATACGAGCCTTTCGCATCGAATGTCGCGGCCTGGACTGCGCTGGTCAAATTCCATCAAGACGGCTTTCGACGACTCTTCAACCAGCTATCCCTGCGCCACTCGAAGCGGCTCGTGAGACACGAGATAGACATTCCTCCGCAGAAACGGTATGTAATTACGATGCCTTTTACCGCAGTCGAGGAACAGCACTACCAAACTCTATTCAGAGAAGTGGTTGAAGCCTGTGGTCTGGACCCACAGGGTGCGCCGATCCATGAAAACTGGGACCCAGAGGATCCCGGTGTGCTAGAGGGAATGAGAACCGCCTTGGATCGGCTGCGGCAAACCGCATTACATCCTGAAGTTGGACAACGAAATCGAAGAGCCCTAGGGCACAGAAGAGGCCCTATGCGCACCGTGGCAGAAGTTCTCGATGTCATGATCGAGCAGAGTGAGGTTTCCATACGTGCCGACCAGCGGGCGCTGCTGTCAGCTAAGTTGAGGAGAGGCCAATTGCTGGAGAACTCACCTCGTGTCAAGACCGCGCTCGATATTTGGAAAGGCGTCCTAGAGACCATTGACAATGTCGTACAAGAGGCACGGGAGAAACTCCAGTTCGAGATTGAAGTTGCCAAATCCTCTGGCAAAGAACGCATCACGGCAGAAGACGACGCCAACGATGAGGAATTGAACACAGGCCGTGCAGGAGAGGCCCGCAGGCGTTACCGATCAGCGCTGGAAATTCAGCACAAAGCCGTCTTCTTTTGTGCTAACGCGTACTATCAAATCAAAACTAACGAGGATATGACCGCGCCGGACTCGGACGAGTTCCGACGGCTTGAGGAATTGGAAGTCGAGAGTTACGATACTGCGAAGAAAATACGCCGAGAGATCCTTGATGAGAGCCGTCGAAAGGCGGAGAGGCTGATGAGGAAGATTTCTGATGCAGCTTCTAGACAGACCTTTGCAGTGATTCCGGAGTACAAAAGCGTCGACAAGCAGGGCATTGAGAGCCGGACAGTGGTCGAAGACTTGGCAATCCTCGCCGACGGCCTGAATGAGCAAGCCAATCAGCTCGATGACTGGCGCGAGCATGTTATCCAGCTTCTGCTCAAGGCTCTTGTGGACGAGGACGACGAGAATGAGATCACGGGTGACGAATATGAGGACTCGACCAAACTCATGGAAGAAATCGTGGTCTATATCCAGATCCTTCGGGCGGCCATTGCTGATCGTGAAGAAGCTATCACGGGCCAAACAAATGAGCTAGTCGAGCACGAGGCCAGGGTTTCACTCCAGCAAGCTTTCATCGGTGAAGGCCCATTCCCGGAGAAGGTGGTGGAGCTTTTCGCTGTGCGCGAGAAGATCAAGCCCAGGCCGAAAAAGGGGCAAGCAGATCTTCGCTCCCTGAGAGCCGTCGTGGCGAAGCTGCGTAATGCGACCGTCAAGCTGCGGCATGAGCTCGCGAACGGATCGAACCGTGTGAAGCTCGAACTAGAGATTGTCACAGAGCAGCTCAAGACCACGCAGAGGCAGCTTTCTGAGCAGCTCAAGGTTGTGCAGGCAATGAATTCAGAGCTGGACCTCTGTACCTCCACGATGAATGCGCGAGTCGATTTCTACCGTCAATTGCAGAACGTGTCGGACTCGGTCAAACCGTATGAAGGACCCTCTGGTGACGAGCAGATGAAGGTACTCATAGGTCAGGAAGAAGTGCTCGCGGACAAGCTGGAGGCTTCGAACGCGAAGCACAGGTATCGTAAGTTTCATTTCTCTGTTTCCGACTTCATGTTCTGCTTCATCCCCCCCCTAAAGGTAGAAGTCTTGCCGCGAGACTTCATTTCCTGTCAACCATGACGTTAGGCATCACGACTGACGGTGATCTAGTTATCCATCTCAAGGAAATGGATGCCAAAGACGGTGACCAGCGGTTCTGTATCATCTGCCGAGAAAACTTCACGCTTGGTGTTCTGACTGTCTGTGGCCATCAATTTTGTAAAGATTGTATCACGCTTTGGTTCAGGGCACATCGCAACTGTCCAGTATGCAAAAAGCATCTGAACAACTCCAGCCTTCATGACATCACTCTGAAACCACAAGAACTCAGGGTTCATTCAGATTCAACAACAGCCTCGCCAAAGAAGTCTGCCGAAAGTCCCAAACAAAACGGCACCACGTCAGCCAAAAAGTCTGTGATCTACAGCGAATTTAGTGCCGACAAGTTAGCCGAGATCAAAGACATTGACCTCGACGGGCCAGCGTTTACGACCAAAGTAGACAATCTTGTGCGGCATCTACTATGGTTGCGGGAGTCAGACCCGGGAGCCAAATCCATCATCTTCTCTCAATATTCCGACTTCCTGAACGTGCTCAGGTTGGCATTCCAACGATACCGAATCGGCTTCACCTCGTTTGATAAGACAAACGGCGCCACGGAATTCAAGGAGAATGACTCGATCGAGTGCTTCTTACTGCACGCCCGGGCACATTCGAGCGGGCTCAATCTGGTCAATGCCAGTCATGTTTTCCTCTGCGAGCCGCTCATCAACACCGCGCTAGAGCTACAGGCCATCGCGCGAGTGCACCGTATCGGGCAGGACCAGGAGACAACCGTCTGGCTTTACATTATAGACGGCACTGTTGAGGAGTCCATCTACAACCTATCGGTCCGGAGACGTATGGCCCATATTGGCGACAACACACGGGCACATGGAAAGGGCAAATCCACAGAGGTCACTCCGGAGCCCGGTGACGAAGCGATCGAGGCGGCCAACTCGATGGAGTTGGAGCACGCCAGGTTGTCGAAGCTGATGCGTAAGGGCAAGGCGGCCGGCGAGGCGGTTGACAAGGGAGACCTGTGGGAATGTCTCTTCGGGCACCTCACCCTCGGCAACTCGGTGAACGGCACTGGCGGTGCTAAGGAGCCCGGCCCTGCTATTCGGGGCTTCCTTGCTGCCGAGGCTGCGGAGCAGAGGCGAGGAGAGGCAAGCGAGGAGGGGCCTTTGCGCCTTGTCAATGGACTGTAATATCTGCAATACGACCTGCATGGAAATGATGCCGGTCTATATAATGCCTCCCTGGCTGGAGATCAACCCCCGGCTCCCTAGTAATGAGATAGAAGATGTACGGCTCCTCGTCCTAAAGGGCATCTTTACGTGAGAAGGTTGCCCGTTGATAAGTAGGAAAGAAGCTTTGTCTTGGTTCCTCAACATGCGCTGCTGGGAAAATAACAAATGTACACGCTTTGGTAATGCGGTCCGAGCAGCACGGTTATGATGACCTAGGCAGGTACAACATGGCTGTGCTACAATTTTCCGTATGCAAGGCGCTTCCAGCCACCGACTCGACCTGGTAGAGAAGGAGAGACATCTCGGCAAAGTTCGGCATGAGCCGTGGGCCCCTTCGAAGTTAGGAGACTCCCGAGTCGGAGTAACTAGCTGTCTACCTGACTCGATCGCCCGCACACGGTTAGGGAACATTTGGTTAAACTAGCTTGGAGACCAAGAACCTTCAAAGCAGAACTTGGGACTCCCTGTGGGTATAGGAATTGAAAGTAGCCATGATACAGTGCGTCATAAGAACCTGTCAGCTCTGGATAGCAACTAGTCTGTCCGCGGAAGAAGCCGAAGGTGGGTAAGACAGGAACAAGCTCTTCTTCGAAACTGAAGGCGCACATCCTGTGTGTGAATGTGAAGCCTTGGAGTTGCCCAAAGGACTGCCACTAGGATGGAGCCTGATAAGTCACGAAGTAGGACCAACGACTGATTGCATGCCAAGACAGGTACAAGCACATGAACAATTCAGCCTGCATTGAGCAGAGCCTTATCACGCCTACTGTTTTGGAAGGCCACATCGAGACACAAACCGGGAAACAAAAGCCGTAAGCGCTTGTGCCCGTTATGGATGTACGGTGCGCGCACGAGTGCGACCACTCACGTGCCGATCCGCATACATACTACGCACTTTCTGTGAGCCGGTGATGTCTCATCTTAGCACAGGCTGGCTGCGGTACAATGGCTGGGCTTGCCCTCACGTTGTGGCCATCCAGGCTGCTGCGCACACGCCCACAACATCTAGCATGTGACGAGGCTCTGGGCCCCGGGGGCAGCTTCCCTTCGGTTTATATACATCCTTTGTCCTCGCTGCGTGGAGGGGCTCCTCGCCTGCTCAGACATCTCAATCGTCTCCTCTCCAGCTCTGTGAACGAAATCTTCCGGACACTTCAAGTTTCCCCTCAAAATGGCGAATCCTGCCGAGGCGAATACCGCGAGGCATCACGGCATCGACTTCTTCGGCTCCAAGGTCGGGGGCGGCCAGGTGAACGAATACAACTACACTGATATCCCCAGCAAGCTTCTGTTCTGGGACCTCTTCTACGTGTTCTACTATGGGTGGTCGCTGCCGCTCATCATCAGGCCCCTGAGGCCGCGGGAGGGGAATCACTTTGACGAGCTGGCGTGGGGCTGGGGGAACGCATACTGCGTCATGGTTCACACGATCCTGATCGTCATGCAGCTTGCGTTCCTCATGTGTATCCCGGTGGCATTCTTCATCCCGCCTTGGGTAACGGCGATGTTCGTCGGGGTCTTTTGGGCCGTGAACCTGCTCCTCTGCTGGACGCTCAATGGCTCTCACATGACGTATAAGTCTGACCCGAAATACACTGCGGGGAGGGAGATACATGAACACGAAGAATGGCTGTACATCAACGGCGTCGCTACTGGGCAATACTGGCTCAAAAGCAACCTGAACAGGCTGGCACTTACGTTTGGAAGGCCAGTCTTGGGCATCCACAATTCAACGTGAGTGCCGCTTGCCTGTTATCCAACCCCGAGCATTTATCCAACTAACATGACACTGAAGGTATGGGATCATCTTTGACCTACTGGAATGTATAGTGCAACGCACGTTCGGCTACCCTACCAAGGACATACGCCGGTGCTACGTGGAGGTGAAGAGGGCATTGTCCAAGGAGAAGAACACCAAGGTCGTGTTCATCCTTCACTCCCAAGGGGGCATCGAGGGCAGCGCCATCATCGACTGGCTCCTCCAGGAGCTTCCGCAGAACCTCCTGTCGAAGCTCGAGGTCTACACCTTTGGCTGCGCCGCCAACCACTTCAACAACCCATTCCGCAGCGCCGCAGCGGAAGCCGAGGCAGACAGGAAGCCCCTCGCCGCTGCCGTCGACGCGGCCCTCGGCCTGCCAGCAACGACGCAGTCCCTCCCCAAGCCGATCGACGCCAAGCCCCCTCAAGACAACAGGCACAACCCACCGCCGACGCCGCCGACACCGTCCTCGCCCGTGCTGATGACGACGCCACCCGCCTCGCCCGGCGCGCTGGCGGGCCGCGAGACGGGCAGCCGGAACCCGGCCGCGCTGAGCGGCAGTGCCATCGGCCACATCGAGCACTACTGCCACTCGACCGACTTCGTAGCGCTCTGGGGCGTGCTGCACTTCAAGGCGGCGAGCGCGGCCGACCCCGCGGCGCCTGTGTTCGCCGGCCGCGCCTTCAGCCGCGCCGCCGCCCGCGGCATGGAGGGCCACCTGCTCTGCCAGCACTACCTGAACGCGATGTTCCCCCTGGAGAGGGATGCCCGGACTGGGGAGCTGGTGGGGTGTGCCGAGACCAATGCCTTTATGGAGGGTGAGGTCACTGTCGGCACGAATGGGGAGGAGGCGCGTGGTTCCGGCGGTACCAACGGCGACGGTGGCGAGGAGCAGCAGCAGCAGCAGCCTGGCCCGCCCGGCTTCGGCATGTTGGGCCGTGGCGAGAAGGAGACCATGACGCGAAAGGTGAAAGAGCTAAGCCGGCTGTGGCAGTACCGCAATGGGAGAAGCCCTGGGATGAATGTGTAATTAGTTTACTGCCAGTCGAGATTCGAGAGGAGGCATCCTTGGCCCTCTGTTTGGAATCAAAAGAGGAGCATTGTGGTGGAAATGTCAAGGTTTGATCTTTGCTTAGACAGATTCTATTCTGCACTCTGAGGTTGGACATACAGAGGGATGAAGCCGAAGTAGAAAGATGTTTGCCCCGAAGCGTCTGTGCAATAGTTTACAACTCCTTTAAAGGAGAGTAGGTTCGTTTCTAATCTCCATACATATATAACGTATGTGCAGTGGTAAACGCTTAAGACCCTCCTATAAGAGAATATAAGCCATAGGAGGTCCAAGATTAGATAAATACTTTTGCGGACGGGTCGCTTCTGATACTTCACGGAGCGGGCTAAAGCACCCGTCTGCTGCCTACAACATGATGGGGGCAACCGTTGCTGATCTCCATTCTTGACACATCGAAACTTAAAAGCCATAAACGACCAGCAGGCGTTGAAGTAGTGCGCCAAAATCAAATTTTCGTGGGATTATTAACCCGTGGGAAGGTCTAATCAATAACGGGTCACCAAAGGGCCTATGCCCATCAGTATGCTCCTCCTCCGTGTGATGGCTGCGCAATTGCTGACCTGCGCGCGCACACATAGGCCAAAAGGCCTACAATAAACAACTAGTCGTCGGTCATTCACCAGTACCTACAGCCATACCGTCACATTACCTCCCCAAAGGCCCTGCTTGAGCTTTAAGGCAGTATAATTATAGTGTTTTAAACCTAAAGCCATGAGGGGATGAATAATATATGCCTATGAATTTTAGATTGTGATTACGACTGACTGCATGTGTCAGGCCCACAGCGTAAAAGCACCCCTATAAGCATTCCTGCTGACGCTTCAATGTGCGCCTTTGTGAATTGTCTATTGCACTGATAAGACGCCGCTTGCGTCGGGTGTCGTCCGTCAGCGGGTGCGCGCCGGAGTCATTGCCAATAACAGTTGTCGCCACCCGACCCCAAGCGGAGCATGCATTAGACCCTCCCACCTGCAGCACAATAGCGGCAGAGCGGCAAGCAGCCAAGCAGCATCACAGCTGGCACATGCGAAGACTGGAAAGGTGGAGGCATTTACGGAGCATGGGGCTTGCTAGCGGAACGCGATAGGCCAGAGGGGAGCCACTCAAGCGCTGGCTGCCACCCCATTCTACCCATCCTCTCGAGCTCTTCCACAGCCCATAGGCCCGGTCCCGCAGCCTGAGAGTTGGTCATCTGGTGGACAGCGTTTGTGAGAGGAGCCAAGCAAGATAAATAGGCCACGTGCCCTGCGGCAGGATAATGTGAACTCCCTCTTCCCCCTCTCCTCCATCAACTCAGCTTTCCGAAAAACTCTCAAGTCAACGTCAAACCCACGCAACAGGAATACCCTTGCTTTATAAACCACTCAGAATGTGCGGAGACAACTGTTCCTGCGGCTCCAGCTGCTCCTGCAGCTCCTGCCCTGTCCACAAGAAGTAAACTTAGATTGGTCGTCATCACATTGTCGGGGTAGGTAATCGGGGAGAACCAGGCGGCGGCGTTTGTGAGGGAATCCTGACTCATACTCTAGGACAGAATGGTCTGGTCTCATTGGAAGGATATCGGCGGCAGAAAGGCATCAGGACAGAATGAAATCGAGCGTCTGATAGGGTGACTTTCCTATCTAGCTTGGGCGGGAGCACAATGAATCTGCCTTCGGGGTCCAAGATTGGCTGCATGCTCGCCTGAACGGACACAGCCTCAGGCGACCTCTCCTAGTACCTATGACTATCTAGCATCACCAAATTCCGATACAGCCTTGCTAGGCCAGCTGATTTCATTGATTTACAGGTGTTGTTGTGTCTCCCTCCACTGTAGACTGGTAGTTGGCCGAGCTTCTGCTGTTCAGGGAGCTGTTTGGAAGAGGTGATTTCTGTACACAGTCTCCACTATTCAAGACCGATTTCGCCGCCCCCGCTCAGTGGCAGAGAGTAACACTAGTGCCTAGCCTCATGTGCGTCGTTGTACCCATCGTTTTTTGTAATAAAGCCAAATATTGACCTCATTATGAACCCTGGGAGCCCCGTGCAGTACTACAGTACATATGGGCGTTGATTTATTGGCGAGGATCCTGTTTACCTGGCCTATCCGAGTAAGAACATTTGGCTAGTAGGTCTGCGAACAGGGACGATCAGCAAGGTGTTGTAGTATCGCACCTGACATCTACTAATAGTACAGACCGCATACCAGGGCGCACATGGTACCTAGGCATGTGTGATACCTCCAGCTGTAGAACCGTGCTGGCCACAGCTCCATAGCATTTGACGCAGGCAGAATGTTACGTTGATACTCAAAAGGCCATGCTCGCAGCAATCAGAACGACATGCTTGCACGCGGAGATCAACATCAAAGGAACAAGTCATGTGCTGCCAACGTAGACCATACCCAGGTACTACTACTGCCCGTCAGCGCAAGGGAACGAGGAGAAAAGACATACCTAGGCCGTGTAAAGATATCCGACTGACTTTTAGACTCGAAAAGAATTCGCTTGGGATTAGTCAAACTATCATCGTCACCTGGGCACGTACGCAAAGTACCTAGGTAGTATGGGAGGAGGACCAATCGCTCTTTGCATACGGATATGATGAGGTCTCTCCTTTCGAGCCGCACCGTCTCTACCTAGAAATGCCGATGCCAATGCTGTGCTCTGCCTCATACTTGGATCTGCATGTTAATTATGTGAGGCCTGACAAGGAACCAGGCAAACGGCGAGGGCACTGGCGAGGTGATAGGCCGAATAAGTTAACTGGTATTATGTGCCCAAAGTTGGAAAACGAACGAGTGATAGAAACAGCATGCCGACTCCAGATAGGTACATACTGAAACACATTATAGCTAGTGATTCTCATGCTGTCTCACTTGATTCCTATGCATTGAGAAAAACAATTTGTGGGTTGCCAGTGAATGCATAACCCCAGGCTTCGCAGAAACAGGCCATCCTGTACGAGAGTCTTTTATGCTGACTGCTTGTTCCAGCTTGAAGATGCCGTGGGCCATCGCACCTGTTCATTGTCATACCTTCTTTGATTCATAACACTGCAGACTCATAGACTGTACTAACCCCGTTATGAGCCAACCCATCACACATACAGAAGCTGCCCTAAAGTGTGAGCGTGCCAAGAGTCTGGCCCACACAAGGCTCCAATGGCGAAGGAGGTCGTCTCCTGTCTCCTTGCCCTCCACGGGCAACCACCCCCTCACCACCTATACGTTCTGCCCCGGCAGGGACCAGCAGGGACGAGCCAGCGCACCTGGCTGGGCGGTGGAGGTGGCCCTCAGCACAACTCAACATGCCGACATATGCCTAACTATCTTTGCAGATGAACTGTATATATAGCAGGGTTCTCCCAGAGGATCAAGACGTATAGCAACCACACGAAATCGTAATGGTGAGCCCCGCTGATGGAGAGCAAGTCAACGTAAGCCACATAAACATGACGGCAGTGATTTCAACAACTAGATACTGCGTAGACGATAGGGTTTCCTCCGAGGAAGGCGCAGCGGTGGTAAGGAAGAGGAGCTAGAGAAGTCGAGGATTCGACAGAAAAACCCTCGGGGCTGGGAGGATCTCCAAGTGACCTAGCAGTGGTACCTACACAAAGAGTCAATACTAGAAGGGAGCCGAGCCCTGGCAAGGGACTATCCCGGGACAGCGAGAGGCAGGCACGGAAAGAATGCCAGCCAGAAACACGAGACAAGTGGGAGGTGATGGCCATTTGGGTATTGTGATTCTTGATTTCGTGAGGCGTCAGGACGGCCCGGGACACGGTCATCACCATGCCAAGTTCTCGCCCGAATATATCTGCATTCCGCAAGACCGGCAGTTATACCGGCCCCCGATTAAAATAACCCCAATGACCACCACCTCTCCCAACAGGCTTCGAAGGGGCTTCGACAGGGCTTCTCGATCCTCCTCCCTCGTTATCGCGGTGACGAGACCTAGTGACGCTCAGTTCTCTCAAATCGCAGGGGACGAAAGACCAATCACGCATGCAACCGGCAATCCCGAAAGCTTTTTTTTTTGTTTGGACAAGATTTCATCTTTTCTCCCAGCATGCTCATTTGTTTTGAGGTGATAAGTCCCTATCGAGGACCCAGAAGTTTGACGGGCAAGCCAGCTAAAAGTTTCCTGCTACCCGTCGCGGATGAATATGTGATGCCCCCCGACCATTGACCACCACGCGCCGATCTAAGACCAAACGGAAAAAGCACACAAAAGAGGTTGGTTGTACGGAGGCCGTCTAGTATCCGTAAGCCTCGAGGGCCTTGACCGTCTTCTCATCGACCTTGGCGTTCTTCTTGCCCTCGGCGAGTTGTCGGCGGGCGGCCTTCTTGCGCTCGTAGTAGGCAGCTCCCTTGGCCTTTCTGCGCTCCTCCAGCCTAGATGGTTGTCAGTAAAGGGCCTCCACGGCTTCCATTGGCGTCTTGATCCCCCGCCTCTGTGCAGCGTAGCCCAGAGTCGTGAGCATCAAGACCTCGAGCAGAACGCACCTCTCAACAACATCCTGGTACTTCCAGCCAACCTCGTGGCTCAGACGGCCGACAGTGCAGTACTTGCGGCCGGGCTGCAGCCGCAGAACGCGGAGAGCCTGGGGAACGACCATCTTCTTGACCTTGTCGTAGGGAGGAGGAACACCCTCGAAGACCTTGAGGCGCTCAAGGGCGGCGGCGCCACGGGCGGTCTTGTGAGGAATCATACCGCGGACGGCCTTGTAGAAGATACGCGAGGGAGCGCGGAAGTGGAAGGGACCTGCCAGCAGGGTCAGACATGTTGATTGACGGCGAGACAGCGTTGTCGCGTCTCATCGGAAGGGGGAATGCTCACCACCGCGGGTGGGGTTGTATCGGGTCATCTTGCGGAGGTAGGCGTGGTACTTGACTGTATCCATATCGTCAGCTTGCGTCTGTGTCTCGTCCCCATGGTGTGTGTCGGGTGGATCTCGATCCAGGGAGGTCGTGTGTCGTGCGTCGGGTTGGGCTACGTACGCTTAGCACGGAAGAACTCTCCGGAGATGTTCAGGGCCTCGGTGCGGACGACGACGATCTTCTGGCCGTTAAGCAGCTGCTTAGCGACAATGCTGGCCAGACGGCCCAGAAGGTGGCCCTTGCCATCGATGACGACCTGTGTAAGGCAGAGACAGTCAGTATCGTGGACTGTGGGATGATTTGTGAATCGTGAGGCAGTCCCCGCCGCCCAGGCCTTGAGGGTTGGTCGCATAGTCGTGTGTTCCTCCTCTTGTCTGGCTGGCTTTCATCGAGCCGAGTCCGTCTCGTTTGCTGGCAGCAGCCCGGTAGTGCATCGCAGCCAGTCCCATCGTGTCCTATCATGGTTCTCCGTGTCCCAGGCGACATTTGGCGGCAGGGTGACGGCGGGGCCTCGTCCGGTTGACAGAGTTGGGGGATTGGGGATTGTACTCACGACCTGCTCGAAGGAGGACATTTTGAATGTGTGTCGACGTCGTCACGAAGGGAACTGTGGAAGGGGAGACGAGGGAATCAACGTTTGCTCAGGAAGAAACTGAGCTGCCAGTTGGGTCGCCCTGTGAAGTTAGTATTCGTGGGTGGATGGGTTGGGATGGGTCAACACACACGCTTTCGTACCGGTCTCTGGCTGTAGGTCGCAGGGCGAAAATTGGGAATCGACCACAACCAACTTTTCGCCCAGTCGGTTGGGGACTGTACGGGACTGCCATTGGCTGGAGCCCGCTATCCTGCTTAGTAAGGGCCTGGTGACTAGGGCAGGCGCGACACACGTGATCCGGGGTGGAAGGAGCGACCGGGGGGTCCGTCGCGGGTGGGCACGGATTAGAACCCGCTTTTCAAACGACCGCGGCTACGACTTGTACAAGGTGACATGCCTGTCCATACCCAGTAGATTGTTGTTGTTCTTATTGCATTTCCTGTAGGGACTGGAAGGTCTGTTGGAAACTTGGATAGCTGGCACCTGCCCGTATGTTTCCATGTTTCGCTGCCTCGGGAGAACCGCCCCCATGCCGGGAATTTATCTGGCAACATGTCGATGAGTGGAAACTGGTGGGATGGGTAATAGACAATACACTTCCAAGGTTGTTAGAACGCAATCTGGTCATGTCTGCACGGTCCAAAATAATGCACGCATTTCTATGAAGACCCCCATCGAGTCGCGACCAGATCGAGCACCCTCCGCTGGTAACGGACTGGTCAACGCTGATCCTCCACACCCGCCCAACGTCTTCCAGATTTCCGAATAAGAAAGGCTATGCTATCTCCGTGCCTCAGCCCACCCACCAGCAAGAATCTCGGTCTTTTAAGATATCCACCGTACGCGAAGGAGACGCTGATATAGTAGGAAAAGCAGCTGCCCAACCGTCCGCATGTGGTGCTCCGAAATACACCAACATCGACTCTGCGGGTTGTTGTGACGGCAGGCGAACCGGGATTTCGGTGCTTGCCGCGCCAGAGTAGAGAGCCGTCTTACAAATCTATCAAAACAACAAGTGTGTGGAACCGCCAGTCTATCCATGCCCACTTAGTCATGAAATGCACGCTGCAGCCGAAACCAAATCGAGCAGGCCGCAACCAATGCCAGCCAGGAAACGCATGTGAGCAGCTGCAAAGTTTGCTCGTTGTCACTTTGATTTGAGCTGACTTCCGCCGTCGTACTTCGCGACGCTCAGGACCCCTTCGCATCGTCAAGTCCCTTGAGAACATCCTGGACCATGCGCACGAGCTCCTTCCTCTTGGCCCGCGCATCCTCGTCACCATTTGTCTCAACCTCGTCCAGCTTTAGCAACACCTGCTGCATGACCGTCTCCGACAGTTTGCGGTGCTCATCTTCGCTCTTCTTTGCGTCCGACGGAGGGTTCGCAGTGTACTGCAGGCAGAGCGGCAGCAGCTGCGTGGTGAAGTGTGACTTGATGGTGTTGAGCTTGTCGATTGGTCCACCCGGCGCCGCGGCCGCGCCGCCGCCCGAGACGCCCGAAGCCGGAGACTGCGGTCTGCTCGAGCCGGCGCCGTCGTTCCTCGGGACCTCGAGATTACTGTCGCGGGGGCTGGTGCTGCTTCTATCCTTCTTCTTGCTTCTCCTCTTCTTGCCACTCTTGGACTTCCTGGGCCGGCCACCGTCGGCGTCCTTGTCCACGACGACAACCTCTTCGCTGCTCTCCGTGCTCGAGTCGTCGTCGCCGTCCGGGAAAACGACCATGATCTCACTGTTGTTCTTGACGCCAAACTCACATATTGGCTCGTCATCGATCTTCAGCTGGCGGCCCTTGTACAGCAGCTTTATCTTGCGGGCTTTCCGGTCCGACAGCTTCATGACCATCTGCGCCCGCTCCCGTACGTCGCCCACCAGCAGCTTGCCGTCGCCGATGCTATACGCGGGGAAGTGTTCCGGGTAGGTGACGCCCTTGCTCTTGATGAGCAGGATGTCGTCCTCGTCGATCACCAAGGAGGGGCCGCCGGCCGAGCGTGTGTTGTAGTGTCGGCTCCTGTCCACCGGCTCCCTCTTGTAGTCCCTTCCTTCCACGCCATGATTCTCCAGGTCCTCAGACGTGATATAGCTGTAATCCTCGTCTGTCACCGCAGGCACACCATCTCTTCCCAAGCTCGAATTGAAGGGCGAGAGGCCACCTCGGTCACGGCCTGACCAGCCATACCGAGACATCTTCTTCCCGCTGGCGTCCTTGCCCTTGTCCGTCCTGGAAGAGGTCGACTTGGCGTAGACAGTGGGTATCGCGCCGAGCACTAGGGCGGCGGCTGCGCTGCTGTAGAGGATGGTCGGGTTGAGACCTGTAGTTGACTCAATATACTGGGAGGCGCTGTCGATGGTCGTCTGGACGGAGGGCGGTAGTTGATTGACCAGGTTGGAGGTTAGGTTTGCAATGTGCCCGGCGATTTGGGCGGCACCTGAGGATGCCAGGGTTGAGGATCCGGAAGCCACCTTGGGCAACTGTTACGATGGTCCTTAAAAGGACACTGGCCGGACGTCGGGAGAAAGGGGGGATGAGAGGGGTTGGGCGCGCAAGAAAAGAATGCGCTCGAAGGATTTGGACCAGGAAAAAGATCGCTGGATGCAGTGACTGGAGATGTGTTACCTGGCAGTGGCGGCGAATGGTACTGTGTAGAATGTTGGCTGCGTGCTTGATTCCACGTCCCAGAGCCCGAGTCGAACGAAGTTGATGCGCCCAAGTGGGGTCGATGCCGTAATGCAGGCCGGCGTCCCGGTTCAATGTGGCCGGGACTAAGAACACGTAGAGGACCCAAGATCGTATTGGGCCGGCAGGTAAACGACCAATATTGGGGGGAAAATTCGTAACGTCAGGAACTGATTGACCGCAAAGGGCAGTATCGTTGTCGGTAGTCACAAAAACTGAGTTTGCTGGGTTCACCTGGGATGCTTGATTCGGCAATCGGACAGTCGAAAAGAAATGTCGGTGCTCGAAGCTGGCGGTCAAAAAAGGCGAACGGGATTATTGGGATGAGGCTGCGGGCTCCTGGCTCCAACGTGTGGCCAATTGCCCAGACGCCAAGCCAACCCGTCGTGCTTGGGGGAGGCGGCACACCTGATCTCTGTTCAGGGTTAGGACTGCGGATCCGTGCAACTGCTAGTGCCTGCTTTGGGGGAAGGAGGCCGGAGCGGCACAGGCGAGCAGACTTCTCTACCTTTTAAAGGATCAAGGGAAGATCAAGTGAAGAAGCGCTAGGTACCTAGGTAGTTATTAAATCCAAACGACCTGGACACGATCTGTGAGAGCTTGTCTGGGTGACACATTGGTCAAAAAGAGCAGCGTCATGGTGGTTACGCCGAGTACAGACGCAAGCTCTCATGACTTGGGGGTCACTAATAAGCTCGACACCGTCTCGATTCCCACAAGGAGCATGGACAGGTCATGTCTCGCTTCGTCTCGAGACGACTGGTGACAAACTGCTCAAGCCTAGCTCAGCTGTGCGCCTGCAGAATGATCGTCGGTCCGGGGACAAGGTGTATCCAAAGTGGTCCAAACCTGCAAATCGAACCCATTGGCTGGCTGCCCTTCCGCAGACCAACAAGCACACTGTAGACGCCTAGCCGGCTGCAGGAAACATCATGGAAGATCAGCAGCCAACGTGTGGCCAACTCTCCCCACGAAGCCGTCCTGCCAGTATACAACAGCTACCCTGGGCAGAAACAGGCCATAAATCGCAGTACCCACCGCCCTGGGCCTGAGGCGAGGGTTCCCAATCGACTCGCAATCTGGTGTTTTGATAGCGGGCCAGATATGCCATTCTAATCAGTACAGCTGGTGGGGAGGGAGCATTACGTCATTCACAAGTCTCCGTTTCGGAGATGAAATCTGATGGTACAGAAGTACGGTGCTCCGGTACCTCCTGGTTGCCATAGGGAAGAAAGAGGTGCGAAGCACCCTCCTCCACCATAAAGAACCTTGCTTTAAGAAATATTGAGAGCCTCGGATGGTCTACACTACTTGCCCCGGACCTGAACAAGATACTGTACACTTACATACAGTTCGATGGCACGCAGCAATCTGAAGTGGAACTCCATGTACGTCTTTGAGATGCTACGGTGGGGCCGAGCAACAAAAATAGAGCCAGACTAAAAGCCGAGGGAACGTTCCAAGGGCTGGCAGCTGCCGGCAAACGACGTACCCGTTTCTGCTCTGTCCGGGTGGTGACAAATCCACAAACGGTGATCGCATTGCGACATGCACATTGCCTCCCTCACCCGTGTCATAGCTCCGACCTGCCGAATACCTGCATAGGGTGTTTGCCTCGATATAAAACTCCAAAGCCCCTCCTTGCTCGCCCCCACCGGTTGAACCACCCACCCACCGATCAACAACCCCTCCAACAGTAAATGTCCTTTCTGCGCAGATTCTTCTCCGGATTTGCATCACCTCCGATCACAATGGAAGCAGCAAAGACCAAGGCCCAGTCGCTCATCGACGAGAACGCCGTCATGGTGTTCTCCAAGAGCTACTGCCCTTACTGCCGTGCCAGCAAGAAGACCCTGCAGAGCGCTGGTGCCCAGTTCAAGGTGTATGAGCTGAACGAGGAGAGTCAGTACAACCACCCTTTCCCCTCTCCCCATAAAAATGCCTCGCTGCCGACCTGTGAGCCCTTTGGGAATGTCGAGGGGAGACAAGATAGGACAAGAGGGGCTGAAGGCGAAACAAAACGGCTGACCATGGCGGTCTCTGGACACGCAACAGGTGACGGCAGCGCCATTCAGGATGCCCTCGAGGAGCTCTACGGCCAGCGCACCGTCCCCAACATCTTCTTTGGCAAGAAGCACATTGGCGGTAACTCGGACCTGGAGGCGCTTGGCGGCAACCTCAAGACGAAGCTGCAGGAGGTCGGCGGTCTTGCGTAAGGGCTATTCATTCCTGTTTCTGGCGTGATTACAAACACAGACGCGGAACATCATGCTTTCTTAGAGGACAACCTTGCGATTGACAGCCTCGTGACGGATAGGAGGGCGAGCCTGTGACGATTACGCGATGCCGCTTGTGGGGAAGGCTTTGGAGGCGGATAGACTCGATGCTGGGCACACTTTCGAGACACACCTTTACGAAAATGATTGCTCCCACCTCGCGCAAGACATTCCGGAACGTGCAATGTGACTGATTGTCAGACCTCGGACTCTTTTCTGCGTGGACGCGTACCGTGCAAGGTGACCATGTGCGTGTGCATATGCTTGTGATATGGGATTGTATACCACCACCGTGACCTCTAATTTCGTGGATCATAACACTTGGGTCGCCACTGTGCCAACGGGACGCTCCACGAATTCCAGGATGCCGTCGACAATGCTCGTCTTTGCCTCCTCGCTAGCGACCTTTTTGCCGCCGAGGTAGTTCATCCAAAGGGCCCGCGATATCCTCTCGTCCTTCACGGTGCCGATCAGCTCCCTGCCGCCGGACTTGCCCTCGTCGTACACCAGCGTGAGCTTGCCGGCCCTGTCGCGCAGCATCAGGAGCTCCTTCTGCTTGGGCACCTTGCCCCTGTTGAAGATGCGCTTGAACTCCCTCATTGCCTCGCCGAACTCCTCGTCCTTGGCCTTGCCCTCGTGTGCCTGGATTGCGCGCACGAACCCATCCCGCAGGTGGTGGAAGTCGGTGTCGCGCACAGGCACCACGCGCACCATGCTCCTCGCCGGGATGCCGGAGCGGAGGAACTCGTCCCAGATCTGCTCGCCCTCGACAGGGTCCATCAGCTTCTTGCGCAGGTCGCCCTTCTCCGAGGCCACGAGCGTCGAGGCGATCGGGTTGATCTTGCGCACCAGGCGCTGCTGCAGCTCGGCAATGTCCTGCGTCGCGACGTAGAAGCCCAACACGTACACGTTGATGCCCAGGAACGAGACGGACCGCGTCCCCAGCCCCACGAGTGTGTACTCGGTCCCGGTTGCCACGGATGGCGGCACGATCAGTGCAGGCGCCATGGGCCCGCTGCCGTTGGACCCGTCCGGCTGTGGGCTCGCCCGCCCAAATTCGGGGAGCTCCACCGTCCTGGGGAATTCGGGGACGTAGCTGTTGCCGGTGGGGACGACCTCGCGGCCGTTCTCGTCGTGCTTGACCACCTTGCGCTTGGGGTCGTTGAGGGGGTCGCCGGCGGGCAGGGACGAGTCGAGCTGCGTGGCACCACCACCGCAGCGGGCTGCAGACTCCTCACGCATCTTCTGGCTGATCTTCCAGCAGACGTAGATGATGGATATTACGCCGGCGACGACGCCTGCTCTGAGGGCCTGCTGGCGGGTGTGGTGGTACTCGGCATACTGGGAGGCGAGGCGGTTGACGTTGAGGGTGTCAAGCTCGGCGCGGCGGGAGGGCCTCTCGCGCGACCCGGTCATCAGGCCTCGGCGGATCGTGTGCGAGCATCGCGGGCAGACTGGGGCTCCACTGGCTGGCGTGAGCAAGGGGCGACGCACCAGGCCGCGCGGGAGGGCCTGGCGGATCATGCTGGACATGTGGGCGGTGGGCGGTGGTGTCGGCTCTTTGGTGGTCTAGTCGAAGATTTGCTGTCGGAAAAACATGCAGCGGTGGTCATCTACGGTCCACTGCGCTTTGGGTCAGTGAACTCGATCATCACGTTGATGGAAGCTCGGCGTGGTATAATAATGCCCCTCCCATTATCGCATAAAACGGAGCTGCCCAGTGCTGTGGATCTACATAATTGCGTCATTGGTTTGCGAGTAGAGGGGTCCAAGAAGACTAGGGAGAATAAGCATCTGGCGAGGACAAGGTTTATCTGATCCTGCGTGATGCACCCGCGCCCTTGGGTTCCACCACCTGGCCGCCTGGGTGCGCAGCATTTGGCATTTTGGAAGCTTGGAGGCTTGGTTGATGACGGCACCGTCGGCAGTGAGTTCCGAGGTGGCAGGAGGTGGCAGGAGTGTGTGTTCTATTGTTGTATGTGGTAACGGCTGCAGCAATCTGACTCCTGAGCAATCCGGGCAATCCAACCGGGCCCGGGCCTAGACTCTAGACAGACCAGGCCGGGCCAGGCCAGGCCAGCGGGCCTCAAGGAACCAACTGCCAACTGCCCTGTCTGTCTGTGTACGGAGTGTTCCGTACTGCATGCGTGGGTGAGTCCATCTTCAAAATGCAACCCCTACTTCAATGCAGCCGTGAGGTCGGTAACTTCTACCCCTTTTCTGTTGTTCCCTTGGTGAAAACCCATTCGATGAGGAACTCGGTCCAAGACGACGGTCAGGGGAGAGAAGGGGGGAGGAGGGGAGCGTCCAACCTGCCAGCCCTGCCGAGTTGCAGCACGGAGTACTCCACAGGCATCACGTAGACGAGAAGTGCACTGTAAATTGCCCCAGCCCGTGCAAGATTGCAATGCGCGTGGCCGTGTCACGTCGTTCATGCCGCCACCTGCATTCGTTTTGGCCTGGGAGCTGTGGCCCCTGATCCGGTCTGTTGCCTCAAGGGGTGGCAGGGCCCGCATTGTGAGACGCCGCCGCCGCATGGGACTGGGGGCGCCGGGGGTGCTGCTGCTGCTGCTGCTGCTGCTGCTGCTACTGTCTGTCGCTTGAGCAACCGGCACAGAGACAGCAACCGAGACGATACTCCGTACATACATGGTAGCATCGTGGCCCAGCCGTGCAGTAGGCTGGGAGCAGAAGCAATCCCCAAACCAAGGTTGGAAGGTTGTTGCTATTATAATTGGCAGGCGCCGCCGGCTGCGTGTTGGCGTGTTGGCGTGGCAGCATGGCAGCGTGGCAGTGGGAGGGAGCACAGCGATCAGGGTTGTCCCAGGTCACTGCGCCCTCGTCAGTCACGGATCGACCCGCATGGTCTCGGCACCCTCCAGTCGCAGCCAGCCAGCCCAGCCCAGCCCAGCCCAGCAGCCCCAGCCTGCCTGCCTGCCAACCTCCTGCACTGCTCGTTCTCTCTCTGCTCTCCATGGCTGTCAGTCTGTCAGTGCAGCAGTTTGGCATCAGGGGCCCCTTGGTAATCTAATCTAGACGTCACACTGGAAGAACCGTATTCTGCATCTGCATCTGCTCCTGCCTTTGTTGCCTTTGTCTCCCCAACCGGTTGTCACACCCCCTCCCAGCACCCCCCGTAAGACCCGCCTTTCCCTCTTGGTCCGTCCAGACTCATCCAGACAGCCACACCAGCGTATCCGTACTATACATACATACAGCCGCAAGCGCCTGCGCCTGCGCCTGCGCCTACTACTATGTAGTATGTCCGGCACTGGAGTTCAGTAGACCGTCCGTCAGTCACCCTTGATCCAGCCTCCGCATCTCGAGTCCCAGGGGCTTCCATGATCAACCCCGTCCGAGCCGCTTGTCTGCCAATATTGACTCGGCCGACATGCCGCCTTTTCGGCTTGGTTAACCACAGCACATGACACTTCTTTGTCCACCAATCCTGTCCTGAAGGCTGTTTCATCCGCCAGTGGCCGTGTGGTTCATCGTCGAAGGACGAAGGGGCCAAAACCCCACCCGTCAGCAATGCAGCAACGCTCCGTCAGCATCTTAAAGTACCTGGGTACCTAAGTACTTAGACGTATAGCACGCAGTAGTGGTGCCCCCGTTGTTAGCCTCGCCCGGCGTGTTTCCTCCCTCTCCCAGCGCCTACGGTACCTACGGTACTCCCGTACCTGCCCCCGTTCCAGGGTTGCTGTGTGTTCTCTGCCCATGTCAACAGCACACACACCCCCTCCCCCCCTTCTTGGACCAGCCTGCCTGACCCGTGCCCAACTTGGAACCCAGCAGATCCATTTTCATCTCCATCTCCGCCTCAATCCGCCATCAACATCCACAACCCCGTCATCCCAATCCGCCCTGCCCCCCGCCTCGACCCTCACCTCACCGCACTGTCACTGTCATCTCGACCCGCCCCAGCCCGGCCCAAACCTGCCCCTCGCCCATCGGGCCCATCCAACCCATTTGGCAATTACGTCTACCGGCTGAGGACATCATCCTTCCTGTGGGCACAGCAATTTATCCTCTCTTGACCACTGCCGCACCCGCCCGTCGTCGCATCTCGTCGCACCACGCACGACAATCACATCACACCCACGCCCGCCCGTCCGCCCACGCACAACGCACAACGCACAACCCACTCAACGACACCACGCCTCCAACCCTCCAACCCTCCACGCCTCCGCGCCACTTCACTCCGACTGTCTGACCGAACCCCAGTCCGATCGTCCTCGAGGACAGCCGCGAACACCCATCGAGTCTCCCCCCCCCCCCCAACCATCCACCGCGGATGTTCTGACGCACCACAATACCCACTGGCCCTCAATACGATATGGCGAGTCAACCGCCTTCGCTCGACGCGATGGCGCGGGCTGAGGCTGCTGCCGAAGCAAGCGGCAATGGGACCCCGGTGCCCCCTTCCCAGGAAGTCGAGGAGAACCAGGACTCTCGGTCGACCTCGTCCGCAAGCTCTCCCCAGCCGGCCGAGTACGAGGAGTCCGATTTCTATCACAACGGTAACGACTCCGAGTCCTCCCTGGGAGTCCCCAACCTGCAAGACATGCAGGTGACCGATGAATACGAATGCCTCAGTTCCGTGCAGCGCCTGCCCAACGAAATCCTCATCCAGATCTTCTCAAAGCTCTCTGCTGCCTCCGACCTGCGCCATGTCATGCTCACATGCAAGCGATGGTCCAGGAATGCCGTCGACCTGCTCTGGCACCGCCCGGCTTGCACCTCGTGGCACAAGCACACTATGATCTGCAGCACCCTCAGCCTCCCCCAGCCTTACTACGCCTATGCTGATTTCATCAAACGCCTTAACCTGGCCTCGCTCGCCGATGCAGTTAATGACGGCAGCGTCATGGCCCTGGCTGTCTGCAACCGCGTCGAGAGGCTGACCCTCACCAACTGCAAGGGCCTGACCGATGGCGGTCTGATCCCGCTCGTCACAAACAGCTCTCACCTCATGGCCCTGGACATCTCGGGCGACGAGGAGATCACCGAGGAGTCTATCAAGGTCATTGCCGAGCACTGCAAGCGCCTGCAGGGCCTCAACATATCCAACTGCACTAAGATCTCCAATGAGTCTCTGGTCCTCCTCGCCCAGAATTGCAGGTACCTGAAGAGGGTATGCCCGGCCTCCGCCTGTCTCTCCTCCTGAACCCTGCTAACACACTTGCCACAGCTCAAATTGAACGACTGCGGCCAGATGTCCGACGAGGCCGTGCTTGCCTTTGCCGAGCACTGCCCCAACATCCTTGAGATTGACCTGCATCAGTGCAAGCTGGTTGGCAACGCTCCCGTCACCAACCTCCTCGCAAAGGGCAACTCTCTCCGAGAGCTCCGCCTGGCAATGTGTGAGCTCGTGGACGACAGCGCCTTCCTCTCCCTACCGCCAGGGATGGTCTTTGACCACCTTCGCATCCTCGACCTGACGTCCTGTGCCAGGGTCACCGACCGTGCTGTTGAGAAGATTATTGATGCCGCCCCTCGTCTTCGAAACCTCGTTCTCGCAAAATGTCGCAACATCACCGACCAAGCCGTCTTCTCCATCTCGAAGCTCGGCAAGAACTTGCATTATGTCCACCTCGGCCACTGCGTGAACCTGACCGACGAGGCTGTCAAGCGTCTGGTCCACTTCTGCAATCGCATCAGGTATATTGACCTGGGCTGTTGCCTGAATCTCACGGATGAATCTGTCACCAGACTGGCTGTCCTCCCAAAGCTCAAGAGGATTGGTCTCGTGAAATGCAGTAACATCACCGATGTGTCCGTTTATGCGCTTGCCAAGGCCAATCAAAGACTCCGCCAACGCCGGGACGCAGATGGGAGGAACATAGGAGAACCTTACTCGAGCGGCAGCAGCCTTGAACGAGTACATTTGAGCTACTGTACGCAGCTTACACTCAAGGTATTTACCCCATCGAGCCTTGGATTCTCAGGCCTGGTACTGACACGGGATACAGAGCATCATCAAGCTTCTCAATTCTTGTCCGAGGTTGACACATCTCAGTCTCACGGGCGTACAGGCTTTCCTGAGGCAGGATCTCGAACAGTTCTGTCGCGACGCGCCACCAGGTAAGCTCTTGCGCGATTCGCCAATTGACGTTGCATCTGCGCGATTCGCTGACTAACGACATACCTTTAGAGTTCACAGATCACCAGCGCAACGTGTTCTGCGTCTTCTCTGGCCAGGGCGTGTCCAACCTGCGCCGTCATCTTAACACCGACTCGGCATTCGCCCACCTCCGCGACGGGACACCAACAGGGTTCCCGCGCCACGCCCAAGTTGCAGCCAACTATCCACCTTTTGCGCCCACAGGGCATGCCCACCCCGATGCAGGCTTTGACGAGCAAGAAGGAGACGTAGTTGACGACGACGACGGACTTGATGACGGGACTGAGATGGTGATTGACGCAGCACCTCTGGTCGGGCCAAACACAGGTGTATCCGGCGCAAGCCTGGACGCCAGCATCATCCCGCCGCCTCCTCCAGCACCATCACAGGTCCCGTCGATGATGTGGCAACCTCAAAATCAACCTTGGGCAGCAGGACTCGCACTTACAAACGGCACCCAGCCGGCAGCAGCGGCAGTGGGACAAGGTCCTGGATACCAAGGCCCAGAAGCGACTGACGCGATGGACATGAGCCCTGCCCGGCCGAGCGCCAGCACTGCTCCACTTCGACTAGATGGTCTCACTGGTGCTGTACACCTTAGAGACCAAGTGGATGGCAGTGACAACGGTGGCGGATCAAGTCGCAGTAGTCCTGCCGCGCCATAACGACTTCTCGCCCCATGCCGGATACCAGTCACGACCAACCTCAGCAGTACCTTTGGACTGCTTTGCTGCCTGACCGGCCACTTGCCATTCTGCGCAATGGTCGTTCGGCGTAATGAGGAGGGCCGGGAGCGATACATCGGAGAATTACTTCTGCACGGCACGGTGAACACAAAATAACTGTGTGCTGCCGGCGGAAAGATGATGATGGTCACAAGAGACGACCACTTGAGCGAGATCAGCCCTAGTCCTAGCCAGAGAACAGGAATGACGGCGATTATGATACCCCCCAAAAAATTGTGTGTGTGAGAGGAACAAGGACGATTATGTAACGTCCATTGAGCGGCGTCAAGGCATTGGGTGGAAAGACGGCAAATTGAATTCTTCAACATTCGCACGAAGCATCAAATGCATCATCATAGACTGGGACACTGGCAGTGCGAGGGATAGCGCAGGAGCGCACGGGTACGGACTCGAGAATCCCATCGAACTTTAGTTTTGCCCACAACAACGGAAACATACAGCATCGATGGTGGGTCGGTTGAATTTTGGTCGTTTAAGCAAAGCAAAGGTGTTTAGGTTCCCCTTCCCGTTCGGCCTCGGCCGCATCCCCCTTCTCTCTTGAGACTCGCGGGCTCGCCTGCTGGCCTGCCTCATCAGTTGTTAGTTCTATTATTTCAGGTCAACTTGCATCCGTATTGGTTGTGGCAGGATCCAGAAATCGGGCAGTGAAACTGGTCCTCGCCTCTTGGTCAGGTAATCGGCAGCGGAATTTGTTCTTGTTTAGTCTCGGACGATGGTGAGAGTTTTCTTGGAACCTGTCCCAGGACTCAAGTGGCTGGAAAGGAGAGAGATGTGATGGGTGGAAAGGCTACCTGGTTCAAGCTAACTAGACTGACCGCCTGGTTGCAGGGAGAGCCGGTAACGTGCCACGAGGCTTGAGAATGGGCCCGTTTCATTATCCATCCGGTCTGTTTGCCTCGCTGCCTATTGAACAGCCAAGCGAGAGAAGACACACATACACACACAGAGAGAGAAAGAGAGATATACCATTAGACTTGCAAACGCTCCTTGTCCTGTGTAAGTGAAGTCCGCTGGTTTGACTGCCTTGTCCATTGCCAGTGATTTGTGTTGGGAATGGCGTGAAGACGAGAAGGCGTAGTGGCCGAGTGGCCGTTCCTTGACCAGTGCCCTCGCATTGCCCTCGCAACCCCCCAAAAAGAGTGCACATATCACCTTGTGTCTATTTGTTGCATTTCGTGCCGGCTATACATAAATGGTGCCTGGCGGATGAAAGGGCGACGGTCACGGTCCGACCGTGTTTGGGGCAGGGTGGCTGGTTCGGGCCATGCTGTGTGTTCGTGAGGTGCGTGAGATGAGTTGTGCCGGTGTGATGGGGATCATGCATTCCCATCTATGCTCCTCGGCCGCTTCATCCTGGGCTGGTGACGAGTTTCTCGCTGTGCCTGTGGCTGATGTGCGCGCGGCTGGGCTCCTCGCCCGTTGGCCTGAAGGAAGACGTGATTGGGGAAAGAAGCACATGTGGCGAGGCACTGCAGCGCATCCCACCACGTCCTAAAGCTCTCGGGATATGCTGTGTGCATGTGAGCTTGATAAGAGAAGGAGGTGAGTGAGAGTTTGGCAGGGTCACGCCGCGTCTGCGCAGGTGGTGCGATGCAGCTTGACCACCTGGGCACTTCTGACGACGAGACTGACGCAGGCAGGGAGGGTCCTATTCACCTCTGCTGGGCACACGAGCGCGTGGGCTTGGCTGGCTTTACACAGCGGGTGGGCTGGCTGGCTGGGTTTCAAGAAGCACGGCCTGGGAGAAGGGGAGAGGGCAGGAGGCGGGCAGGTTTTTCCTCTGCGCGCACTGCTACACTCGGGTCGACTCACTCCTATCGTGGGCCCGCGCGATCCGTCTCCATAGACATCGGTCTCCTTTACCTTCTTGGCGCAGCCGTGGCTACTGACTCTGGGGATTGGATTGGGAGGATGCGAGAGAGGTGAGGAAGGCAGTGCAGGTTGTCGTACCTCATCATGCAACAATCTCGGATAGTGACGGTGAGGTTGATTTGCGGAACTAGCCATGAGAATGAAGGATCTTGCTCGCTCCTGGGCATCGGGAGGGGTGGTGGAGGTGGAGACGTGAGGAGGCCTCTGGCTTGAGTCCGTACTGGGAAAGCCGTGATGGCAGCAAGGGGGTTGAGATGAGGAGGCTGCGTGGGACAGCCTCATGCAGCCTGCGCTGTGACTGACTGGCTGGCAGCAGCACGGCAGACATGACGGGGTGCCATACTCCATGACCCAACAACCGGTCATCCATTCCATCCGCCCACACTGTCCCGAGGGCTGTGCCTTGGCCAAGACATAAATGGGAGCAGCAGCAGCAGGAGGAAGAGGAGGAGGAGGAGGAGGAGGATGAGGAGAGAGTACAGGATAGTTTGTGGTTCCCGCGCCAGCCTGTATAAGCATCAAGGCCTTATTTTCACCGCAGCAGCTCTGAGCTTATCGTTTGAAGCCCCAGTAAATATGCTCAGGGCTCTGACTGGTGTGGGTGTGGGTGTGTGCTTGACGGGCAGCTGCAGTACGGGCGGCATGTTGCAACGCTATGGCGTGGTTCCGAGTGGGTGGCGCGAATCGTGGAAATCGTGTCAAAAAAAAAAAAACATTTGCGAGCCGGGGCCAGCAGATGTTTTGCTAGTCACGTCTCACATCTCACATCTCAATGGTGCTCAACCCCAGGTGCAGTGCAGGAATGCTAGGTCAGGTCAGAGCAAGAGCAGCAGCAGCACCTGTGCTTGGTTGAAGGTGGCTAGCCTTGGTGAGGCTGTGAGGCTGTGTAAGTCAAGAGGCCGGCTCCGAATCCCCCCCTCTTTGTAAACCCCAAGAATCCAGATATCAGTCCCAACCCTGGCCTCCGTATCCTTTGCTATGCGCGATTTCTGACCGCTTGTTATTCCTCTACCATGACTTCCCTTCCCTCAGTTTCCCTTCTCCAAACCCGCCCTACCTAGCTCTCTGCGGCATTTTCAAGCAACAGTGCGGAATTGTCCAAAGAGACTTCAGACTATCTCCAATTCCCAATACCACACCCCCGTAGCTTCTGTTCGCCAGCCCATGCCCGCATCTGGCGCCCCCCCCCCTTCTCCCTTCTGCTCCTCCTTCAACGGCCACCCCATCCCGTGTCGAAGAAAAATGATCTCATATTGTGCTTTGTTCTGTCTTTGCATGCATCGCCACAGCAGCATTGGCCCCTCTGATCACGGCACTGTGAGCAGGCGGCCTCCCACCGCCGGAATGCCTATCTTGGCCATCTTCCCTTCTCCCAGATCAGCTTAGTATCAGAGCACAGCAGACACCACGCCTACAGTATAGTCAAATCGTAAGCTCGAGTCAACCTTGTGCACACGTGCCAGTGCCCTTTGCGCCATGAGGACCCCCCCGAGTGTCCAGCTCGTTCCACGCCAGTTGCTCTGACTCTACCTAGCTAGTCCACATGTGATGAACAGACTTGCATAGTAACTGGTTCCCGTCCCCACCGCAAAGACCGTTATGCGCCAATTTCCTTCCCCTTGGTGCCGGCACACAATCCTGAAATTATCAAAGGAGCCACACGGTGGTCGAAACACGGAGGAGGTTGGTTTCCAGCCAGAGAGAAGACCACATGCCTAGGGCTAGAAAGGACGAGTACCGGCATGATGAACTAGTATGGCATGCCGGGAGACATTTCCCCAGCACCATCGTGACCTGGGTGGAACGAGAGTCGACGGGGGCTTTGCGCGTAATTTTATTTTTGGTTCTTTGTTGGCTAATGATTACTCCATCCGCTACCTTATCCAAGCCTCCTCGTTGTGAAATGAGTAGCAGCCTCCTCCTGCTTCTTTGGAGTATAAAGCCCTTGCCCGACTTCTGTAGATTTCCCGTCAACCTGCAAGAGTAACACTTACACCTTCTGCACTCTTCCCTCTTCTTCTTCTCCTTCTTCTAATCCTCTTCCTCCTCCTCCTTCTCATGTCCTCGCCCGTCGCTCGGAGTTACAAAACATACCTTACCATGGCAGAGAATGACGAGGCTGAGCCGGCCACAACAGAGCGTCTCCGCTTCAAAGATGAGGAGGCGGCAGTTGGCGGTGGCGGCGCCGGTCACCATCACGGCCGCCATGCCACAATGGCAGCCGGCAGCAGGCGCCCTCAACTCGCTCGCCAGTCGACAGCAATTTCGGAGGACTCCATGTCCATCCGGCCCGCGAGCAGGCGCCAGGACCCCAGTGCTGCTCTGCCGATTCAATACCGAACCTTGTAAGCCGTTGTTGCTATGCCGAGAGCAATCTGTTCTGTCTCTTAGGTCTGCTTCGCTCTATTTTGTGGCGGAGCTGACTTTTTGACCACACAGATCAATTGATCTCGACGACGCGAAGGCTAAGGATAAGAATAATGCGGCTATCGAGGGTAAGTCGCTCGTTGACTTTCATGAAGTGTGGTGGTTAGATTGGGGTTTTATGTGCGCTCCTCGGGTCTATGAGGCAAAAGTTCAGTGTGCTCACATTCTTCACACAGACCTCGCCGACCTGGACTGGCATATAATACAAACCCATGAACTCACCCAGCGACTAAACGTGTCCGACAGTCACGGCCTCTCCGAAGAACAAGTCAAGCGCCGCCTGACAAAGTACGGCAAGAACGCGCCGTCACCCCCAAAGACACACCGGCTCAAGACAACCGCGGGCTACTTCTTCAAGGGCTTCGGTTCGGTACTGGTCGTGGCCTCGGTGCTCGTCTTCATCGCGTGGCGGCCCCTGGGCGACCCGCCTGCGCAGGCAAACCTGGCCCTCGCAATCGTGCTGTTGGCCGTCTTCTTCATCCAGGCCGGCTTCAACATGTGGCAGGATTGGAGCTCGAGCCGTGTCATGGCCAGCATCAAAACCATGCTGCCTGAGCATTGCCAGGTCGTACGTGACGGTGCCCGGGCATCGCTTCCCGCGGCGGAGCTCGTCCCCGGTGATGTGCTGCTTGTCAGTGCTGGGAACAAACTACCTGCGGATGTTAGGTTCATTAAGGTCTCGTCTGATACCAAGTTTGATCGCTCTATTCTTACGGGTAAGTGCTGTCACGCTGGAGGCACAACTGGAAGAGATGAATCAATCATTTGTAGCTGACTTTTCCCTATTCTAGGTGAATCTGTCCCGCTGGCGGCCACTGTCGACTCTACTGACCCGAATTACCTGGAGACGAGAAACATCGGCCTCCAAGGAACACACTGTGTGTCCGGCAGTTGTACCGGAATAGTTGTGTCAACGGGTAACAAGACTGTGTTTGGACAGATCGCGAAACTTACAAATGAGCCCAAGGTCGGGCTGTCGACTCTGGAAAAGGAGATACTGAGCTTTGTTTGGATCATCTGCTCTATAATGATCCTCATGATCATCATCGTGATTGTTTTATGGTAAGCTATGCTGTCCAAAATTGTCCATCGAGTATTAGCTGATCACTTCTCTGTCAGGGCTGCTTGGTTGCGAACAACTTATCCTGATTGGATAAATGTCCCTACACTTATAGTAGGGTGTGTGTCCGTGGCAGTTGCTTTCATTCCTGAAGGTAAGGACTCTGTGTTGTTCTGCACGGTGTTCTCTTCATTTATCTCTCTTCGGAATTGCTAAACCCGGCGTGACATAGGTCTGCCCGTTGCTCTGACGGCGAGCTTGACAATAAGCGCAAATATGATGCGGAAGAACAACATATTGTGCAAATCGCTCAAGACAGTGGAGACCTTGGGTGCTGTGAGTGTCATTTGCTCAGACAAAACTGGAACACTTACTTCGGTACGTCTATGTCCTGAGCCATGATGCTTCAAAGTCATCGCTGACTTGTATGACTCAATTAACAGAACCAAATGGTCGTCACGGACTGCTTCGTGGGCCTGGAAAAGATGACAGCCGACAATGTCAGAGATACCCTCATAGCAGAAAGAAACATAGACGGAAACTTTGCAGGAAACGCGATCGACCAGCTCAAGACAATCGCTGGTCTCTGCAATGCTGCTGAATTCGATGCCCAGACCAGAAAGCTGCCTCTGGATCAGCGGAAGGTACATGGTGATGCTACCGACACTGCCATTCTTCGCTTTTCTGAGTATCTCGGACCCATTTCCGAGATGAAGAGATGCTGGCACACCAAATTCGACTTGGCTTTCAACAGTAAGAACAAGTTTATGATTAGGGTCCTCAGTCTGGCTGTAAGTGTTGCACCCAACCCATTTGTCCTGGGCCCTCTGCCCAATGCGGCCTTCACGGCAAGATTCCTCGGGTCGAAATCCCCAAGTACTATCAATCGAAAGCCGCATGTATATACTAATTCAACATTTGCAGCATCCCGACGGCAAGACCGACGCAATGCCTCTCGATGTCGCATCGGTGTTTGAGCCCAGTGACCTGTAAGTACATGCATACTTCTGGCTTCTAGACGAGCACAGCTGACTTTGACATGATACAGGCTGCTCACGATAAAAGGGGCGCCTGACAGACTCATTGAGCGCTGCAAATACTACATCGGAAGAACCGGGGCCTCCCACCTCATGACCGATGCCGCCAAAGCCAAGATTGAGGAAGCACAGGCAGAATATTCAGCACGGGGTCGCCGAGTGCTCCTCCTTGCCCACAAGACGTTATCTCGCTCCTCTTTGAAGACCTCCCCTCTGTCCTCGGCGTTCGAGAAGGAGATGACGGACCAGTCCAAGTCAGGCCTTACTCTTGTCGGGCTCGTGGCGATCCAGGACCCGCCGAGGCCCGAGATCCCAGGCGTGGTTCAGGCCCTGCGCGGTGCGGGTATTCGCATCTTCATGGTGACGGGCGATTTTGCACTGACAGCGCAGGCGATCGCGTCGGAATGCGGCATCATCAGCAGCGATCCGGGATCCGTCAGGACCGCCGCAGATCTCGGCCGGAACCCACTGGCACATCCTTCCGACCTCAACACCGGCGAAGGGCAGGCTAAGATGGTCCGCTTCGAGGATCAGCCGCGGCCGACCTCCATCGTGGTTACGGGATCAGACCTCATGGCCATGAACGAGTCTCAGTGGGACGAGCTGATCAGGTCGTACACCGAGGTCGTGTTCGCGCGCACGACGCCCGAGCAGAAGCTACGCATCGTTCGAGAGCTGCAAGGGCGGGGCCTGGTCGTGGGAATGACGGGCGACGGTGTCAACGACGCACCTGCGCTGCGGGCGGCAGACGTGGGTATTGCTGTTGGCTCCGGGTCCGACATCGCGGTGGAGGCTGCCGACATGGTGCTGCTGGAGAGCTTTAGCAGTGTTGTAGAGGCTGTGCGGTACGGGCGGATGATGTTCGACAACCTCAAGAAGACCATTGCCTACCTGCTGCCCGCAGGAAGCTTCTCCGAATTCTGGCCCGTCTTCACCAACGTCGCCTTCGGCCTGCCCCAGGTCCTCAGCAGCTTCCTCATGATCGTCATCTGCTGCTTCACTGACTGCCTGGCCGCCACGTCGCTGGCGTACGAGAAGCCCGAGGCCGACGTGCTCCTGAGGCCGCCCCGCGTCGTCGGTGTGGACCGTCTCGTGGATTGGAAGCTCATCGTACAGTCGTACGGCTTCGTCGGCATCGTGGAGACGGCCGCCTCCTTCGCCATGAGCTACTGGTACCTCGAGCGCTCGGGCATACCCTTTTCCAGTTTGTGGTTCGGCTTCGGCGAACCTGCCGGTATCGACACGGACTACTATACCGACAAGCTGAACGTAGCCAGCTCCATCTACTTCATAACTCTTGTCGTCATGCAGTGGTTCAACCTCATGTCCGTCAGGACGCGCCGCCTCTCTATCGTGCAGCACCCGCCGTTGTTTAACAGAAGATCCCGGAACGTGTGGCTCTTCCCCTCAATCCTCTTCTCCCTAGCCATGGCCTTCTTCTGGCTGTACATCCCCAGGCTACAGGAGGTGCTTTCGACGGCCGAGGTTCCTGTCGAGTACTGGTTCCTTCCGATGACCTTTGGACTTGGCATCCTGTTGATGGATGAGTGGCGCAAGTTCTTTGTGCGCAAGTGGCCCACAGGACTGATGGCTCGATGGGCTTGGTAATTATTTGTCTTTTTAGAAAGTCACTGGGGCTCTTTTCTGCCTTGCAGCGGCTCAACTGGTCACATAGTATACCCACCACCAGGGCTTCAGTCGTGGCTCATTCCAAGAATCAATACAACAGAGATAGTCCAGGCTTTCCCCCCTGCTTCCTGCAGCGGTATGTATAGATTGAAGACTGTGCACGATACAACCGATACAATCGGACCTCTGAAGAAAAGGATTCGGAAATCTATCAGGGCAATACAAGCCGTAGTTTTTAAGTTAAATGCCCTGGTGAGCTCTTCCAATGTTGATTCTTCCGCCAACAGTTGACACGAGCAGATCAACATCTCAAGAACACATTTACTTAAACAAAATAACCTAATCTTTATCAACTACCCACCCCTCTTGACCAAGAGGAACTCATACCATGAATCACATGTCAGTACAAAAGAAATTAATTCAACAAAAAGAACCGTTTACAAATGTCCTCGGTGAGACTAGACAATACTGTTAACTATATGATCCTTACACAGCCTTGCGTACAAGTTCTCTTACCTCGAACTCACGACCTTCGGATCTCTCACCGGTGGACCGGCGAGTCAATTCTATGAGACCGACGCTTTAACCAACTAAGCCACGAAGACGGATACATGAGAGGCCGCGGTGTTGAGGCTCCCCAAGACAGCCGACAGGAGCTGGGCGTCGGGTTGGAGAAAAGCGTCCAGGGAAGACCTACCTTGGCAAGGTAGTCAGCAGAGATTGGGAATTTGAGACATGAGAGCAGGCTCTCATCTCTGGGCTCAGATCCATACCGTCATCGTAAAGGAGTGGGGCAGGATGAGGTTGTCGTGAAGTGTGGAGGCTTGCGCCAGGATCGAGTCAGCAGGTCGATGTGACTAGTGTTGCCCTACCTGGAAGATGTTCTTTCTGATAATTTAGTGTTAGCATATACGTAAATATTCTATAAGCAGACGGTTTACGAGCAGAGACTCGCTCTCGCTCAAGCAACTGATTATCGAGGTTGAATCACCACAGGGGCGCTCAAGCCCAGGGCGTCAGGCGAGATCATTTTGCCAGGCATCACTTGCCAATGCACACAATGCACAGGGCACAGTTGCTCGAGTAGCCTCTTCACGTGGACGTCATTATCATGGTCAATGCCATCCATCTATTCATCTGTCCCGATTGCCCTTCCCCCCCTTGCTCTCAGCCACCTTCACAGCCGGAATCACCGGCGTTCCCCTAGTCGTAACAGTACAACCGCCTACACTTATAGATACAGGCCCTCTGGCTCACCCTCCTGCTTCGTCCGGAGCACCCTCTCTCGGGCAGATCGGAAGTCGGACATCTGCACGCGCATACGCCGCTCCCGCAGGGCCAACAGACCAGCCTCTGAGCAGATGGCCTTGATGTCGGCACCCGAGAGATCGTCCTTTTGCGCAATGAACTCTTCCAGGTCCACGTCCTCATTAAGGTTCATCTTGGACGTATGCAGATGGAAGATCTTGCGCTTGGTGTTTTGGTCTGGGGGCTCGAAGAGAATCTTGCGGTCGATCCGGCCGGGCCGGATCAGGGCAGGATCCAGGGTTTCGATCTTGTTGGTGGCCATGATAACTTTGACGTCGCCACGGTCATCAAAACCATCAAGCTGGTTGAGAAGCTCGAGCATGGTTCGCTGCACTTCTCGCTCGCCACCCGACGTGGATTCGTAACGCTTTGTTCCAATGGCGTCAATCTCGTCGATGAAGACAATTGAAGGTGCGTTTTCTCCAGCAACCTGCGTGTCAGGTAATTTTAATATTATACTGAACAGACATGGAGGATAACCAGACGGGAGGGTCGCCTTTACTGACCTGGAAAAGCTGTCGGACCAACCTCGGGCCATCACCCAAGTACTTCTGGATCAGCTCGGAGCCGACGATACGCAGGAAAGTCGCCGAGGTCTGGTTCGCCACTGCCTTGGCCAAGAGCGTCTTTCCAGTACCCGGAGCACCGTACAGGATGACACCCTTGGGGGGCTTGATACCCATCTCCTCGTAAAGCTCGGGATGCAGCAAGGGCAACTCCACCGACTCTCGGACTTCTTGAATCTGTTGCTCCAGACCACCGATATCCGCGTACGACTCCGTAGGGGCCTTGTCGAGCTTCATCACGCTAACCGCTGGGTCGGTGTCGTCGGTCAGGACACCGACAATGCTGACGGTCTTATGATGAAGGAGAACACTGGCGCCCGGCTCGAGCAGATCCTTGTCGACGAAGCTCATGATGCTCACGTAGTACTCGGGGCCCGTGGTACTGGAAACGATGGCATGGTCATCATCGATCATCTCCTCAAGGGTTCCAACACCCATCGGGCTTCCTCGCATGTCATCGACACGGCCACGTTCGTCGGCGTTGCGGTCGGCGGCGTCATCGGCAGCAGGTGGGGCGTTGCTATCTTTCGCAGCCTTGGCCTTCCTCAGACGCTCCTGGTTCTCAACATATTCCTCCTCAAGAAGTAGATGGTCGTGGACACGCTGCATACGCAGGAGTCGCAGCTTGCATCGCTGAGATGGGTAGATGGCGGGGAGCTTCGCGGCGGCACTGGTGCCTGCCTGCTTTCTCTTCTTGCGACCGACGCGGGTGGTGGGCTTTGGCGGGGGCTCGTACTTCGGCTTATCCTTCTGAAGTTTTGCGGATGAGGTTAGCAGGGCTGGCGGGCCAGATGCACCGTTAGGAAAGGCGTGATTGCCACCGTAGGTCGAGACTTCAGGCGTTTTGAGAGTCAAGCAGCAGAGGGATGGTGACAAACCTTCTTTCCCTGCTCATCACGGCCGTCCTGGCCGCCGCCCATTCCAGACTGATTCTGACCCTGTTTTGACGAGACAGTCAGTAGGTGTTGCGCACGCAAGAAACAGCCACAGCAGCGTTCTGTGGTCGGCTTACCATGATCGCGACTCGGATGCGCGAGGCCGTACGTCAGAGTGGGGGGTCAGAAACAATTTGATCGAGGGGATCTCCTGCAGGTTTACCAGGAGTGAAGAATTCAGTATTGTGGCGATGGGGTTGAGGGCGGTTTGGTCTTGCAGAATGGACTGAGCTGGTCGCCGGATGGGAGGTCGAAGCTGCGAGTGACGAGAGGCCGGGGTGGTAATCCCGTCGAGCTCCAACGTCGCCTTTAGGTAATCAGGCTCCCAGCAACACACGCCAGCTCTTTTGCATGTAGCGCGTGGCTCGTGCTGCCCCTGCCTCAGCTGGCTGGCTTCCGGGTACGTACTCCGTACGGCCGGTGCGGCGCTAAGTCTCCATATACTTGAAGAGTACTTATCTGGAATAGTGGGCTCTGCGTGAGAGGAGCGTACATTGATAGTCTCCGTACTGTGCCAGTGGTGCCCTCGAAAGCCTAATGAAGTCACCGTCAATCCGTACTGGTCTGGACCTGGGCCAAACTAGGTGATAACACTTGAGAGAGCAAAGCTCGGAACGTCAAAGCCGGCCGTGGATGATCTGCCTCCAAACCCACCTCACTCCAGAACTGTATTCGATTGTCCTTCGCCCCTCTCAGGTTTCAAGGTTGGCCCGGATCTCCCAGGTGGTTTGTGAGTTAGTCTGCTGCGAACTGACTACGAGAACGACTGCCACATCCCGTGGTTTTCTCTGATCCTCGGGCTTGACACCCTAGGCAACCCACTTCGACCCCTCCATAGTACTTACCCACGAGGGCGTCGTCTCCGCCAGATCGCACAAGGCTGACTACACCCCGCTCCATCATATCCTCACCCGCTCGCCCACCTCGTCTGCCAACCCTGCTTTCCTCTTCCTGCCTTGCCTCCCCTGGTCAGCTACAGCAGCAGCAAACACAGACCATCTCCACAATGTCGAGCACACGCGAGCGCCGCATCCTCAAGGAGCTCAGCGACATCCAGCAGGACAAGGACAACTCGGGCGTCCTGGCCACGCCTGTCGATCCCAGCAACCTCACACATCTGAAGGGCACCTTCCCAGGACCCCCAGACACTCCCTATGCCGGCGGAACCTACACAGTCGACATCCAAATCCCCGACATGTATCCCTTCAAGTCGCCTGTCATGAAGTTCGACACCAAAATGTGGCATCCCAACATCAGCAGCCAGACAGTGAGTCCAAAACACACCAGGCTGGGCAAGGGCAGTAAGAGAAGAGAGCTCTGCTCACACACTTTTGTTTATGTCTAGGGTGCCATCTGCCTTGATATTCTCGGGAGCGGCTGGTCGCCGGTGGGCACCATCAAGACGGCGCTCCTGTCTCTACGCATGCTCCTCGAGGCCCCGAACCCCAAGGACCCGCAAGACGCCGAAGTTGCTAAGATGATGATGGAAGATCACGAGTTCTTCTCATGCGTGGCGCATGACTGGGCGGTCAAACACGCCGGCGCTCCTCGTACACAACCGCCACCGGATCAGCTGCAGCGCAAGGCCACACAGAAAAAGGAGGATGACATAGCAAAGTACGTAGAGATCACATGGGCCTTTTTTGATACTTGCTTTCTACAGGACCGTAATGTCTTGGATTCTCGTGCTAACGTGGCCCCGCCGGGGACATATTAGGTACCAAGGCTGGAACAAGAACCTCGTCGACCGCTTTGTCAACATGGGATTTGATCTCGACGCCGTCGTGGAGGCCTTCCAGTACGTAGGTATCGACCGCAACGGTGGCGACGACTACGAGATGGAGGAGGCATACATGGGCGACGTCACCGCCCGCCTTCTAGGCGAGCAATGAGGCCCAACATCCGAGAAGGAATTTGAAATAGCACCGAATATCTCTTAACAGCAGATCCCCGAGGACCGGGGTTTTCGAACAACCGCGACAGTGCCCCAAGGACGTACCGGGCGCGGCGAGCAGCATTCAAATGGAGTTACACTGGCAGGTGATGGGTGAAGGGGCAATTTTTTGTGTGCCGTAACGGAGTAAAGCCCTTCTTTTGAGGCTTTGGGTCCACAGCATTACCAATGGTCTTTTGCTTTGCGCGAATGCATTTCTCTGCAAATAAGGGACAACGGAGGCGTTTGGGACTGGCTGTGAGACGCACGCCAGAATTTATCGTGGGCAGCGACTAACCGGGCTTCCCCACAGCCTTGGACTAGTGGCTATATAGACAAATCGATCCAGCTCGCTTGGCTATAGCAGCCTTTGATCCACCAAGGACCGAACAGTAAGATGTATTTGACATCACGGAACGATCATGGCCTCTCACTAATGTGAGCAGGTAAAGTACGTGTTTAAATCTTAAGACCATTGCAGCTCGCTCGTGTATCGCCCCAGGCGGCATGGACATAGGAGAAAATGCATTGGCATGGCGTGAGTTGCCCATTGACGCCGCTTCCACCCAGTCTATGAAAATCCGAACATGAAGAAGCAACGCACCGCCAAACACGGTATGACTACATTGACTGATGCCCAGCCGGGCCTCTCCAGTGCCTCGAGTGCACTCTCGCTCCACATCCTCCTCACCCGCCGTATTCTACTCAACAAGAGAATGCAGGCCTGGTGGCGAGGTTCGTGCGCGCGCGCGTGTGGACATTTCCACAAAATTCCCTATACTACAAACCCAACCCACGCGAACTACCACGGTGTCTCATCTTAAGTCGTCGAGATCTCAATCTGGAGAACGCTTTACAGCAGATCGCGCCTGACGAACTCGTCACGGAGGGCCTTGCCCAGGCCAGCGGGCGAGCGCTCCACGATCACACCAGCAGCCTCAAGCGCCTTGATCTTCGAGTCGGCACCGCCCTTGCCACCGCTGACGATGGCACCAGCGTGACCCATGCGACGTCCGGGAGGCGCAGAGATACCGGCGATGAAGCTAACCACGGGCTTGCCGCCGTTGACAGTGTTGTTCGCCCGGATGAAGTCGGCGGCGTCCTCCTCGGCCGAACCACCGATCTCGCCAATCATGATGATACCATCCGTCTCTTCATCCTGGAGGAAGACCTTGAGGCAGTCGATGAAGTTGGTTCCGCTGAAGGGGTCACCGCCGATGCCCACGACAAGGCTCTGGCCGAGGCCGGCCTGGGTGGTCTGGTTGACGGCCTCGTAGGTAAGGGTGCCGGAGCGGGAGACGATGCCGATGCGACCGCGCTTGTGGATGAAGCCGGGCATAATGCCAATCTTGCACTGGCCGGGGGCGATGATACCAGGGCAGTTAGGGCCTACGAGACGGGTCTTGTTTTGCGTCTTGAGCATGGAAGTGATGCGGACCATATCTTTAGCGAATTGTTAGATCTTGGGCATCGAGGTGTGAGGGAATTCTGCAGAACTGACCGTGCTGGGGAATGCCTTCCGTGATGCAGACAACCAGGGGAATCTCGGCCTCGATGGCCTCCTGGATACCACCGGCGGCCAGAGGTGGGCTGTTCCAACAAGTCAGCGGCCGAATTGTCTCGCGTCCAGTCCTCCCGGCGGATAGCGGTTCCTTACGGGACGAAGATGCCCGTGGCGGTTGCGCCAGTCTCCTTGACGGCATCGGACACGTTCTTGAAGACGGGAAGGTCAAGGTGTGTGCTGCCAGCCTTTTTGGGGTTTGTGCCACCGACGACCTTTGTGCCTGCGAACACAGCTTGGTCAGCCTCCTTCTCTCCCTCGCAGTGCTGTCCGCAGCACGATAACGATTATCGATGAGGATTTACCGTATGCGATGGCCTGCTCAGCGTGGAATCTGTTGCAGAAAACATGGGTTAGCATGTGAAGCCCTGCCGAGAATATTTCACGCAAGTCTTGGCTGCTGCCAGGAGGTTTGCGAGCCCGTGCGACGAGGAGACGGCAAAGAGATGCGAGTCCCAACTCACGTTCCCTGCTTGCCAGTGAAGCCCTGGAAGATGACCTTGGTGTCGCCGTTGATCCTGAGATTCTCGATGGTCTGCTGGTAGGGGCCCGACTGGGCGCTGTACGTCCTCTTGGAGACCTGGCGCAGGATTGACCCGGTAGGTCGCAGTTGTCTGGTGAAGGCCTGCATCTTGGAGGATCCGCAGCCGTGGAGGCGATGGGGTTACGAGGGGGAAATGGAAGGTAGAGAGAAGGCGGAACTCAGATGCAAGAGAGGGACAGTGCTGAGACAGACTGTCGATGCAGATGCAGATGGGGATAGCTTCAAATTCCAGGGCCTATCCGTATGGTCCACGGGCGGTAGTGTACTCTACTTTGCTGGCAGATGGGACAGAGCTCGCCTGTTACGCTCACCCCTGCACTGGCCGAACTGTTGCTACCAGCTCCCAAGTTGCAGTCCCCAATTTTGTTGCTGCCGGGTGGGTCAAGTTCACAGCTATCGACCTCACGGCTAGTTCTTTCGCGCAAGTGATAGCGAGGTACTCTCTGACTGGTGGACTGGTTCCGAAAGTACCCGTCCTGTCCTGCCTGCCTGCCGAGGCCCGGGGCCCTGGAACCCCAACTCTTATCGACCATGGCAGGGCTTATCGCCACTAACAAATTTCCATCTCGACGAGGGGCAGCTCCTGACTAACATGGCAATCTATCTACTCAAGTATTCTGGTCTGCAGGACACACCGCGCTGCAGCCGCAAACCCACAGTTTCCACTGCCCACCGACGTGCGTCGACTTGAAGAAACGACCCCTCTTGGATGGTCTGAGCTGTAGTAATATTGCGCCTCCAGCACGACACTGAATGCAAAGACACTCGCCATGTCGACGACAACGGTGACGATGACGGAGCCGAAGCGCAAGAAAGGCGCGGACCTTCCTCCAGAAAACGAGCGCTTCCTCCGGTGCTGCGCAGATGTCGCCAACGTCCTCATAGAGGACCATGAGGCTTCCCAGGATTCTACGCGTCCAAAGAAGGACCTGAACTTGAACTCGCTGCGCTCCAGGCTCGCCAAAAAGCACAAGCTCAACACCATGCCCTCCCTGACTGCGATCATCGCCGCCGTCCCCGAACACTACAAAAAATACATCCTGCCCAAGCTAGTCGCAAAGCCAATCCGGACATCATCGGGCATAGCAGTTGTCGCCGTCATGTGCAAGCCACATCGATGCCCACACATTGCATATACCGGCAACATTTGCGTCTACTGCCCCGGAGGGCCTGACTCCGACTTCGAGTACAGTACCCAGTCATACACCGGCTACGAGCCCACGTCAATGCGAGCGATCCGAGCAAGATACGACCCATTTGAGCAGGCACGTGGCCGTGTCGATCAACTCAAGTCATTAGGGCATTCGGTGGACAAGGTGGAATACATCATCATGGGAGGCACGTTCATGTCTCTTCCAGAGTCGTACAGGGATGACTTCATATCCCAACTGCACAATGCATTGAGCGGATACCAGACATCGAACGTGGACGAGGCAGTCGAGGCTGGTGAACTGAGCAATACCAAGTGCGTGGGCATCACTATCGAAACACGGCCGGACTATTGCCTGCAACCGCATCTGTCGAGCATGTTGCGCTACGGCTGCACACGACTGGAGATTGGAGTGCAGTCTCTGTATGAGGATGTTGCAAGAGACACCAATCGGGGACACACTGTCGCCGCGGTAGCAGAGACGTTCAGCCTCGCCAAGGACGCTGGATTCAAGGTTGTCAGCCACATGATGCCCGATCTACCAAACGTGGGGATGGAGCGCGACCTCGACCAGTTCCGAGAATACTTCGAAAATCCAGCATTCCGCACTGACGGCCTGAAGATTTACCCAACCTTGGTCATCAGGGGTACAGGCCTCTACGAGCTATGGCGAACGGGCCGCTACCAGAACTACACCCCAAACGGACTCATAGATCTTGTCGCGCGTATCCTGGCGCTCATCCCACCTTGGACTCGTATTTACCGTGTTCAGCGCGACATTCCGATGCCGCTTGTCACCTCTGGCGTTGAGAACGGAAACCTCCGCGAACTGGCCCTCGCCCGCATGAAGGATTTCGGCACGACTTGTCGTGACGTGCGGACCCGTGAGGTTGGTGTCAATGAAGTCAAGAACAAGATTCGCCCCAATCAGATCGAGCTCGTTCGCAGAGACTACACAGCAAACGGAGGCTGGGAGACATTCCTCGCCTACGAGGACCCTAAACAGGATATCCTCGTCGGATTACTGCGCTTACGAAAGTGCACCGAGAAGTACACGTACCGCGAGGAGCTTATCGGCCAGCAGACAAGTTTGGTCCGTGAGCTTCATGTCTATGGAACAGCAGTACCTGTGCATGCCAGGGATCCCAAGAAATTTCAGCACCAAGGTTTCGGAACCCTGTTGATGGAGGAGGCGGAGAGAATAGCCAGAGACGAGCACGGGAGCGACAAAATAAGTGTTATTTCAGGCGTCGGAGTGAGGAGCTATTACAAAAAGCTCGGTTACTGGCTAGATGGGCCCTACATGAGCAAGTGGCTGGATGGCCGTCCGGGCAGGCTGGACTGAGCAGCGCCGCTAAACAAAAGCATTTCATACATTCTCGGCGACATCTGCCACGAGGCGTTTCAACAAGGTCTAGGTCAAAAGGAAGGCGTTCGGAGCACGCATTCAGAGGGGAGCACGAGCATGGAAACATAGACAAACCGATTGAACGCCTGGCTGAGCCGCGTGGCCTCTTAATGACGAAGACTGAGGCTCTGGTTGTGTAATCACAGCTGCTTGCCGCCGTGGCACTGTTACGCATCAGCATCTATCTTGCAATTTTGTGGCACAGCAGCGTCTCGATCAGCTGTTCAGACTACTCTCCCATCTCCAACCTGTCGATGGAGAAACACCAAGTTTGTGCAACGATTCGGATATGGCTTGGCTCTTTGCCGAGGCAGCAGGACAGTTAGCTAGCGGTTGGATTGTCGTGCAGCCCTATCAGAATATTTACCAGGACAGGATCTTTCTTGAACTCTGAAATGTTATCTTGGGAGTGGCCATCCCTCGATATGTGAAGTTGTATCAACTGGACGGCCAAGCTGCCCCTAGCGCTAGGCAATTCACTGTGGCTTGCCAAGCTGATATGGGCCGGTCGAATCAAGACCTTGCTGGTCTCGGCAACCTCACCTTTCACACCAGGTGACCAGGGATTGCTCGCTCCTGCTCACTAACATTCTTCAAACCGCCCAATCACCTCCGGCTATTGTTCAAATTGGTCTCTTCTGACTAGAAACCATATTTATTCCATACCACCTGGGGATGGATTCCAGAACCAGCCGAAACCCTGAGGCGTTCTGGCCAGCGTCTGGGCAAGGCTTATGACCTTCCAGGTCGAGTGTCTTGAAGATGAAGCTCACGATAGCCCCGTGCTTGGGTCCCATCGCTGTCTTCAGCCGGCGGAGGCTTGACCGCGCACCTGGGTCGTCCACCACCAGCTGGGTTGGCACCCCTCGTCAGGAAGCAGAGGCCCGAATGGCTGCGTCTCCCACCCACCCTGGTCTCCCTCCCCTCGAAACGATCTCATGCTTGAGGCTGGCTGAGCCAAGGCTGAGCTTTGTGACGCTGCGACCTGCATGCTGTGCCACGTGAGAATCCCTCGAATTGAAATGTAAGCCTCCATCCCCGACAGATGGGCTGTTCTATCTTATGCCTAGATCTAGCAGTGCTCACACCCACCGACTTTTACCAACCGTGCAACAGTCGACTAGGGTTGGGTGGTTCGCCAAGCTAGAAAGCGTGCAGCAGGAATATCTGTAGATATCGCGAGGGGTTCGGTCCCCGAATCATAAGTTTCCTTGGCTCACTATTTGCGAGCTTAAGGGGAGCGACCAACCTCTTGAGGAAGGTTCTACCATGATCCCCAGCATCTTAGAGGGGATTGCCTATTGTGCAGACCATCGGTCACGCCAAGGTAAACCTAGAGAAGCGCCTGCATATTTAATAGAGCCTTGTGCGCCGATGACCGAACCGCGGAGTCTTCGTGCTCTCCTGTTGCGACGTCCTCTGGCTGTCTCCCAGGCTGTGATACCATTTTGTAACTACTACACGTTCCACCATCCGTCAATATGGCTGAGTTGGAGAAGACAATGCCGAATCCAGAGGCCGTCGGCGTCCCGATCCGGGACTCGATCGAGAATCCGGAGAAGGCCGACATCTTGCCGCGGGAGGATGTGATAGTGGATCTCTTCTCGCCACTGCCGCCGCTCGAAGGCGTCCCAGAGGAGCCCATGCCTCTAACCATACGGGCTCTCGTCGTAGGTATCGTGCTTGGGTCACTGGTCAACGCCTCCAACGTGTACTTGGGTAAGACCTCGCTCGTCTCCGGTGCAAGACACAGACGGCGCATCTGACTGCTTTCGCTAGGTCTCAAGACGGGCTTCACATTCGGCGCCTCAATGATGGGCGCTGTGTTTGGCTTTGGCGCCATCAAGATTCTTCAGAAGATCGCACCAGGCGTCCCTTTTCTTGGGCTCGAGCAGTTCGGTCCCCAGGAAAATAGTATCATACAGGCTGCCGCAACCGGTGCGGGCGGCATGACTGGTCTTTTTGTCGCTGCCCTTCCTGCAATGTACCGCCTGGGTCTTCTGTCCGAGGACCCTCGGGACGACTTCCGCCGTATTTTGACCCTGACCCTCGTCTGCTCGACATTTGGTCTCTTCTTCGCCGTCCCGCTTCGAAAGTTCTTCATTATTAATGTGTCGAGAGAGCTGCGCTTGATCTTCCCATCCCGTGAGTCTCTCAACCCCTTGTCCTGTGGTGGCTTGCCTGTGCTCATGGACGCATAGCCACCGCTACGGCCGTCGCCATCCGATCCATGCATGCTGTCGGTACGGGTGCCACCGAAGCCATGAAAAAGATCAAAGCACTCGGCCTTGCATTTGGTGTTGCGCTCGTTCAGCGCGTGGCCTCGTACTACGCCATCGGCATCTTATACGACTGGCACGTCTTCACTTGGTTTTATATCTGGGGCAACTATAACAACTGGGCCATCAATATTGAAAATTGGGGCTGGATGATCGAGTGGACACCTGCTTTCTTGGGTTCCGGCATGCTGGTCGGACTGAACACGGCGAGTATGTAATTCTCTGCCAAAGTTTGATCATAACCACAATGCTGGCATCCACGCTAACAACCCTTCAGTCAGCATGTTCTCTGGCACTTTCTTCGCCTGGGGCTTCATGGGCCCGATTCTCGTCCACTATGGCATCTGTATTGGCAAGGCTTACGACGAGGAGGATCCAAAGTGGGGCGGTTATGTCTCGTTCTACTCCATGTCCGGCATGAATGATCCCGATTATATTCCCTCCCCACGGTACTGGTTTCTATGGCCTGGCGTTATGGTGCTCGTCGCCTACAGCATGGCAGAATTCTTGGTGCACTGGAAAGTTCTCTACTACGGCGCAAAATATGCGTGGGCTTCGGCAGCTGGTACTGTCAACGAGCTCATCGCCAATCGACGCCAGGGCCGCGGTGTCCCCTTTCTCGAACGGCAGTCACGTTCCAAGGATGACGGGCGCGGGTTGGTCGAGGACTTCGCCACGCCGGACCAGCAGGTTAGCGGTTGGGTTTGGATGGTTGGTACCATCGTCGTTGTGGTCATGACGTGCATAATCGGCGAGTTCCAGTTCGGCATCAACGCAGGCCTCAGCATCCTGGCCAGTCTCCTCGCCATTATCTTCGCATTCCTCAGCATTCACGGGGCTGGCGTTACTGATATTGCCCCGCTCACTGCTAGTGCAAAGGCTTCTCAGCTGGTGTTCGGCGGCATCACCAGCGGGCAAGGGCTCAGTATCAAGACCGCCCAGGCCACGAATCTTGTCGCCGGTGGTATCGCTTCTGGGGCTGCGGACATGTCCCAGTCTCTGGTCAGTGACTTCCGAGTTGGGTTCCTGCTGAAGACGCCGCCAAATCTGCAGTTCTGGGCTCAGGGTCTTGGGACTGTTGTTGCTATGTTCTTGGCTCCAGGTATGTCACGACTGGAAGTGAGGTTTTCGTATCAAGTGGACGTTTACTAATAGAATCAACCCAGGAATCTTTGTTCTATTCATGGCTGCTTATCCTTGCGTTTTGCAGCCCGACAAATACGATCATTGTCCGTTCTCTGGTACGTCAAGGCTTGCCTATTCTTGTTTGATCACTTATACACACCGACGATGGACTCGAAGAGTCCTGAGTTCGCGTTGGGGTTTTCTCAGTGCTACGGGTTCTGACAGAATGTAGCCCCAAGTGTCACCGCCTGGCAAGCCGTTGCGGAAGCAGTCACAAACCCTCGGGTGCCTATTCCACTCAGCTCCGGCATCTTCGCCCTTGTGCTTGGCGGTGTTTGTATCGCCCAGGTTGTCCTCAAGAATTTCTTCTTGGTAGGAACACGCGAGAAGTATCGACAATGGCTGCCCAACTGGATGGCAATCGGCGTTGCCTTCGTCATTCCGCAGACGTACTATAGTACAGCGACGCTTATGGGCGCCATTGTGAGCCATTTCTGGCAGAAGAAGAAGCCGGCCAATTTTGAGAGATACTGCTTCGCCGTGGCCGCGGGACTGATTGCTGGGGAGGGGCTGGGTGGTGTCATTGGTGCCGCTCTCCAGCTGGGCGGTGTCTCTGGTGACGTCTACGGCACCATGGTCGGCTGTCCTATGGATTCGTGTTAAGTACATGGTGTCAAATATGGTTCACATAAAGCTGATATGAGAAATACGTCTGCCTAATTCCCGATCAGCCATGCGGTTGATTATGAAATCCCAAGAGCTTCCACTTTCCGTGCCAAATCCTCTGTGATCATGCGAGATTTTTCACGTCCTTGCCATGCGCGGAACTTGCGTGTGTGTAGAGGCTGTTTATATTCCCAAATCCCGTCATGTTTTGCAATCGCCTCTATCACTCAAGCAAGGGGCTACCTAGGTATCGAGCACCCAGATGCGGTGGCATGGTAGAAGACCAAGACATAAAACTTGAAGATACCAAATGTAAGTGGTTTCGTTCTTAACCTTATGTATTATGAAGGCGTACGGTCCCTTCACACAGTGGTAGATGCTCAAAGACCCACCTTTACACCACATGTAAATAGCTGGCTACTTGGCGACTGGTAGAAAAGATCGAGGAACTGTTGCGTAGTCCAAAATCGGGGAAGAAAGAAGCATTATAGGTCACGTCGGTATTGCTAAACTATAACTATCGGTCTGTTATGTTGAAGACCGGATAGCGGATGAGCACGCTGTGAGCTTCAACTCGATTTCCTAACGGTAAAAATGTTCTTTCTGTGCGTTACTATTCAACTACAAGCTTTCTTCCACTTTCCCCGGAAATGCATGCACAGAAGCTTTTGTGGTGAGACGAAGGGCTGGAGGTAGTTATTCAGATCCCATCCTTAATAGGAATATTATAGCACTTGCCTCCGTAAAGATTGTCATGCGATCTCTGGAGGGACCACCGGATCATGATTGAAATTCGAGTTACTTTCAGGTGCTGACTCCTGCCTATGGCCAGGTTGTATAACTAGGGTTGTTTATCTCTTGTACACAAAGGGTCGTGTTTCAAGATCACTTTCATCACAGCAAGTTTGTGTATTCGATGATCAAGGATACCTATATGCAGGGGAGGCGTAGACTGGGCAAGCCCTAGGACAGCAGATAGTGGGGTTCGGACAGTGGTATTCAAGGGACGGACAGAGTGATCTGATGGGCCCGTTTTGTTGGCTCGAAGGGCAACAGGGAAGCCCCTCGCCTATACGCGTTTTGATGTGAGCCTTCGGGGAACGGTGTGGGCCTACGGCAAACGGTACCCGGGCTGCGAAGCATCACATTGCGCATGGAACTCGGCACACTGAGAAGTCCGCCAAGTGGCCGCCTTGACTGGAAGAGCAGTGCCAAGTGAGACTCGGTCGAAGGAAGACACGGAAGCCCAAGCAGCCAACCTTGGAAGTGAGGCAGCCTGGCTTGCTGGAGGTTGACGCCAAGGCACCATGGGCAGCTCGCCGAGGAGGGTGGCTAGCTTGGAAGGTCGTGGTGAAAACAGTAGATCGCTGATCGCTGCGATCCGTCCGATGCATACCAAAAGTCATCGTTCCGGGTGCCTGGGCTGCTGGGTTGACAGGGTCCCAAGCGCTGCGGCAGCCTGCGGGGGAAGCAAGGGTCTTGCTGCTACCCTCGACGTGCCAGACGTGCTGGCCGTGCAAGCCGAGGACCCACAGCAGCTCTGGCCAATGACAAGATGACGTGGGCGGCGCTAGGAACGCACTAAACTCAACCTTAATTCCCGTTGACGACACGACTTCTCAGCATCGCGTTGTCGCCCACCTCCTGCTCTCATACACGATATGTCCAACATCAGAAATCCCGCGCTGAGCCACAATGCGACACGGAGGAATATGAATCCTCGCCCGGCGGATTGTGCCTGGATCCGGAAATGAAGCAACTTCGGCGCTACCTAGCTGCTTCCACACCTGTCCACCAGTCCACTCGCCCTCCCAGCCCACCGCTTTCGAGCCAAGGCGTCACGCTCTTGAGGATTTGACGTGTGAGCTCAAACGCCAGACGGAAATGCTGGTTAAACCGTTGCCTGTCGGACTCACTCGGATACGGAGCCCTTCAAGCTCTTGTTAAGCTTCTGCCTGCACTAGGGTAGCCCTTCTGTTGCTGCCCAGACCCTGTTTCTGCAATAATTCCAAGAAAGCACACAAACAAGGAGCACACGAAGAAAATTGTCCCCGTTTCAGGACTCAGTCACATACCCGCTAGTGGCTGCATGGGTTCCAACTCCACTACTTGCGGCACAGACTTCTAGAAGATCATTACGCATGGGTACTACCTCAAGTGGGACACAACGGAGGGCACAGCCTACTGTCCTCAGACGCTTCTTCGTCGAAATGTCTGGAAATGAGAGACGGGTGGGACGGGGGCCACTGGCTTCCCATCGCAGTAGTTCTGCTGGCCGCCGCTTGCTCAAATGGCTACTACTAGACTTCTTTTGTGTCTCGCACGACTGGTGCAGTCCAACAACACCGGAATACGCTTTCTTGACATTGGCACTCAAGCTCAGGAGGCCCGGACGAAACACTAGAATCACATGGCCCAAGCATGTCCAATATCAGTCATATTGGCAAAGCCGGAGGCATACCAAGCCCTGCCGGTCAGCACCGGGATCTTGGAAGGTGGTCCAGGTAAAACGCCTAAGATCCAAGCTATGCCATACCGAGAGGGAAACGAGGCGGGCCGCGTCATGAGGCCATACATCAGCTCAATGTCGTCTCTGGCGTTGCTGCTCGACAGCTATTGACCTTGTTGTCCCGTCCATTGACCAGTCACAGACTGCGCCCACCCTCCCCGTCGAGCTGATCCTGGCGGCCAAGTGGTCGGCATTCGCTCTGGGCCATGCCTGTTTCCGAGCCTTTGTTGTTGCCGCACAAGTGACCTTGTTGTCGCCAAGGCTGAAATGGAAAGGATATCTTGGTATGACCACATCATAGATGTTCCTTTCCACCGTCTGTCTCATTGCCCGCACGATTTCTGAAGCGGGTTTAAATATCCCCTCCAATCCCCGACTACTCGTCCGGCCCCTCGTTTCGCACCTCTATCTCCATTATTGAGTCCAAGCCTGAATAAGCCGAGTACCTCGCCGACGAGCACCGAATAACTTACTATCGACCCTGATAATCCACGGGACACGAGTTCACCATGCAACCCAAGCAGATCATCGCTCTCAGCCTCGCTGGCGCCGTCTATGGCCAGTCCTTGACTGATCTCATCAGCCAGAATCAGGATCTCTCCCAGCTCGGAACGCTGCTCGGCCAGTACCCCGATCTTGCTCAAACATTGGGCGGTCTCTCCAACATCACTGTTCTGGCACCAAACAACGCTGCGCTCTCGGCTCTCCTGAATGATTCCTCTGTGACGGCTATGGTCTCCGCTGACCCGGGTCTTGTCCCTGCCAGTGAGTATATCATCCTCGTCCCCCATGGAGCGCATCCACGAGGGTGTCCTCCTCCCCGGAGGCAACGCTAATTATACATTAGTCTTGACCTACCACGTCCTCAACGGCACGTTTAGGTCGACCGACATCCAGGACACACCGTCATTCCCCAAGACGCTGCTGACCAACTCGACCTACACCAATGTCACCGGCGGCCAAGTAGTCAAGGCCGAAACTGAGGACAACAGCGTCGTGTTCACCAGCGGTCTGCTGCGACAGAGCCGTGTCGCCACTGCAGACGTGACTTTCACTGGAGGAATCGTCCACATCATCGATTCGGTGCTCACCATTCCCATGAGCGATAGCGCAACCGCCGTGGCCGCCAACCTCACCGCACTTGCTGGCGCTCTGACCACGGCCGACCTGGTCAGCACCGTTGACACTCTTCAGGATGTCACCATCTTCGCGCCCTCGAACAGCGCGTTCGCTGCCATTCAGAACCTCGCTACCAACCTCTCAACCGAGCAGCTGTCCAGCATCCTCACCTACCACGTTGTCCAGGGCACCGTTGGCTATAGTTCCTCGCTTACCAGCGGCGCTCAGCTGGAGACCGTGAACGGCGGCCAGGTTACTGTTACCATCGACGACGGCGACGTCTTCGTCAACTCAGCCGAGGTCCAGGTTGCCGACGTGCTCGTCTCCAACGGCGTCGTCCATGTTATCGACAATGTCCTCAACCCCGCCAATTCCACCGCGCGCCCCGATGTTACCGCCTCTGCCCAGCAGCCAGCTTTCACCGGCGCCAGCAGCGCATCTGAAACGCCTTTCACCTCCGGTATAACTGCGACAGGTGCCGGCCCCACTGGTGGTGCCGGTGCGACTGCCACTTCCAGCGGGCCCGCTGAGGCTGGTGTCCCCATGCAGACTGCCGCTGTCGGAGCTGCTGCCCTGTTTGGTGGCGCCGCCGTTCTCGCCAACTGGTAAGGGCTTCGGTGCGTCTGTCTCCTGTGTAGGGGTTTCCCAGAATGGACGGTAGTCGAGAGTGAGGGCGGTTCGCTTCAGGTCGTCAGGAGGGAATTAGTAGTGTAATGATACCCAGGATCATGTCCTGACAGGAACGTAATGAGGAAGTTGGGGATAAGGCCAGCGAAGGTGTGCAAGCCGCACGATCATTCAATATCTCGTATTTTGATGTCAACCGGGGTTACTATCAGATGCTCAATATATAAATGATCTTTTTCAACCAAAAAAGTGCCTCGAAAGAAAAGTTGCTCGTGTTTCTCACACTAGATAATTGAAGAACGACGTGGCTGGCCTCGAGATAATTGACTTCGAAATAGTTAACTTAATGGCATGCGGTGGGACAGGTGGCGCAGTTGGAACACTTATGCCAGCTCAGTGTGGGGTGGTTTCGTTGTTATACGTTAATCCCCATATAAAATGTATGTGGCGCCTTCATATAGTGGTAAATGCACAAGACCCAGCGTTCAAAAGAATACAGTGCCAATGACAGTAGAAAGAGAATATATTACGTTCTATGCCAGCCACTCACTCTATCTGCGCTATGAATTCATTTAGTCAACTGGTCGCGCTGCAGGAGGAAAGCCTCGCGACTATTTATCTTAGAGTAAGAAATTAAAATTCGTCGTAGACCAGTATACCCTATAGTTGATAACTGCCCAACCTTGGAAGGTCAATCATTACTGTGACCAACGATCGCGATCATCAACTTTGGCCACAAGTATCGTGTTCGGGTCTACGACCTCTGGAGCCGTGATTTTGGCCTGGGTGAAGACAAGTAGCATCATAGGGAAAGCAATGCCAATCAACAATGTTGGACGCCGAGCCCCCCCCCCTCCTCCCTCCCAAGTAGGACTGTCCAGATGTCGTTACACGGGAAGGAACGTGGTGCCCTTTGGGTAACTACAACTGGACGGGTTAATTTTTTATAGGAAGCCTATACAGAACCTAGCTAGCACTTGAGAAAAGCAAAACCTGAATAGACGTAATTAACATAAATCTATATTACTAAATCCTAGCAGTAAGGATAAAATTGTAGCCTTTCGCTGGGAGTTGGTCCACCGTGAACTCTTGATAACCTTGGAAGCTTGAACTTCACGTGGATAGCAAGTATCTGGGTACCCTAGGGTACCAAAGAAACAATAGTATGTGCATAGCCCATGATAACAGCCAGTTCTATTTCTAATAATATAAAATGGCGTTCATCATGAGATAGCTTAATACCGCTGTTCCCCGCCGAACTACCCGTGTGAGCATGGACGAGGCCAATGAGCTCGATGCAAACAGTCATGGCCGCCTGGGCGCGGGCTTGCGTTTCCGCCAGGTCATTCACGGATGAAACACATGCACACTGGCATCTACGCCGTCAGCTGACCACATATGCATGCAATTCTAGCGACACGTGGAAAAAGCGCTCGTCAGTGGAGTCGCAATCCTCTTGGTAACATTGAAGGTATTATCAAGGTCAGTTTGTGTACTGGAATGGCCCGAGCTTCAGTTCACGGGATCACCAGGGTTGTTCCTTGTCCCCAGTTTGAGTGGTTTTCCATCCTTGGAAAGTGAGGCGATCGCCATTTGAAAGTACACAAGCGGCTTAGTCCTGCACCAGTCTCCATACTAATGGATTCTCAGCCGCGGATGAGCCGGAGCTCAACGGTGAAGACCCAGGGAACTGCCGTCAGTGCAGAGCTAATTTTACGGCCTTTATGTCATTCATCCTTTGCTCTGCCGCACCGAATTCACCGATGCCCTTCGAGCTCGCGTCCTAGATTTGGAATTCTCTCGCACACGAAAAACATACATACGCGCCTTCGGCCGCCCGCACAACCCAATCTATCTCTAGGATGGAATGCCCCAAAATACTCGCCTCCCCATCCGTAAGCATCAAGTTGTCCCACCGCGCTTTGCATCCGCCAGGCTCATCTGATTGGCGTGGCGTTGGCGGCCACATTTGATCGGTCGGGATTATTCATCATCTGTGGTCAGGTACACGGATGTAACCAAAAGCTCGTCTAGGGTCGTGCCAGTCATCAATCAAAGTGTGGCGGGACCTGTGGAGATACATGTCCATACCTGAGGAAGAGAACCTTTGTAATGATGATGCGCGCTTTCCCCTGTCACCAAGGGTATAAAGAGAGCTGCCGCGGTGCTCAGTCCCCTATTCTGGGTTTATAAGGTCTTAGCATTTCTGTGCCTGCACGGCTTCATATACATTATTCGCTAGACTTGTTTGCACATACCTAGGTGCCACGCCTATCGATATGTTGTTCACGCCTTCGTCGTCCCCTACCTGGGCTTTTCTCGCCATAGCCAGCCTATCTTCCGCTCGGAAGTGCATCGATCTATCTGTCGAGGTGCCCGTTGTCTCCAGAAATGCGATATTCAACCGTACGGCACCGACAGATAATGTCGAAGTGACCAACTTCGTCCTTGACTTGACTCGCCAAGGGCACAACCTCACGAACGAGGTTCTAACTGGCGTGAGTCCTCCATTCTTGACATGGCAGTGCCTACTCCATATTCTAACCGCCGCTAGTATGCAACCATCGAGAAAACTTACACCGTGGCGGCTACATACTGCGAGCCAGACGCAGGGCCGTCTAAAACTGTCCAACTACTCACTCACGGGATTGGCTTTGACCGGACGTATTGGGATCTCCCTGTCTACAACTACAACTACAGCTATGCGGCTGTAGCAAACGACGATTATGGCTACAGCACATTCGCATGGGACCGGCTCGGGATTGCCCAGTCCGATCACGGTGAACCCGTCAACGAAATCCAATCCTCGCTTGAGATCGCGGCGTTGCACACGCTGACCCAGCAGCTGCGCAACGGCTCCATTGAGGGCATCGGCTGCGGCTTCAACAAAGTCGTTCACGTCGGACACTCGTTCGGCAGCATCCAGAGCTATTCTCTGGAAGTGCTCCACCCCGGAGCTAGCGACGGGCTCATCCTTACAGGGTTCAGCCAGGTCGCCCAGTACAACCCATACTTCGCCCTCGGGGGCAATTTTGTGACGGCGAGTGGGTTGCTGCCTTTCACAAACTATCCGGATGGGTACCTCGCCAACGGCAGCCCTTCTGGTGTGCAGATAGATTTCTTCGCCCCTGGGAGCTTTGATCCTGCGCTGTTGGATTTGGCCGTCGCTTCAGGCAAGCCTGTAACCATTGGAGAGCTTTTGACTCTTGCAGGTGCAACAGCAAACCCGAATCCCTTGAAGGGTCCTGTCTTGATTATTACTGGAGGTGAGTCCGACAAACTGGCAGTGAAACTTAAGCTGAAGTCGAGGGAGACTGACAAGCCACAGGTCGAGATGTCCCGTTCTGTGGTGGAGATTGCCGTTCAACAAGCTCTTCGCTTCCGAGCCTGTTGGAGAAGAGCAGGCCCTTGTTTCCCTCAACCAGTAAATTCGAGGCTGTGGTCGTCGGGGAGGCTGGTCATGGACTGAACTTGGAGTACTCACATGCCTTCACATATGGCAAGATCTTGGATTTCATCACACAGAATATTGGTTTGTAAGTAAGACCGTGATTTTGTAGTTCGACTGGTGGAAGCGACCCTCCCTGGTATCTTTTAGACCATTGCATCTATGATAAGAATTTCTTTCATTATTTTAAATTGATCTTTATTAATAAAAATTAAAACATTATTTCTATACTTTTTAGAATATTATATAAAAGAGAGATTTTAAGTTAAAGAAACTAACTTTAATATAAAAAAGTAGTTAAAAAGTAGTTTATTTTTAATTTCTATATATATAAAATATATATAGTACTTTTATATAATAATAAATATTTAAGATTTAATATTTAAAGAAACATATTATTATTAATAATAATAAAGAAATATATAAAATATAAATATATAATTAAACTTAATATTATATAAATAAAGTTAGAAAGTATTATTCTTAATAATATTATATAAATATTATTAAAATAAATAGTTTATAAACTATTTATTAATAAAATAATCTTATAAAAAAGATTTTATAATATAAAACTTAATAAACTAGCTTTATTTTTATAAAATAAATTAATATAATTTTATTTTAAATTTATAATTAATAAAATAATAATATAATAAGAATAAATTAATTTAAAAGCTTTTAATATAAATTTTATATAAAGAATTAAATTTTAAAAGTTAAATAAAGTTTATTTATTATATATTAAATAAATATAATATAAAGAAAGTTAAAGTCTAAATATTTAAAAGTTAAATTCTTTCCTTTTAAATATATTACGTTATTATTAAAAATTTATTTACCTTTATATAATATATAAAAAATTTAATAAAAGAAAGTTTTATAAAAAAGTTTATAATTCTTTATATAAATAAATTTTAAAGTATATATTAAGTAATTATTAATTTTATACTTAAAGTATAAGTTAATAGTTAGTTTAAAAGTTAAATAAATAATAAATAGATAAATAATTAAATAAAAAATATAATATAGTTAAAGCTAAGTAGCTGAAAAATATATAAGGTTTGAGCTATTGCGGGGTTACCCTGCACCTACTACACCACAGCAGTGGGTAAGAACTGAAGCCCACGGGTAATTAGAGAATTAAGGGCGAAGGGGAAGTTTATTAGTATGGATATGTCGAGAAGACCAGATGTGCAGTGGCCGACTTGCATCCAGTTTTAATATAGGTAATGACACCTGCCTAGCACCTCCGCAAGAACCCGCCGGCTCCTTAGTCACGGCTCATGTACCTGAGCATTCAAATGTTACCAGCATCTCTCCAATGTCAATCACCACACAACTTCTGACTTGTACCCTAGCTATGCCCCTAATCATCTTAATATATGTAAGGGTGTAGAATAAAAGTCTACCTAGTGGTTTCGTTTTTAATCCCCATACATATAAAATATATATAGCACCTTCATATAGTAATAAACACTTAAAACCTAATATCTAAAGAAATATAGTATTAATAATAATAAAAAGAAAATATAATATATAGGTATATAGCTAAACTTTATACTATATAAATAAAGTTAAAAAATATTACTCCTAATAGTACTATACTAAAATTATTAATATAAATAACCTAAGGGCTAATCTATTATAATATTAGAATTAAAGTTAATAAAATAGTTATATAATAAAATTAAAATAGTCTCTTAAAATAACCTTTATAAAAGAAGAATCCTATAATATAAAACCTAATAAGTTAACTCTTCTTTATTAATACACTTATTATATAACTATTTAAATCTACCCTTACTAAATAAGTTAAATATATTATAATCTCTATCTTAAATATATAACTAATAGAATAATAATACTATAATAATAAACTTATTTAAGAAAACCTTTTATATAAATTTTATAAAAAATTAAAACTTTTTAAAAATTAAATAGAGTTTATTTATTATATATTAAATAAATATTATATAAAAAAGTAAAAGTTTAAATATCTAAAAACTAAATCTTTCTCCTTTAAGTATATTACTTTATTATTAAAGATTTATTTACTTTTATATAATATATAAAAAATATAATAAAAAAAAGAGCCCTATAAAGAAAGTTAATAACTCTACTATATATAGATAAGTTTAAGGGTATATACTAAATAATTATTAACTTTATACTTAAGGTATAAGTTAATAGTTAGTCTAAAAGCTAAGAAGATGATGAATAGATAAATAGTTAAACAAAAAATACAATGTGGCCGAAGCCAAAAGTCTACCTAAGTATGTATCAAGTTCACTGCAAGCAGTAGAGCCTTAAGGGGCTGGGTTCTACTCAGCCGAGGTCACAGCTCGAGAGCCCGGAAAGGGCCCCAAGTCCCCGAGCGGGCCAAAAGTGGATAGGAAGACGTAACAAGAACCGCTGAATTTTCTTCGGCCGTTCCAAGCCCGAACGGAGGCTCTACTGTGGTACAGGACAAGTAGACTAAAAGCCCTTTCGACGTCAACCGTGTCAGGAAAATTGGCTCCGACGATGGTTTCTGCTCGACCCACGGTCAGGTGGCGCGGGCGACCCTCTCGTGTGAGTCAATGTGCAAATGATCTGAAGAGTCTCGGCCTTGGTCTGTGGGAGACTGGGGGGCATTGCTCCTTTTTCAATCCGTCCTGTCCTTTCCTTCAAACTGAATGCCGCCGAAGGACGTTCCCCTGTCAATTAAGAATCCGGGGCCGTCAAGCTTAACTTCATCGCTGCATGCGAGAGCCTGGCTCCGATCTCCACCGCTCCAACCGGAAACTGCAAGCCAGCCATTTGACCTCTTCTCCGGACGCTCCACCGAAGCATACTGTAACTCGGGTCCCACCATCCTCTCGTATTCTTCGTCGACTTTGCGCTCGAAGAGATCGTGGTCTATCTAGTCCGGCTCTGACACTCCGGAGTACGTCGATCGGCTGGGCTCGATACCTCGTCCTAGATCCACGAAAGCCGTCAACATGCGAGGCAAAGCAGAAGTCACAACTGCGGCAGCAGACCCTGAAGACCACGCTACGCTGCAGCGGCCGGTAGCTCCAAAGGATGACCCCGTTGACAATCATCAACAGCCCGCGTCCTGCGCATCAAGTAATGCCGGCGGCGTCCTGGGTAGCGTCGAGGGAGAACTGATAGATTTCAAGACGCTCCACTGGTTGTGCGTAGCCCAGCCGTCTCTTTCTTGTCGGTTTGCGATAAGCTGACACTTTTCTCAGACAAGGAGGCATTCTGTTGGTAGCAGAGACGGTGTCCTTGGGGATCTTGTCACTCCCTTCTGTTCTGGCAACGGTTGGCCTGGTACCTGGCATTATCCTGCTGTGCGTCGTTAGCGCGCTGGCCACGTACTCTGGCCTCCTGCTTGCCGAGTTCCGCAAGCAGTATCCCTTCGTCCAGAATTTCGGAGATGCGGTAGGACTCCTTGGGAAATCGATTGGCATGGGCGGCGTCTTCAGGGAAGTGTTTGGCTGGGCCCAGACTGTCCTGCAGATCTTCCTCCTCGGCGGCCACATCCTGATGTGGACAATTTGCATGAATACCCTTACAAATAGCACCGTCTGCACAGTGGTTCGTACCATATTTTCTCTCAAACCCCACTTTCTCACGTTTGGAGCGTCCCAGAACGCACCGTTTGGAGTTCCGCAGTAGACAACTGACAGACACTGCTAGGCATGGGCAGCAATTGGGATGTTGGTTTTCTGGTTATTCAACATCCCTAGAACTTTAAAGTACACCAGCTGGATGTCTGCGGCATGTAAGTTCAGGCGTGTTGACCGAACATTGGTCCAACTACTTAAGTATGCATCTAGCTCCACTACTAACAGCAACAAAGCCTGCATTTCCATTCTGGTCGCTGTTCTGATCACCGTCATTGATGTTGGAATTGAGAAACCCATCGGGAGCGCTTCCATCGAAGTGTTCAAGTCCCTTGGCTTTGCTCCAGCTTTCCTTGCTGTGACCAACATCTCAAGTGCTTTCTGTGAGTTATTGACCTGGATAGACAGCCCAGGCTCATCACAGCAACTCTAACCCAATTTTGTCCAACAGCCAGCCATGCTATATTTTTCAGTGTCATTGCCGAGTTCAAGAACCCGGATGACTGGCCAAAGGCGCTGGCATTCCTCCAGGTCACTGACACCACCATTTACATTATTTCTGCCGTCATAATCTATGTTTACGTTGGGCCAGACGTCCCGTCGCCAGCTCTCTCTGCAGCTGGGAGCGCCGTTGTCCGCAAAGTCATTTGGGGCATTGCCATCCCCACTATTGCAATCGCGGCCGTCATCTATACTCACGTCGCCTCTCAGTACGTTTTCATGCGTTTCTTCGGCCACACAAAGCACGCTGTCAGGAGAACCAAGCTGGCAACCGTCGCCTGGCTGGTCATCACCTTGGCTATCTGGGCGCTAGGGATGGTGATATCTCAGTCGATCCCCGTCTTCAATGATCTCCTTGGCATTGTGGCCGCGGCATTTGCCAGCTGGTTCTGTTTTGGGCTACCTGGGATCTTCTGGCTGTGGATGCATCATGGAAACTGGTTCTCGGGTCGCAGGCAAATAATCCGCTTTGCTGGGAGCGCGCTTCTCCTCTTAGTGGGTTTTCTACTTTGCGTCTTAGGTCTCTGGGTCTCGATTCAGTCAATCGCCACCACATCGGCCGCGAAGCCCTGGACTTGTACTAGCAATGCAACGGGATAAGCCGTGCGTTTAGATTAGTTCAAATTCCATTAAAATAAAATGATACTTTCCGCTTTACCTTGCTCGAACTCGTGGTAACTTCCCGGCGCTGACGGATGCTGTCAACACAACTGAGGGCTCAAGTTGCGACATTTTCCATCTAAATACTTACGATCGACCCACTGATTGTCGAGATTACTCCTCTGCAAGATTTCAAGGTTGATTGATTATTTGATTCATCTACGTAGCCATGAACATGATATGCTTTTCCAATGGCTCGGTCTTTGAGGTTGTCCATCATACGGGGCTTGATATCGGCCTACACTGGCATGTCACCTATTCTTAGTTCATAGGCTCCTTTCTTTATTTGAGTTCCTCTATTAAGCCGGAATAACAGCAAGTATCATAGCAGGACAGGACCCTGTATTCTTAGGTCATTATTTGGAGACATCTTTCAAGTAGTGATGATACTCCTTAGAGATCTAGTGCGCTTGGCTTCTGCGTGCTTTGACGCGTGTATAGCTGCCATGGGCTGATAAAACACAGATTTTCAGAAAGATTGATCGATTATCAAAGCATATTGTCCAACCCCACCAACCGCGGGGACCGTTGGGCCTCCCAATAATGGCCGACACACTGCCTCCAGGGCTGCCACCTTAAAGGCGTAGCTGGATAGACGGCAGAAGGACAGTTAATTTTAGGTAGGAATATTCTGTTTTTTTTTTTTAAAAAAAAAAAAAACGCTGGGTCTTGAGCGTCTACCACTGTCTGAAGGCGCCATAGAAATGGAACTACACAAGCGCGGAGGGATACACTATCGTGTTTGCTGCCTTGGCGACAGCTGGCTGGCTGGAAGAACTTTACGGCAGACGAGGCCCCGACGAGAATAACAGTATTTTCAGCTACGCGAATTACCACTACAAGTACGGGAACCGGAATGGGCCCATAATCGCATACCTGGAGACCGCCAGGGAAAGGCCTAACTTCGCTTTGTGGACAGATACCACAGCCCTAGAGTGTGCGACGTCTGCTCCGCCAGGGCAGCCGGATCACAGGCGTGGAGTTGGAGTCGAGTTCACGCGGAGCACGCTTGCCCATGTCACTGCCAGCACGGGGCGTGTCATCTTTTCTGCTGGGTGTTATTTTGGGTCCCCAGAGATCCTGTCCCGGAACGGATCAGGGCTTATGAGCAGTGGCAGGTTGTGGCCGACTCCGACTCCGATGGACCGAATTTCAGATGGCGTCGGTTGCCGGTTGGGGAGATACTCAAGGACCGTCAGGTTACCGACTTCCAAATCCCACGTCTTTCTATCAAGAACCACGATTGGTCAAATGAAATGTTGGCCAGCCCTGTGCAGACTAATGTCCATGGCCCTAGTGAGTAGTCAATCCTGTTCCGCCCCGTAGTTATTGCGGCGAGGTTGGCGTCAAGACTCAGCAAGACTTGACGCTCTAATCGTTGGGTCCTACTCCATAGTGCTCGTCGGCGTAGAGTGACCCGACGGGGACACCGCGGTTGTCGGCGTTCAGACCAATGAGTTGTTGGCCGGCGTCTTTGACTTTGTTATACTGACGAAGAAGTCTGATGTGTTCGCTCACGGTGGAGTCGGCGGGTTGCCTACGATTCCGTCAGCTTGGTTGCCAAGCCAAGACTTGAGATGTGTACATAGAAGCTCTCAGGAGACTCACGTTAGACGAATCTGTGCTGCCTCAAGCGCTTGGCGCTTCTGAATGACTAGCACGCAGTGACTGTGTATGTCTTTGATAGCCCGACACTGGATGGTAAGCATGGTTATTCGAAACCTGGCTTGAGTAGCAGCCACCTACTGCAGCATCCACCCCAGAAACAAATGCAACCTGGGAACGGAGGGTGCCATTAGAGAAATCCGGTTGGGGTGTGTGTTAAGCAAGAAGGCGTGATGCATAGGCTTACCGTGTGCGAGGCATCGTCATGACTGCTGAGGGGCACGTAAAAGCGATCCTCAGGACCTGGCCCGGTGATGGTGACGGTGACCTCGCTCTTCCCACGCGATGTGTGTGCCTCGGCTCTGATCGGACCCCAGACGTTACCAGTACCAACAAGAGCAGTCCCAGAACCGTCGTCATGGATGTGTGCCTTGAAATGAGCCAAGTGATCAAGTATGGCCGCGAGGAGCCCCCCACAGCCTCGGCCGTTTGCCGCTTCTGCTGACAGGGAATGCTGCAATTCCTGGATCAAGTCACAGTCGGCTGCCGACAGTAGTGTGGTCTGCGCAACGGCATCCGCCAGCCCACCGGCAGCGGTGCGCGCCTGACCCATCCTGCGAAGCGCTGGAGAAGTTGTCGGGCGTGATGTTGTTTTGCTCTCCAAATGTCCAAGTGGCATGATGGATGGATGATGCGTTATGGATGATGATACCGGAGATCACCAAAGGTCAGGTACCCTAACCCTCCGCCCGTCTTGGCCTCGGGTGGCACCAGACTTGCAGACCAGGAGGTCTCGGCAAACCGCCCGATGGTGGCGAGCTCACGGCAAGACCCCTGAGGAGATCCCCTGTGCCAATGCTGTCAACTGAGCTTGGCTTCGGTAAGGCCACACGCCAAGGACCTAGCTGCCTGCTCCGTACAACCAGGCGGCCTCGGGGGGCTTGTGGTTCCCCCATGAGGCCACAATTTGGGCCCACCGAGAGCACAACCCAGGCGAAAAGAGACGACAATACCAGAAAGCATGGACGCAAGAGATGGAATAAAAGATCCCGCCTTGGTAGAATGGCTGATCCGACACATGATGTCTGCATATGTGCATCTCTGCCTCTCTTGCCTCTCTTGCCTCTCTGCCGCTGACCCTAGGCTTCTTGGCATCGCCGTCTAGACTCCGACCAACAAGTCCCCGTCTCCGATAAGCACTGGCCGGTCTGGGCTGCCCATCGGACTGCGCGACGGCAGCTCACCATGCCGTTGCAGCCGGGTGGGCGATGACGCCCATGTCCTCGACGTCACGGGCTGCATCGGTGCAGAGGACGACTCGCTCATGCTGGGGCAGTCCAATGCGCGCCTCGGGCACTCGGCGAAATTGTCCCAAGCCTGCCTGACCTGGGGAGCTCTTGGGATTCCGGGGGCGGGGATTGTCGTCGTGGAGGCGAGCATGTCTCCATCCCCATCCACCAGAGCTGCGGTGCTGGTATATGGGGGAACTTTGCGGAGGGGTGGGCCCTCGGTGGGGACCGTGAATGAGCTCCTCGACTCCTCGCAGACCTGATTTGAACGCTTGCTCAGGGCACCATCCAACGGCCCGAATGGCAGGCCTCGACGGTGGGCTGGACGGTGGGCCACCACTGATGAATTCCCTGGGCGGCATGTCAGGTCCTGCCAGGGCAGGGCAAGAAAGAGTCAGCGCGGCCGTGTGCGCTGTCCCGGCCAGAGCATGAGGAGGACCCTTGGATTGTGATCCATCATGGATCGACTTCGTGCATGTCGTTTTTCGGGTCCGTTCGGCCACAGCCGCGTCCGCTGCGATTGATGGAAGAACTCTGGAGTCACTCCACTCTCAGCGAGACTTTCCTCAACAACACGTTACTAAGTCGCCCAAGTACCTCCTGCTGTTAAGCCGCTTTGGTCCAGCCTGCCGGCCAAGCGGTGTGTGCCGCTTAACACCCGCCCCTGTAGCCGTCATGCTATGCACCCATCATCGGCTCCCTGCGACAGGTGCTGTGCTCGTATCATCAACTACACTCGGCCGTGTGCTCCCTCCCCACGGGGCACTATGGATGCCTTTATTATATCCGGGGTTCACACTCCCTTACAGCGGACCTCTGCGCTTCTGGACTCTTCTCCATGGTCTTTCCATTCAATCTCCTTTGACTCTCACCTCACCACTCAAAGCATTTGCTAGAACACCCACTCTTGCATCTAGCCATCCCGAAATCTCGCAAATATGGCGATAATGGGGCGTAAAGGATACGCCTGGTAAGTCAGACCTGTGCCCCTCAAATTCAGAAAACTCCAGCAGAATCTCGGGCTAATAACAGTCCTCTCAACCAAGGTTCTGCGCCCTCTCCGCAGCCATGTGCAACTCATATTACGGCTTCGACGCTTCCGTCTTCAACGCCGTCCAAGGCTCCAATGCCTGGCTCGATTGGATGGGCAATCCTGGGCCCAACCTGGTGGGAGGTGTCAACACAGCCTACTCCGTCTGTGCTATCATCAGTGGATGGTTCATTGCAGCCCCAGTAGCCGATTTCCTGGGTCGGAAAACAGCAATGGGTATTGGTTCTTTTCTCATTATAATCAGTGCAATCCTGGAAACGTGCACTCCTCGCGGCCAAATCGCATGCTTCATCGTGGGTCGTGCCGTCAACGGTATTGGCCAGGGAATCGCTCTATGTATGTCTTGAACACAACCCACTGCCCATTTCTCAGCACACATGATCCGATAGGATCCAATCTTGCTAACAATATTGTAGCTGCCGGACCTTCATACATCGGAGAAATCACGCCCGCAAAGATCCGTGGAATCGTCATGACATTTTGGCAGGTTGCCTACAGGTACGCCTTGCTGTTTTCTTTTACGCTTGGGTCTTATTTGACTGACACAACTTGGTAGCGTCGGCCTTTTCCTCGCCTTTTGGATCAACTTTGCTTGCACAAAATACCTCCACCGTCTGCCGGCAAATTGGGACTGGAGGATTGTGTGCATCTTCCAAATAATGGTCCCAATCTACGTGCTTTGCATCCTCCCAGGTCTCCCCTCCTCCCCAAGATGGTAAGCCAAATTCAGCCTCTACTTCTCCCAAATAACACTTCTAGCTGACAGTCATCTGCCACAGGTGCATCAAGAACGACAAGCTTGAGAAGGCCCGAAGCTCGCTCATGGCAACCCGTTTCAGCTCGGAAGAGGCAGAGGAAGAATTGCAGACCATCATCCAGGCCGTCGAGTTCGAGAGGAACAGCAAGGAGACATCCTCAGGCTACGCAGCTCTCTGGAAAGACAAGAGTGTCCGCAAGAGGCTGCTACTTGCCCTCGGCATGAATGCTGGTCAACAGCTAACCGGTCAGGGATCTTTGACAACATATTCCACCAAGATCTACCAGGGTGTATTTGGCGATCCGTCCACCATTGCCCTCATCAACGCCCTGAACGCCACGCTTTCCATTCTGTTCTGCCTCAACGTGACCTGGATTGTTGAGCGGTGGGGGCGGAAGGTCTTGTTCATCATTGGCGGTGCCGGTTAGTTTTGCTGAGCAGCCCCCTATGTGTTCCGATAGCTAACATCTCTTAAGGCATGGCCTGCTGTATGCTCATCGTGGCCACCGTGGGCTCGCAAACCCCGACCGATGCTGACGGCGCTAAATCATACCCAGTCGGAGTCGCGATCGTGTTCCTCCTGTTCCTCTTCATTTTCTTCTACAAGCCATCCTGGGGTGCCGTCACCTGGATCTGGAGCTCTGAGATCTTCTCGCTCAACGTGAGGGCCCAAGGTGTGGGCATGGCGGGACAGACGCAGAATATTGCCAACGCCATCGTGCAACAATTCTTCCCTCTTTTCCTCAAAGACTGTGGCTTCTACGCCTTCTACATGTTCGCGGGTATCAACTGCCTACTCGTCTGCTACGTCTTCTTCCTCATCCCGGAGACAAAGGGCGTCCCCCTCGAGGAGATGGACAAGCTCTTTGGCGGAGCCAGCCACGTCCAGGGCGGTGCTATGATGCGCCATGACACCGATATCACCACCACCGAGCACCACCGACCTACCTCCAAGGCCACCACCGACCATGGCGGCAATCACGTCGAGGGCTCAACCACTCCCGAGGAAAAGTGAAGGGTATGATTAATGCTGACGATGCTGAAAATGGTGCTCATTCAAATTCTATGCCACGAAAATGATAGGCAATTAATGACTAGCACTGGTGGCGTTGCTTTACTGGAGCTGAGGTATAATTGGTGGTTTTCCTAGGATAGCCTATCATGAGAAGGACGGACTCTAGACCATTTGATAGACCAGATATATAGATGTGTGCCACGCCACACGAATCGGCACCGAAATCAGGAGATTCCTCGAAATTCACATTCCAATCAACTCATCTTATCGTTCCGTACTATCTCTATGGGGGCATTTCGTGGCGACTTCTGAAATCTCTATTAGCACCACTTACCCCAACGCGCTAGTCATCAATGATGCATGTGTATAGACTGTGGAGCGCTTGCGTAAACCGTAATCAGCAAGGCAATAACTGCGGAGTGGTCTGGGTGGGCCTGCACAAGGGATTCGGCAACAGCAGCCAACCCGCCGCCACCGAGATGCACAAGTTAGGGGAAATGGCGCGTGTCAGGGGTCTAAGGATGGGGCTCCAACATGAGCAGACTCCGGGTTACTTCCGGAGATGCCAGGGTGTGGTTGAGGACGACCCATCGGAGTGATGGGAACGGTCGGGCTGCGCTGTACCGACACTCTGGAAGCGGTTCATGCTGCACAATCCGGATAATCTCTGCTCGTGGTTCTCCGGCGACATGTCGGACGATCTTTGCCGCCTCACAAACTTTCAAAACCAGACATTTTTTCGCTCATTGTTTAATTTGTGGGGCCTGGGTCTCGATCGAAGTTAAGATCCTTCAAAATGGTTTTGGTCGACGGATGATCTAAGCTTAACTCTGATATTAAACACAACCTCACGAAGCCTTCCCTCGGCGGATGATTTTACCAAGTCAAAATTATGTTGTTGAAATCTTGGGGGTGAGCTTCCTGCTCCACTTGATCCAGCAAAATTGCTCGGTGTACCAGAACTGATACACACGTTATAACACGTGGGCAGATGATATCACGAAATCGCCCACCTAGGTAGTACTTACCTAGGTAAGTATTTGTAGTGTTCGGATACGGTACGATCACCCGACTGAATTATCATAGATTTCCACAAGAATAACATTGAAGTCTCCGAGACTCTAAGAACAAAGCACTGTTGCCATAAAGGCTGAGTACGACTCGAGAGATTGCCGTTACCGTGTACGTCCATGAGTACGCACGACCTCAAGTGCTTTTATGGCTAGCAAGAAATAATTGTGTGTATTTGAGCGCATTCCAAATTGCTCAAGCGTGTGAAGACCATTTCATAATGTATTAACCCTCGCGTAACGGATGAGGTCGCAATTTTCTTCTGGGAGGCAAGGAGTTTGGATATCTAAAATCACAACAGCCACGCAAATTGACAGAAATTGACTTCCATGAACAGGAAAGATCCCCTGCGCAATTATACCTAATAAAGCGGCACCCCTTTTCCGTAGGAGCCTGGCCAACGGCTGGAATTAACGTCTTTCTCAATGTGTCGCTTGTCTTGGCTGACTGACACGACGGAAGCGATGCCGCCTATAGCATTCTTTCCTGGTATACTTTCTTCCTCTGCTCCCGCAATTGTCCCCCGCTGTTCCGAAGCTTGTGCTGCACTTTCACTGGCCAGACTTTTGCCGCCACTGCTGCTCTTGTTAATCGGCCGCTTCCCCCCATTGATCAATGTCATCCTAATACCCTCGCTGTCGAACAGATCAGGATTCCTCGCTTTGACGACCTCGATGAGTTTGTTCAGGATGCTGAACTCCAGCTTGAGCTTGACGCTATACACGAGAGCCTTCCAGCTTGTCTGCAGGTCGTAAAACCCAGAGAACTCGAGCACCAGGATGGAAATATCAAGCGTCATGATAATAACGTTGATAAAGATGAGCCAGTACATGATTTTTCTTCCGTCGATGTTTTTGTTGCTCGACTCGAATCCGAGGTGCCGCGCCTGAAGGAACTTCCAGGACTCCTGGATGTAGACGAAGGAGATGATACATTCTTGGACGAAGAACACCGACAATTGAACCTTTTCATATATCGAGTATGGCATGACGAAAGGCGCGCCATTTTCCGAGCTGACGCTGTAGAACAAAACGGATATCGGAATGTGACAGACTATGGCGTCGAAGATGATCATCCCCAAGATGAAACGGAGCTTGCGTTGGTTGTGCAGCAATAGGTGCAGCCGGGAGTAGAGGACGACGCTTTGCCCTGTGATCATGCTTGACCACCCAACCAGGACCAACGAGACGTAAGTCAATCTTGAAGCAAGACCAACATTAGGGTGCAGAAACTTGAGCAGGTAGCCGACTGCGTTAAAGGATATTCCGATCGTCGCCACGAGCATCGACCAGAAGTACAAGCCTCTGCGCTTCTTGAACTTCGTGAATATAATGATGATCAACTCCAGAACATTGTAGAGAGCCAGAGAGATGAAGGCGGTGATCACAAAGAGTGTCGGTCCGGTGACCAGACTGTCCCCGGCAATCCCACGATCGCTTCTCCTTATTGAGAACATAACGAATGCAAGAGGCACGAGCTGGCGTCGTATGATAGTCGCAAACTGATCGTGGACAATTAGTATCTGTCGATATGCTCCGCTCTGAAAAGCTGCTCGTGGACCATCCGTCGAGCGACGTTTCCAGAGGAGCGCGAACGAAGTGGAGGGTAAATATCACTAGGATACGGGTATTAAGCTCCGAAATGAACCTTTTGGGGAGGTAAACCGTATTAACTATCTGTCACCCCCCTGAATAAAGCTTGGGCCCCAATACACGCTCAGGATCCACTAACAGAAGCTTTTGCATGGCTGGTTAGACTTTGTGCGGCGCAAACAATGCCCTCCATCCAGGCTATAGCTGAGCTGGAGAGGCCTCGAAATGATTCGGGCGCCGCATGGCCTGTTCACACAATGCTTGCTAATGACTCGAACAGGCAGCACTGCGAGCGCCAGTCCGGTGGTCTCAAACTTGTTTGTCCCTGGAGGACTGAGACAGCCGCCGAGACAGCCGGGTTCCGGCAGTTTCTAGACTGACCCAAGGACGGCGACTTTGCAGCCACAACGGTTATTGCAGATTATCGGGACCTTGGCCCATGTCACTTGCCAGCTCATCGTGCCGTAGGGGGTTGTACTTCCCATCAACATATGATACTGTTTCATTTGCCGTTAATGCTATGTGGTCAGCCTGCGGATCGGGCCTAAGGTCTTCACCCACATGCCTCACCGAGCACCTGGGCTGAAGCCTTGCTATAATCATGAGCTCATATGTGTCTTGAGGCTCGATTATACGTGTATATCAAGATGTCAGATGATGGTGGACGCAAGCACCGGGCACTAGCCAGGTATAGTAATGATAGAGAGACTTAACACGTCTGATATACACCACTTGTTGAGGACAGCTCTTTGGCTTGCGCACCTGCACGTTCATTCACACGGCAGCTCATGCTGTCAAAGCCTGAGAGGGGTAGGACCGTCCTCATCAATTGTTTTTTTTTTCATCCCAAATTCGAAAGACCAATGCACACTTTCCTAGAACTGTTGGTGACGCGCTTGTCATCTGAGGCTGAGTCAATGAGGCGAATCAAAGCATGCTGAAATGGAACCTCAGGATGGGTATTTCGGTTGCCAACGAGTCGAGTCGCCTACCGTGCCCCACTGCTTCTTGGCCAAGCAAAGGATCTGGGGAAACCTTATCTCGACCACATCCGGGTGCCGCTTAGTTTTGAAACCTTCGCTTGGACGAGGGGCGGATCAGTAGGAAGCATTCCTTTACTCATCGGATAGGTGGCTGACTATTGAGCCAGGGATTATTGGGATCATCTTGCCGACTTCTGCGACCGAGAGGGGCTTGGCGATGTATACGACGCTCTTGTGCGGCAGCAGATGAGGGGAAATGTGTTATAAGAGTAACGGTAAGGAGTTTAAAGAACCTTAGAATCTATGCGATAGGTCCCTGATCGCCATATCGGCCATTCTCTTCTGTCGAGGACACCATTTCAGCAGAAACGTTGGTCGGACTCCAGAGATGCTGGCAAATGAGGACACCACTGCCAAGTAGCGATCATGTGCACCAAGTTGTATTTGGAGGAGGGACATGAAGATCGACGAGAAGCATTCTGTCGTTGCATGTCACATAAAGCGCAAGGGGGATGAATCAGAGCAACATACCCACCCATACGCTTCCTTCATTTCTCCGACTTGTCGGATCATCCGACGGCTTCCGAAGGGAGAGTTCCACAATCGCCACGGTTGCCGCGGCTGGGCCCGTGTCCCCAGCTCGAATCTCGGCGGGGAGGGATTCCCTCTCAGCGGCCCTTCAGCTGCTGACATGGGTGCAGCCGAACCTTATTTCAGTATTCTCCGGTTTGTCTTGTCCGTCAAGGGACCCCAGCCCTCGTTCGCTCCAACAGTGATCTCTTGACGCCCAAGACCAACCTTCCTTGCTGCGACTGCCAATAACCCAATCGGGGTTATTTGAGGACGCCCGCCGGCCCCTCGGGAGCAAGCCTGTATGCTTGACTTTGAACGAGCACAGAGCCTACGGTATCATCTAATCAAGTAGCTGACTTGATTAAAAACTTTGACCTTACACGCTTCGCAGCGCCCCCCACCCCCCGCGCTTGTGTCTGCTTGTTTATCCTTCTATGCTAAGTGGCGAGGAGGGCCTTGTTCGCCATCTCGTCCCGACGTCGGCCAGGGATTGTAGGGTGTATGTACAGCAACTGTGCACCAGATGTGACCGTGAAAGCAAAATGATGGTAAAGCGGGGACAGCAATCTGAAGCAGCGGGAGGGGAAACAGATGGCAAACATAACACTGGATCCTGCCAGGCTTGACTTGCTGGTTTTCCGAGGAAATCTGATCCCATCCCCGTGGCCGAATACCATCTCATTCTGCCAAATGACGATCTTACAACACATATGCTCTCAGGATGACCCTGATAATGAAGCTAGAAGGCCAAGACCCGCGAGGATAGTCAAGTCCAGGCCAAGCATGAGGGGGAAAGAGCCGCCCATAGCGCAGGCGGGCGGAGAACAACGAGAGCCAGAAACTAGCCAGGTGATTAAGCTTGCCCCCCCCCCTCCGCCGGAGAAAAAAGAAAAGAAAAGAAAAACTCCATTGTTGGTTAGAAACTAGAGTACTGACTTGGCTGCCGACGGGAACAAGCACCCCAAGATAGCTGACTCCAAGTCCATCGGGGAACTCTTCTCGCCGACTCGGCCCACCTTGGGTGCTCGGCTGTCGTCCTGGTCCATCCGGCAGAGGGCTCATCAGGCGGCAACTGCCGAAGCCACTACAGACACAAACAACAATAGACTGCTACGCACGCGGTCTTCAGAGCCCATCGGTGGCCCTTCAACTTCAGCACACGCACCAGAGTTCGAGCCGGAGGCGAGACCCACGCTGCGGACTCGCCTTTCTGCTTGGTCCCTCCATCAAAGAACTGGCGAAGGTCTTGCTGTCCTACAAAGGATTAACCCTTCTTACCTAGCCTACTTTCCATCCGGTAGACTGGTTGTTGGTTGAGGGACGTGCAATGGGGTATACCTGACTGAGAAAACCAGAATTGTCTTGGGGGAGATAAAGACACGAATATGTGGTAACTGCTGGAGGGGCAAGGGAAGTGGCGTTAACACCAAGTCTGGCTTCGGAACTCCAATTGGGGTCTGTTTTGATGGTGAATAGATTCTAATGCAGAAAGACTTGTTCTGCTCAAGGCCAAAATATCATCTACACTGTCCAACTCCTGCTCTTTTTAATCTATAGATATCCTTTGCCCTTGACCAATTTGCGCCTTACTACCCAGAATTCAGGAATCGTCCAACTCTAAGTACCAGAGTCTACGCCCCGGCGGCGCTCACCGCCGAGCAATCGGCTGTGTTTCAGCACCCATCTCGAATTCGTTTTCCATCTCGCTTTCCCCTTCAACGGCCTCCGGCTTTCCGTGCTCGCCTGCGTGGCCAGATTCGCCGCCCATGCCTACGATGTCGATCCATTTCCAATGGTCGACAATGACATTGCCGCTTCTGTCAAAAATCGCCTTATCGTCCTGTACGCCGTCATCGAAGCCCCCATCATCGGCGTCTGACCGGCTGCTGGTCTCTACGGCACCCAGCTTCGCGCTGGTATCGGTTCCCTCAACCAGGTCGCCGACCCAGGTCCGAGCCACCGGCACACCGTTCGCCCGAAGCAGCTGCAGGCACGCCCGCACGTTCAGCCTCAGCGCCCTCTCCGGCTCGTCGGATCCAAACACCTTCTTGGTCAACCAAGGGAACAGCACGCCGAAATCGCTCTGATTCAGGTGCGCGCTATTCACGACATAAAAGAAATTTGGCTCTGGCAATCGCACGCCTGACCCCGGGCGCTCGAATGCCGATGCTTTAACAACAGGAGCGCTGGGGTTTGGCGAGAGTATGCGACACTTTGTGTGTAGGTGTTCTGTCCATTTGAAGAAGGCCTCTGATTCGATAGCGAGGATTGCGGAACCGCCAGGTGCCGTGGGTTCATTGTCGGCGTACGCTGGTAGGGGGAGGCGATAAAGGGCGGTGGTGGTTGGTGAAATCAGAGGAAAGCACCACATGTCCAGCAAGATTGTGGGGTTTGCTGGCGTTATTTGCGCGCGAATACGAGTGCCTGGTGCAGGCACGAAAAGGGGCTCGTCCAAGTCCTTGAGCTCGGGTGCGTCGACGTAGTATGTTGATTTCAGAAACTGAACCACGGTTGCGGCGCCAAAAGAATGGCCGGAAAACAGAATCGACCCAGGGTCTTGCACATTCATCTTGGTCGCGAGCTGGCCAAGACATTCCGCGGGAGTGCTGGTGTTCAGATTCTTGACGGGCAGCCCGACGTCGATATCCAGTATAGCCTCATGTATTAGGCCAAGCTCCCAGAGTCTGAGTTTCAACTGCTTGTTCCGCGCATCCCACGTTTCTTGGTTTTGATGGTGCGCGATCTTGATATACGGGACTGTGCGCCTGGTGTTCTTGACGAAGAATTTGTCCTGGGCAGCAGGATCACGTATAAAAGACACGGCAGCGCTTCCATCGCGATGTTCCGGGCATATCACCACCATGCCGTGAGAGGCCATAGAGCCAGCAACATGGGAGTATGCGTTTCGATTACCGCCAAGCCCATGCGAGAAGATCATGGTAGGCCATCGCCTATTGGGGATATGATGGGGCTCGAGGATGGCAGCGTTCTTGTGGACGGGTATCGTGGTGTAGTGCACATGCCTTGGAAGAAACCTGCCAAAGCACCGTGGTTAGCGAGGAAAGCTGTAAAGGTTGGCCGGCCAGCAGGTGCACACACGAGAGAAGCTCAGAGGTGAAGGCACCGAAACCGAGAAACTTTGTATATGCTGTGACATGACTCCGCTGGGGAGCTGGAAGCCATGTTATCCTCTTTCCCTTGCTGTCTGGTTGGGCAGGATAAAATATGCGGAACTGGACGGTCAGAATGTCGGCTGCGTTGGGGGGTGCTGCGCTTGGCGCGTGGAGGTCGGCAATTGGGATCTCGACGTCGGCGGTGCCGACCTTGTAGGGGCCGGTGTATTCTGGTAGAGTTGGTACAGGGTTGACTTTGTTCAGATAGTACGAAATTCGCTCCGAGTAGGCTGCCTTCTCGGCCTTGGCCGTTGGCGGCGTCATGTCGAGTCACAGTCAGAATCGCCGACCGCGGGCTTCCCCACCGAATTGCTTGGTCGCTCGGTCGCTCGGTCGCTCGGTCTGTCGCTCTGTGGCTTCTGGTGTGGATGTACGATCGTTGACAGGAGATCTGAGTGAAGGGGCGCTACTGGCGTTACAAGGCTGGCTGTCACACAAGGTTGCAGCGCATGCCGAGGGCTCTCGTGGTCGAGGGGGAAGTGGGTCTCGAGGGCAGCAAAGGGTTCGTTTGGAACTGTCCCGAAGCAGCCTGAGGGCATTAGAGGCTAACGTCCTAGTCTAGACAAGATTTAAAAATACTGTAGTTTTGTACGGCATCGATCGGCCGGGCAAAAGGACATGTTCTGGGACAGAATTGAAGTCCTGGTCCGGTAGCGAGGGACGATGGCGGTCAGGCAAAGAAAGGTAAGAATAGTGAAGGAGGCGCAGACGTTGACGGGCACCCGGCACCGAGGCTCTGGCCCTTTCCAAGCCCCTGGAACCAAGCTGGCAAGGGCTCGGCTATAATTGGACCCATCAGTCTCTGCAGCCAATCAGACCTTCTCCTCAAGCTTCATCGCGTGTCCGGTTTCCGTTTACGGCTACGTCATGTGCCCTTGACGGCTTCTAGAACGACCCGACCGGTTGGAATCGTCATTGTGTTTTGATTATTCTGCTGGCCTGCATTGGTTTCTGCTCCACATACCCCAGGGTAGTTAGCTCTGATCACAATTTGCCGAGGCTCACACTCACACGATGTCTGCACAGCGCAGTACAGCGCATATCTTACTCAGGAGAACGTGGTATACTATTGCCTCCCATCCGCTGAAGCCAACGCATTTTAAAATAGCAATCCCGGACGGTTCGGTTCGGTCTGTGAAGCTGATCCAAGTCTGATGCAGCCCACTGTGTGCAGAGCAGAGGAGTACGAGATTTGGGTCCTGGCTGAGGATCGGCAGAATTGCACACCCTCCTCTCCAGTTCCACCGTGGTCTCTGGATCTGACAAGACTATCTGTCGCAACTTGTCTGATCGAACAACATTGCTGTCGTTGTTGCATCCCCGGGGTTACCAGTTAGCACATTGGTTTTGCTGTAGCTTCCATAAAACTGCTTACCTGAGTCGGCGCATTTCTTGTGGTCTTCGACACCCTCAACTGCGAGCTCCAATTTGTCGCAGCCAGTGAGACCGTCGAAATTATCCTGTCCATGCAGGAGCAACCACCATGGTGCTAAAGCCGCGACCCAATCCAATGTCAAAGTGGTAGCATTCTGAGCATTTCCCTCATCTCCTTTGTTCGGTTACTAGATGGTTCCAGTGTACCCGACAAGATCCGAAGGAATATGTTTCGTTTAAACGCCTTGAATAAGCAAGCTCTGGCCTGGTTTGCTTTGAAATGGGCGCACATAGTAGTTGACGGCTTTGAACCCTAGATATCACTACCTAGGTACCTAAGTACATAAGGAAGGTCGAGTTATAGCACGGTATTTTATAGTTAAATACTTTTTATACTTAAATAAAATATCTAAGGTTACTTCTATAATTATAAGCTATTTATAAAATAAAATAAGTATTATAATTATTATAATTAAATATTAAAGTTTAAATATTTAAAGTTAATTTTAGTTTAATTTATAAAGTTTTTAATATTTCTTCTTTTTATATATTTTTAAATATATATATAATAAAAGTAAATTTAAATTAATAATATACGTTTTATAACTCTCTTTAATATAAAGTTAAAAAATATATAATTATAATTTTAAAATTAAGTTTATATTTAATTATATTATATTATTATAAATTTATTTAATTTTTAATTTAATTTATATCTCTTTTAAATTCTTTTAATATTTTATATATATTTAAAAATATATATAGCGCCTTTATATAATAATAAACACTTTAAACCTAGTGTTTAACTATTATAAACGTTAATAAAAAGCTTTTATAACACTTACCGCTAGTTATTTAATAGAAGAGATTAATAATATATAAAACTTATAATATTACTACTCTTATTAAAATCTTTTATAAAGTTTTAAATATATATAAAAATAAGTTAAAAAGTTTTTAAATAATATATTATTAAGTTAGTTTATTATTTTATAAAAAGTTTAAAAGTCTTAAATAAGATAAGTAATTTAATTGATCTACTTTAAGAGTAAATACTACCTTCCTAGTAGTATAATTATAAGGCTAGATAAGGCTTTTAAATATAGGGGCTTGAACGCATACCCTTAGTTAGAACAGTTATTGCAATAAGAGGCGCATCTACTAACCATATACTCTCTCGTCCGGCCAAAAGACCATAATAACTAATCTACTAATTAGTTACTCTAGCAGTACATAAGACCCGTACCGTCACTGCTATTTTCGAATGTGGGTGATGGCACCCAGGACAAGCCTTACTTATTCCACTCCCGGGTCATGCGAAAATCTTCTTAACAAAGAATGTGTCACCTGTATCTATTGATGAATAGATAGCGGTTCGGCGTCTTGCTTCGCACAATTCACCACCTGTCCCTTGGGATGTCAACCCCCACAACGTCGGGACTGCTGGAACGTGAAGAGTAATACGACTTGTCGGAAAAGTCAGAGGTTTTAGGAAGCGAGATGTCGATATACAATATTTTGGTCTTGAATGAAGGTATTGAAGAGAGATATAGATTGATGCCAGCATCTGACTTCAGCAGAGATCTATTATCATGTTGCTATGTTCATTACAGGTGTTGTATCTTCATGAACTAAGTTGAAACTCCAAGGCAATTCCAATAAAGAAAGTAGAGAGTGCTTACCACCGTATGAAGGCTCCATGTATGTCCTCGGACGTATACGGAGTAGAAGCGAAACCACCAAAGAAAGTAGAGCTGCAGGATTAGCAGAACCTTTCAAGGCAGCACAAGCAGCCACTTTCCTACTTGTGATTCAAATGGATAATTAATAGCACTACTGTCCACAGTTAAGGAAGCAGCAATCACCTTTACCACCGTGGAAATGGACCGTGAGGCAATCTTGGGCCCCTTGAGGCAGGTCTTCACAACCGCAACATTTGAAACCTTAGGGAATTTCGGCCATCTGAAGTAAGCCTGGAAAGCAAATTCATCTCACACTAGAGGGTTTCTTGAAAATAAAGCTTGAATATCTCCTAGTCACTGGAGCATTCTTAGCAAACAGAAAGAGGGGTAAATTGCCCTAAAGATGTATATTTAATGCTGCTGCTTCTATTACTGTTCTTAAGCATATATAAACCCTTCAGGGGGTTGTGTCATTATCACTTATTGTCAACCATACAAAGCACATGAGATTGACAGATATAGTGCTGTGGCATGATTAGGTCCAGGCATGACTTGATACCTAGTGTGTTTTTTGGTGCTTACATAGTACTTATGTACCCTAAGCAATCGGCATCATCAAAAACTCAGTCGTATATGCCCATGAATATTTCTTAATAAGCTGATCTATGAAGCTCGCTGTTTCTTTGATATTTTTTCCAGCTATCAGCAGTGGGTCCCACGGCCAGTCTCCTGGATGATCATTCTATCATTCTTATCTAAAGTGCGCGGAGATCCGCCCAGGGCTGTGCTTACGATGCATGCTCCCCCACCGCCGACCGATAGGATGAGTTTGCAAGGTTGGGCTTACAGGAGTCTGGTGACAGCTTTCATTTCCGTCGCGCCGAAAGGAGTCAGCAGATATTGCTGTACTGAACATATGATACGAACGAGGAAATATTTGCTGCTCTTAGGTGCTTTCCATCCCACACTTGGACTCTGGCATCGGACGGTGGATGTGGAGCGTTCCACGTGGTCATCACACAGCGCCATTTGAGATGTGGGCTCCACCTGCCCAGGTGGTCCGTTCCCCTGTCCTGAGAGGGTTTGTTGCAACGCTGCCAGTTTTAGAATTGGCACCAGAAGCAAAGAGTGTAGACTGAAGAGCTTCAGTGAGAACATTCTAAAGTTATGATGTGAAATGGCTCAATGGGTACAGAATCGTCCACCGTGATCAATAGATTAGCTGTCTGTGGTCCTCGACTTTGAGCGACTTGTTTCCCAGAATGAGCCTGTCGCTCTTCCTGATTACTCACCGATGGCGTTACAGGCAGAGCAAAAGGAAGCCTTGTGTATTTTACCAATGCATCTCCACTCTTGGACATCGTCGTATCCGTTTTCTTGATACCGGCCGTGACTACCAGATGCAGTAGTGATTGAAATTTGACATGCCCACGTGCTCAAGAGGCCTCGACTTCCGCAGCCCGGGGTTGAAAGGACCAGGTCTCGAGTCAGGTTGGGACATCCTGGCTCACGGCTGCCAGCTCTCGGAAACGACAAGCTCGGGCCGGAAGAGAGACGTTGAGGCTCGATAGATTGAGTTTGCAGCATCCGGAATCGTACCTTACCTCCTCCACCACTCTCAGGTGACACCATCCACCTACTTCAGTTCTACCCGTGGACTGGGCCAGCCAGTCTGCGCCTCACGCCAAGAAATTTCTCCTACCAGCATCGCACCCCTGGCTCATTTCCCTGGCGGGACGTCTCTCGGATCACCGCCTGATGATGTGCCTCCCCGTAAGGCAGTCGACATGTCAGCCCCCAAAGCCCCAGTAGTATTTGCGTCGGATGCAACCCAAGGGGGCGTGCTCAGGAGGGCCGGGCACATGTGCATCCCCTGAGCAGAAACCGTTTCTTGACGAGGACCACCATGAAGGAAGTATCAAAACTGAACCCGGCCATTGATTCGGCTTCATCCGAGCCACGAGGGCCACAATACCATTCGCGTTCCCGGTTGACACAGATGCATGCTTCGACGGAGCCACCGCAGACCGGTTCCCAAATTATATTGGTGCGACCCGTGCCTCTCGATCCAACAGATGTAACCACCCATGCCGGTCCCATAATCTCTCACACCCACATGCAACGGCCAATTTTGCCCACGTACCGAGCAAAATGTGCAAAAGTCATGCAGGACCCAAAACCGCTTGTGCTAGTAGCACTGGGATGAAATCTTTGTCAAGCAGTTCGGATTCGACGATTTCTAGCTAATATTGACGAAGTCTAAGCACTTTACGCGCGATGGAATGATCACAACATCGTCTGGATTTTGCCCTGAGAGTACACTAGGGTATATATATGCCTAGGTATACATAAATGCGAGACTGCGCAGTTGCTAGCTGCCGGTGTCTAGTCTTTGGGCCTGAAGCCAGCCCCTTGGCCTTATTGTGGCAAACACACCTGCCTCAATAGACCCATGTGCACGCGAATTCGATCTCACCATTATTGAAGAAGCTGCACATCGCGCAATTCGACCACCGATTGGAGAGGCCACCCGTTCAGCTGAAAGGGGGCTCTCATGCCGGGCGTGTGGGGCAGCCGTTCAAGGTGCGTTCGAAACGGGAAGCTTGATTATTATTGGATGCCCTGCGGAGGCTCATCTAAACCCTTGGCGGCGAGCTGAGACCTCACTGGGCCGTCAGTGGACCGGTCCTCCGAGCCCTCGGGCGAGTGAGCTTTCAGGGTATGTGCACGACTCAGGTCGCTGTCGAATCCCACGGGAGAGGACCGACGGGGTTGAGCCTGCTGGGATCAGGGGGCTCGCGTCCCCGTTAATGATCTTCTTGCCTGCATGTGCGGGTGTGTGGTGCTGATCCCTTGCAAACTGCCCGGGGGGAGGGATCTGACATGTCTTGCTGCCGCAGTACTTCGTGGTGAGGTAGATATGTAGGCTATATAGTGAATCTCGCCCCGGATTGCTCAGGGCTGGGATAGTCTCGGTTTCGGAGATCGATCGTTCTCACTATTGCCTTCTTCTGGAACTGTCGAGTGTGGTGTTCATTCGTTTACACCAGCTCAGTCACTCTTTTTTCTGTTTCTCAGTCGCTGTCCTTGAATGTTGCACATTCATTTCAGGAATTCCACTCATTTCATACTCCGACCCCAGTCTGTCTTTTTGTTCTTTGAAAAATCCAGGTGCATCCTGCGTTATTAAATCAGCTAAAATGAAGTTTTCCGTTGGGCTCGCGTCCCTCATCGCGAGCGTCGCCTATGCTGCCCCTTCCAACTCTGCCCTACAGCGCCGATCCGACGCCACAACAGAACAGCCGTCCAAGCTGCGACTGATCCCCGTCCCTAATGCGAACCGTCAGGCATTCGGAGTGGGCCGTAATATTGCTCCGACTAAAAACCTGAACCTGGCCTGGAAAACCCCCGATGAGGCCAGCCTCGTCTCTGTGGACCTGCTCATGCAACACCCTGCGGTGATTCTTGAGGACATCAATGATGTTACAGCCGTTGACTGCATGGGCCAGTCGCGGGTGGCTGTCACCTTCAGTGATAAGGAGGCCTTCGACGAGGCCCTTGAGGATTGGACCGGACTCGATGACAGCTTTGTCATGATCACAAACCACCAGGGAGATTGTGACTCCGAGCTAGAACGATCCTTCTTCGTGGCGGACACGGACACACTAGCATCGTTTGAGTCGAACCTTACCATTATTGCGAAGGCAGAGAAGAGTGATGTCTACAGCACTGCCGGTAAGGCCACCACCCGATGAGATACCAATCATGAACTATCGACTAACCGCCACACTCAGATTCGACCGAGATCAACTTCAACAGCGTGGCTACAGCCACCAGCCCGGTTGACAAGCGTGGAATCTCGCTGAACAAGGAAGGCCTGACGATCGCATACGACTGGGCGCTCCCGGAAGACCAGACGATCGTGAACACCACGAACGTAAAGATCCAGCTCAACCAGGCCGAGGTCAACAACTCGGTGACATATGCGGGCCACCTGAAGTGGGAGCTCTTCAAGGGGGTGACCGAGTTTACCATCGACATCGACAAGTCAATGTACCACCATGCCAACGTGACGATCGAGATAGACGGCGTGTACGACCAATCGTGGTCCTGGTCGCCGGTAGGTCTGTCGTACTCGATGATCGAGATCCCGGGGATCCTGAACCTGGGCCCCTCGGCGAGCGTGAGCATTGGGGGCGAGGTGGCCGCGACGGTGGGCGGTGCGGTGACGGTGGAATTCACGTCCCAGATGCCCAACGGCAGCATCCACCTGGACATGGTACACTGGGGCCAGAGCACATCGTACGGCTGGACCAAGGAGAAGCACGTGACGTACAACACGACCGAGACCGCCCAGCTCACGCTTCGGCCCTTCATCGACTTCACAGTCGAGTTCGCCTGCGATTTGTTTGATGGCCTGCTCGACCTCAGCACGGGCGTTACCGCCGAGCCCTCCTTCCCCTTCATCACCACCGCGACCGCCACGCAGTACCACAATGCCACCGGCGGGGTGACCTATCCCAACTCGACTGAGACCTGCGACAATGGCCTCAGCGAGGAGATCGACTTCGTCTTCACCATCACCGCTTTCGCCACGCAGTTCCTCAGCGTCAGTCTTTACGAATACAAGGCCGAGCTGTACAAGAGCTGCCTCCTCGGCTGGTTCGACTTCTAGAGTGCCGAGCGGGCTCTCTTTTTGTTCCAGTGCATATTTTCCTCGATACTGAGAGTGATTCAACCACGCAAACAGCACAGCAATGCCGCACGGCTGGAATGGCCCGGTTGAGAGGAGTTGGAATTTTGACACAGAGATACCCCCTGGAAACAAGAGCGTTCTGAAGGAGCAGTGATACCTTTGTACCTTTATAAAATCATGATGGCTGGCGCGCCGCAGGCTGGGCGGTCACTCACATTGTCACAACGAGAAGGCTAGCGCAATGTGCAAAAGTTCGGCAGGAAGTAGTGATCCATTAATATTTAAGATGATCGAATCCAGGGACCTGAGATGCTCCGCATAGATGATTTAACGCTCATCGATAAGAAGACTACCTTGTGGTTTAGTTCGGTTCACGTCGACGTATATCCCGCAGCACGCACAAGAAAATAAGTCATCCTGCGACAATATCCAGCGTATCTAGCTGTATAGAGAAGCAAACATCGGATATATGTTCGCGTCAAAGCAGAATCTCGTGGGGCCAGCCATGGGCATCAAAAGCCTCACGCCTACTCCAGGTGGCGAGGGCTGGGAGGGTCGGAGGCCTCGGCGGACTTCTCCTGGATCTGCTCCGAGTCCTCGGCGTGGTGACGGTGCTCCTCCTGATACAGAGGTTGGAGCGTGGCACTCTTCTGGAAGAGCACGTAGCGCTTGACCCACCAGGGCGCGGCCTGTGTGAGCTGATACTTGGCGAACTTGCTGGTGGGCACGGCGAAGACATAGTCGAGTTCCTCGAGGGTCTTCTGCTTCGTCTCTGCAAGTAAAACATGCACGTTAGTGATGACAAGTCTGGGACGAATTTTACCACAGGGGAGGGCGATGAGCTTACCTGGCACCCAGAAGAAGATCATGACAAATGCGACGGCGTTGAGGCCGGCGTAGAAGCCGAAGGCGCCGACAGTGCCGGTCTTGGCAAGCAAGAATGGGAAGCTGATACTGAGGATGGCTGCCCAGAACAGGCAGGTTGCGACGGCGAAACTCATGCCGACCTCACGATGGGACAGCGGGAAGACCTCGGCAGAGTATGTGAAGGGCACAGGACCCTCACCGGGCGAGTAGAAGGCAGCGAAGAGGTAGACGAACAGGGCGACCAGACCAGTACGCGCGGAGTTTCCCTGGGGGATGAGGGTGCAGAGACCGGCGGCCAGCAGGGTCCATGTCATCTGGGGGAAGGTGAAGAGCAGGAGGGAGCGGCGGCCAAAGGTGTCGATCGTCTTGAGGGCAGGGAAGGCGAACAAGAAGTTGACAGCACCAAAGATGAGCGAGAAGGTCAAGGCTTGATACTGGTCGGCACCTGCCTGCTCGAAGACGGTGGAAGAGTAGAAAGCGATGATGTTGATGCCGCACATCTGCTGGGCGATCATGACGGTGAAGGCGGCGAGAGTCGCACGCCTCACACGGGGGATGGTGAAGAGCTCGAAGAAACGGACGACGTAGGTGCTCTTGGCGATGATGTGAGACTCGAGCTCGAGGGCGGAGTGGATGAGGTACAGGTCGCGGGCGACCTGGATCTCGTTGTTTCGCAGCCTGGAAAGCGAGTCCCATGCCTTCACGTAGCGGTTCTTCTTGATGAGCCAACGGGGCGACTCCGGGCACAGGTAGATCAGGCACAGCAGCGGCACGGCGGGGATGAAAGGGGCTCCAAGCATGTAGCGCCACTGGTCTCTCATGTTATAGACGGCGAGGTTGATGACAGTTCCGAAGAAGATGCCAAACGCGGTCCACAGCTGCCAGGTCATGACCAGGGCACCACGGACAGGAGCGGGCGAGTTCTCGGCGGCGTACACAGGAACTACGAGACGTGAATGTTAGGACCCGATGGGTGTCGGAATGCATGTCGGAGGGTATTAGGAATCTCACCAGTAGATGCCTTGATTCCCATACCAATGCCCATCAGCAGACGGCAGGCCAGCTGTTCGGGCCAGGCGTGGCAGAAAGCAGATCCAATGACAGGCCACAGGCAGAAATTGGCAGAAACAAAGATGACACCACGACGGCCCAGCCAGTTGTTGACGCTAAGAGACAGTCAGCCACGACTTGTTTGTCTTGTCTCAGGCCATGATGGGGAAAGAAGGAGGTTCAAAAACTCACGGATCAGTGAGCCAGCAGCCGATGACAGCACTACCGATGTAGGGACCGGCGTTGACGAGACCGACGAGCAGAGTATCGTGCACGCTCTTGGAGCCGATGCCGTAGACCTCGGGGAAGAACAGGTTTGCGCCGTTGGAACCGGTCTGGTCCCAGCCCTGGACGGCGGCGCCGATGGAGCAGGTGATGACGGTCAGCCAAAGTCTCCAGGGCAGGCGCCACTTGTGCTTGACCTCGTTCTCGAGGACGAGCTTCTCGTCCTCGGTGAGAGCCTCATCGCCGCGGATGGAGTCGTAGTCCTCTCGGGTGAGCGAGGTGGCGACACCCAGCTGGGCGACGAGGGCGCCCTTGCGCAGGATGGGGATGTGGTCGGCAAGGCCCTTCTCGTGGGCGAAGGCGTCGACACCCTGCAGAAGCTGGCTCCTGGGAATGCCGGCAAGCGGGTTGGAGATCTTGGCCTCGATGTTCCTGTTGATGTCGATTGCGCCGGCAGATGCGCCGCGCTCGAGCTCGTGGGCGCCAGGCTCGGCGTAGCTAATTGTTTGTCGTGTTAGCTGAGGCACGAGGGCGGCCAGCCTGCATGTCAGCACGGCAGTTCCACTTGGGGCTTGGCTTACAGTTCACCCTTCTTCTCCGCCATGCTGGGCAATGTCTGGGGGCAAGGGGCGTTTGTCTGGAAAGCTCTAGAGGAAGCTTGTTAACAGGCCAAGCTTGCTCAAGGCCCTAAGATCAGGTCGCGCGGGCTTGGTCAGGGCGGGTCAGGCTTGGGCACAAGGCTTGATGCGAGTGAACGGCAGCCCTGGGTGTGTGGGATGTGGCGGGTGTGGATGGCGACTGGCTCGGTCAGAGTCAAAGAGGCTTCAGCTTCAGTCTTGTCTCTCTGTTCCACCACAGAAGATGCGACTTGGAAGTCAGGCGGCGGAGGAAGAGCTGGGCGCACAACGACCAAGAGGGAAAGGTGGGCAGGCGAGTTTATATACTGGCAGGGCCCCCATCTCAGCCCGTCGATCGGGATGGGATGGTGCGAGTGGATTTAATTCGGTGCCAGCGCCAGTCGAGGATCCTGCTGGGCCTGCTGGGAGGGATCATGTTGATATTGCTACGGTACTACGGCAGGTATACCATGTAGTAGTGTCTACCTGAGTGCCTACTTAGTACTGTGTAAGTAGGGAATGTACTGGGGTACCTGGGTACCTGGGTACCTGGGTACTTGGGTTCGATGCCGCCCGCCTGGCCGGTTGCAGCAGAAGCAGGCCCGCAATAAGAGCCGTCATCCCTGCAAAGCACGGAGTGGTCCCAGCTCCCCAGCTCCCAGCTCCCCAGCGTCTCCACCCTTGTCTCCGCGTTGATTGCCTCCCCATCTGGGGAACCGAATCAGTCGACCAGGCTCACCAATGGCGGCCGCCCCTCGACGACGCGGAGGTGGGGCACATGCTGGGCCAACATGGGGCCATCAACGGGGCACAGACAAGGGGCCGGTTCGCCTCTGCCAGTTCTGCCAGCTCTGCCAGCTCTGCCTTGGAGCTAATACTATGTAGCAAGTCAGCTAACCTTCAAGATGCCCCTCATGAGGCCCCGGGGCCAAGCCGCTTGTTGGGCGATGCAGGAGACCGCCGATGACCATGGTCCAAGAACTGGTCCGAGAACGAGCCAGAGCACTTCCGTTCAGTGGGAGCCCACGGCTGGGCGGCCGGTGACCAAGCCCCAAGCCTGCAACCTGCAACCCGCAACCTGCAACCTGCCAGCCAGCAACCTGCCAGCCAGCCAGCCTCTGGAAAGGGCCAGCCATCTCTCCCCAATGGCATTGTCGCAACCGTCAAAGGACCCGGTGGTCATGTGGCCATGCCAGGCTGATCCCGGGAGCCGCATATGGCCATGCGCTGCGTTGCCCTCGAGATGCATTGCCCTGCATGTCTCAGAAGGGTCCTCCTCTAAGGTTGGTCTGCCTTTCCGCGCCCTCTCTGCCTCAGCCCGACGACCAAGGGGACAGAAAGAATAAAGAAGAAGAAAAAATCGAAAACAACCATACATGCAGTCATCTCCAGTCAGCCCAGCCCAGCCCAGCACAGGCCCATGCAAACCTTGCCCATGCACCCACAAGGCACCGCACACCCACCCCGTCCACCGTGGCTTGGCACCACCACCCCGGCCAAGCTCTGCCGACTTTTGCGTGCCGAGACGCTTGAGGAGGATTTTCCTGTCATCGATCTGGCCCTCCCCCGCTTTTTCCTGGCTCCTTCAACCGTCGCGAAATTGTCGCCAAAATACCTTAGCAGCCATTCCCGCTGCCCAGTGACGACAGTGGCTTCTGCCCCCCCTGCTTTCTATCCTGGCAAAATCGGCTGTTGAGGCTCAAGGGGGCCCCTGGGGCTGTCCTGCAACGTAGTAGTAGGAGCACTCGTTCGGCTCCTGTTCCTAGTCCAGCCACCCGTTGCCAGCCAGGCCAGGCCCGTCAGGCTAATCGAGCCGGAGCCCACTGCCGTCTCAACTACAGTGGCGACGCCGGGGAGAGCTTGGTGTGAGTGAGCACCCAGCACCAAGAAGACCTGAGAGACATGGGAAATCACTGATCCTGTGGGCCGAAACTTACCCAGGTCTGCCCGTTCATTTCAGGCAACCCGAGCAGAAGGGTTGAAGGGCTCGGCAGCAAAACCCTGCCCCTTGGGTTTCCCGTGCCTGGATGACCTAGCCACCATGTCGCTTCTATTGTCCAATTCTGTAAATTTCTTTCTCCAGCCGTGCCTGGCAGCCTGGCCTCCCCGGCGCCCCGTCACCGACAGAGACATGCCGATCTGCACCGAAAACTGCTCACTTGGGGAAGGCTGCATTTTGTGGCACGCGAGTCACACACGTCCAATCTGTCGGTGACAAGG